TATATATATATATATATATATATATTGCTTATCTTAAATCCGTTAGATCTCGACTCGAATTGTCACGGTGCTCCAATATCCGGCAGATCTTTTTTTTTTGCGCACGCACATAAATTGCGCGTAACCGATCGTTTCGCAAAAAGGCTCTCTCGCGTTAGCTCGAACGAATAGTCTCTTCGCACAAATTGTTCGCGCGCGTTGGATTTTTCTTCCAACGCGCGCGCAGCTCGTAACGATAAGAAGAACAAAACAATCCCTGCAAACATTTACGTATACCGGTTGCCTGTGTGTACGCGTTCGACAACTCCGAGTCGACGCGAACTTGCGTTGTGAGCGAAAAATCGGTACAACTTGTGGGGGGGGGGCTCATTCCGTTCCGTTATTAACACTAAGTCCGCTTAAATCGGTCGTAGAATATAATCCGACATCAATAAAATCGCGGTGTAATTATTAAGGATTCGCCCCTCGCCAGTTATCTCCCTCCTCACGGCGCGAGTTACCTTTGAGATTATATGAGATCAGACTCGTTAATGAACGTTCCGAGGAAGAAGCGGAACAACGACTCGCGATCGAGGGAGGAAACGAACGGAAGGGAAGACGGGGAGGGGCGGGGAGAGAGATGCTCTTTTTTAGTGCGCGTCTCGCTCACAAGTTACAAAGTTCTTACAAAAGCCGAAGACTAATATCGCTCGTGTGGTTCGTCACGACGTGTAAACGACAAACGATTTTGCGCGGCAAAGATGTGTGTCTCCCGTCGTACGTAACAAGAATACACAGAGCGCGTATGTGTATGTATGTGTGTGTGTATGTGTACATATACATATATCAAACGTAAAAAGAAACTACACCGGACTCGAGAATATCGTGGAACACAAGGAAATTTGTTTTTTTTTTTGTTTTTTTTTTGTTTAGCTATTCACGTTTTTTGACATCACGTGCGTCACACAACCCTAACGCTAATAATTAATCTATTTGTTTGTAAAAATGCGCGAATCGTCCATCCCGGTGTAACTTACGACGTTACCTTTATATATATATATATATATATTTATATATATATATATATATATATCTCGTGTTTGTCATTGTCGTCATCGCCGCGCTTGCCCGCGCGCAAACTTGGCAGAAAAAACTTTTCTCTCTCTCTCTCTCTCTCACACACAATTGCTATAACTATACAATTAATTAACGTTAGTAATTACTCTCACTTAATTCTAAAAATGTTTCAATCATGATATTATCGCGTCGTGTAACGTAACGATGTTGCCTCAATGTCTGCCGTCAAAATACAATGGCGCCAGTTCGGCGTATAATATAATAAGGCGCGTCTCCGCTCTGTTACTTTTTTTTTTTAAATCCTACCGTTCTTCTCCTTAACAGATTAAGACCACAGAACTTCTCACCGAGAGATAAATTAACAAACTTCGACAAAAGAGAAATCACGATTGCAAACATTACACGAGTTCCTCTTGTTTATTTCTCGATCTGAGTTTACCATCTCTCTGTGTTACGACACATAACTCGATTATCGGACTACCACTCCCTTCGACTTTTAAGATATCTCTCCTAAAAAAAAGTCTCTTAGTTACTTCGTTTTGTTGTTTTTCTTTTTTTTTTTTTTTTTTTTTTTTTTTTTTTTTTTTTTTTTTTTTTTTTTTTTTTTTTTTTTTTTGTACAAACCAATTTACCGAGTATTGCACGAGTTTCCTAACACCGAAAATAGTTGTATACATATATATATGCGGCGTAATAATCGATCAGTTCTGCGTCACTGGTAATTCGTCTCAGCGTTGCTTCTTAAATGACTAATGCTTGCTCGAAAAGATGCAGCACAAATGAAGTTTTTGTGTGTGTGTGTGTGTGTGTGTGTGTGTGTGTTGTTGTTGTTATCATTATATTGTTCTAAATTATTTCTTTCGTATAAAAACACTCTCTTAAGTAGTAACTATTTATCAGACACAGTAAAATACATTTGTTGTTCTGTTGTATATAATATTATAAGGTTTTTTTTTGTTTTCGAGAGTTAACGTGTTTACGTATACATGTCAGCGCGAAAAAAATACAGATACAGAGACTTAGCGTAGTAATTAAAGCGACAAATTTTTTGTAGTAAAACGAACATATAGATATACAAATACACAGAATACTTTTTTTTATTTTTAATATACGACTTACCAGCGTGCAATAATCTATCGTGCGCACTTTTATTTCTTTTTTTGTTTTGTTTTGTTTGTTTTTTTTTTGTTTTTTTTTTTCTGTTTTGTAGGAAAAAATTCGCTCCGCGCGTTCTGAACGCCGCGTTTCTCAAGCCGCGCCGCGTAATCCGCAGGGCGTGCAAGTGAAAAGACAGAGGAATTTCTTGACGAGGAGGTTCACAAATGTCAACGTTCCCTGTGTATTTCGCAAGGTCAGCCGAGAGTAGTATCGTTGGAACCTCTCGTCGAACTCTTCGTCCTCTTCGTAGTCGTAATTATTATAGTTGTACGAAAAATTACGGGGATAATGATAAGAATAATGACGATGACGCTGACGATACTGTTGTTGTTGTTGATGTTGATAAAGATGCTGGCTACGATGCACGCACTTCCTGATCTCCAAGGCGCTAGATCCGGGCAGTGAAGGGCGGGCAAGTGTACGCGCCGATGCTGTATATCCCGACACACGGGGCAGGTTGTGCGGCGCGGAGGATAATCGTGGGGCCAGATTCGGCCTCATTCGGGATCACCAGTTGGCCATACCAGGTTTGTTTAGAGTCATGAAGTAAATCTGGCACGAACTACCGCCTTTTGCCGACGAGAAGAATACCTGAAGGGAACGATACAATGATGTTGTTACATGTGACGATCTGAATCGTAGGGTAAGAACTGCGACACGATTTATAGCAAAACAATATCGATATTGACTGACAAGTAGGCACACTGTCGGACAATACGTACCTTATCATTACGTTCGCAGAGGAACTTGAGCCGTTGAGCCTTTTTGTGCATAAAAACACCATCGAGGTGACCGCTTTCCACACTTCTGATCTCGATCGCTTTGTTTCCCCAACCCATAATCTGTCCCGTGCCGATGTATGCGACACTAGTAGGCATCTCGCCCCACTGTAGTACCATCGTCTTCGCTATTCTGCCGTAAGTGTTCACGTACACGCCCTCGTTATCGTAGCAAAGTAACAACTGCATGCCGTTACTGTTCGGCAATGATACTATACAATGCGGACAGATAGGGCCCTGGGTCTGCAATTGAAAAATGCGCGTTTACGCGATGATAGATACGTACCGGTTATTAATTATTTGTCTCAACATGAAAATGCGAGAATCGCTGAATTGTCTCACTTACGTGTTTCGGTAAATATATGTCGTAAACTGTGGCGGAGTCCAGGTCGACCGCGTGAAAGCCATCCGCGCTACCGTAAATAACCTTCAATCTTGAACCTTCCTCGATCGTGAGATCGACTAATAGCGGTCTGTGCGCGAGTTCGCCGAAAGACTTGAAAGCCATAAATTTGTGATACGGCTTCGGCGCCCATGCGTAAATCTCAATGGAATCCTTCAGCGCGATCACGAGAAACTTTATCCTCTCGTATTTTACTATTTTGAAATGCACAGCACCCTGCAGATCGCCCACGTTGATCCAACCGTTACGTCGCTCGGCTTGCTGCATACAAGCAGAGATAAACGTAGAGAGAGATGAATACAGTGGATGTGTCAGACAAGTGAGAATGTCTCTTGACGTAACGAAAACTTACATCGCTGTGACCATCCGTTCGCAGAATCTTGCTCTTCAACCAAGACAAATAGTACACGCGTACTCTGTTTTTCTTACCGCTGATTGTCACCAAGATGTTTTGACCCTCGAGAACTTCCATCTGTTGAAAACGTCTTCTGTTGATCAACTGATAAACCTTACCCTGTCCGCTCCTGTCCAGTAACATCAGGCCGTTCTCGGTTCCGATTAATAGATTCACTCCTACGGAAACGACGAATAAATCATATCTTCGAGTCAATCGCAAAATTCAAAGAATCGCGATAAAGACTGTGCCGCGCGCGCGTGTGTGTGTCCCGCCTACGTACCCCATAATGCGGCACAAAGAATTTCACTGTTAAAGCGCTTCTTATATTTGCGTATCTCCGGCGTATCCGACGCTACGTCATGGCTGGTGGGAGTCACGTTAACGTTCACGTGGGACTCTCTTCTCGCCGGACCGGCTCCGAATCCGAATGTGAGAAAAGATCTCTGTTTCTGTTGGAGCGCAAACGGAGGAGGTGATTTCACCGCTTGTCGGTACTGCAACAGAGATGACTTTGCCGTTTAAGAGAGTTTTACTCTAACAGACGAACGCGCACGTCAAAATGCTGGCGCGAGAAAAAAAAAAAAAAAGAACACCTCTACTTGGTACACGCAAAAAAAGATGTTAAAAAAGATTACTGTAAGAAAATTTATCTCCAACCCAAAAATACAAAAAATCGGCAAACACAACCAAGTTACGAAGGAAGAGTGGTTATGCAGTTGCGGGAAACGCGTTGAAAAGTTTCAATGGTGAGCGAACAACATGCAAAGAGAAGAACAAACAAGGAAGTCAGAGAGAGAAAAAAGAAAGAACAAATCAAACGACGATTCAAATATGCGAGAAGTAATCTACGTAACATTCTCCCAACAAACAGATGGTTACCTCTCTCAATTGCAAATTAAAAGCCCTTTGTATGCAACAAAGTCGTGTGTAACAAAAGTATATACGTAAAAAAAAAAAAAAAAAAAGAAACATTCGCATGTAACCGCTACGTGGTAAAAGGGATGCGCGTTGAAGGGGGAGGATTCAAGCAGAGATTCGTCAACTCAACAACTCTATGTTCAATCAAGCATCCACAACTACATGTATATATATATCATTATATTATATTATTTTTCACTGCTTCATTATGATTCTCAAGTACGCATTCAAGATGAGATTAGAAGACCATTTGCGCGTCGTGAAACACGCGATTGGTTGTTTTTTTTTTTTTCGCATGTGTTGTCGCACGTTTCACGAAACAAAATTCAGAGTTAAAGGAGACAGAAGAAGGAAGAGAGAGATGTGAGAACGAAAAGCAACGGTGGTCGGGTGTTAGAGATTGTCGTTTTTTTCTTTTTTTTTTTTTTTTTGTTTTAATATTTGTGTTGAAACACCAAGAATGTCAAGAGTAGAATCCCACAAACCAAACCAAAGAGGATTATATATGTATAAAAATAAAAAAAAAAAAAAACGAGACCTGCGCACAAAAACTGGCATTCATCTCGCGGTGCATAGATAATTAATGAAATGAAAACAAAAAGATCAACGGATCTCGAGAGAGAGCAAAACAACACGATTCTGTTTTCTTGTCCCGTCCATCTCCTCTCCTCGCGCGTGTTGCGACGAGGGAAGAAATAGAGGGAGAAAAAACAAACAGTTTTCTCTTTTTGTTTGAAAAATTTGTAAATGTACGGAATACGGATAGATACTTACATTTTTGTAATTAGTATTGGGATTGGAATGGTCAGTAGAGGGCCCTGCCCTTCGGGTTAGAGCTCCCGCGTGTCCCACAACACACAACATAATCCTGAATTAGTCACGCTGACAACCGTACAATTGACGCTTATAGAGATCGCACGTGAAAACAGAGACATGTGTGGCGTATGGCCGTGTGTATATACATGTATACATATATATATATATATATATATGTGTGTATATATATATATATGTACGATCTTACTGATCGCAAAGCGTGACCGTGTCAAAAATAGAGCTTCTGCAATATCAGGTCCGATTAAAAACTCGACTCGTTAAAAAAAACAAAACTCTGCGCTGTATTTCGCGACCTTCACGTCTCTTCTTGCACGTGGATTTTTGCCAATAAAAGGTGTTGTTGTTTGAGATACGGTGCTCTCGCATAAAGCCGTGTAAAAATCGAAGCGTTTTTTTTTGTTTTTTTGTTTTTTACCTCTTCGACACACTTAACAACTCCTTTCGAGTAACACGTCTAATAGTGAGGAGGGGAGAAAAAAACGAAGAAGATTCACGTGTTCTCACGCGCGTGCGAGAAACTGTTTCCCGTGATAAAAAGCTGAGAGACAAATGCTGAGAAAAAGAGAATATTTAAGGATTTTATATTGTGCATATACGTACGCTATAGGACACACTGTGTGTAATTTTTTTTTTTTTTTTTTTTTTTTTTTTTTTTACACAAATCGCACGTACGAGCCGTTGAAAAAATCGCAAAGAATTTTCGTCCTCGACGTGAACTTGATAGGAGACAGGAGTGAAAAGAGTGACGCACACAAAGAACGATTTTTCTCCTGAACCGTTACTAGACTAGTGGTAACTCTCTCTCTCTCTCTCTCTCTCTCTTTCTTTTTTTCTAAAAAAATTCCTCGTAACCAGAGTAGAAAACAACACGACTCCAGCAAAAAAATTGGCTTTTTTTCTCTAAGAAACTGAAACTTTTGTCCACTAAAATCGAACTCACAGAGAACTCTCGTCTCTCGTTCCAACTAATATATCACGTAACAAATGCAAATCAAATTTCTTCTCACGAGACTTTCGTACACAAATTATTGTTATGCACATAAAAAAAATAAAAAAAACTAAAAAATATAACAAGAAACAAAAAATCAAACAAATACTGATCAAGATCTAATTTTTTTTTTTTTACCAAAATTGCTAATTTATGTAACAAAGTGAGAATGCAACCTAAAAAAAAAGAATCACGAAACAACAAATCGAGATACGAGATAATATATAGTCAACAAAATGCACTTTTATAGACTAAATCACGGACAATTAACAAGACATTGACACAAAGCATAAGCCGCCCCCTCTCTCTCTCTCTCTCTGTGTAAACCCTCAAACTTAAACACATTTATGTATAAAATATAACAATATGCATCGCGTATGTATAAATGCGCGACTTTTCTTGCTTTTTCCGAAATATCGATAAAATTGTATGTATACGTTGTATACCGTTACTACATTATCGTTGCCACTAGTCTGTCTTCGAAACCTGGTATAAAATATGTGTGACATGTCTCTAAATCAGGTTTGCGGGTAAACACAGTACACTATAACGCGTAACTACGTACCTATTTTGCGATATGTATGCTTATTAGAATAATAATCGATAATAAATATACACAGTATGTAAGAAAGATAATTGATCCAATCAAAAAGCAATTACTTTTTCGGAACAATTTGGTGTAACGAAAAAAAAAGCATTCTCATTGCTACTATAAACGAAAGGATAAAACTCATTCAAGATCCTTATCATGGTTGTCGTGTGTATACAGGGTGTTTACAAAACAAGAAAGTGAAATATTTTAAAGGAACTTAATGTGCTCCAAAATAAAAGTCGAAAAGTCTCAACGAACACGATTCCGCAAACTGTTTTTTGAGATATTTTTGTGTTCTCTTGTTTTTGATTATATTTCTATATTTATTTTAATTTGTGCAAAAAGTAACACACAACTGACGTTTCACCTCACGTTATTAGAAAAGATGCAGAGTTTGCACTTGGAGCATCTTCTCCAATAAGATAAAATCACATCAGCTGTTATTTTTTTATTAAATATAAGTTATGATAAAAATAAGATAAATACAAGAAAATAAAAATAAAGAAGCAACAAAAAAATAAAATCGACTCAAAAACGACTCATTTGCAAACCCATTGCAAAAATTTTTCGACTTATCTTGGGGCATGTTAAATCCCCTCGAAATACTCTACCCTCTTTTTGTTTTAAACATTCTGTACACACATACGTGTGTGTGTGTGTGTATTACGTATACGTTAACGACGTTACATATACGTCACATCGTTCACAAGACTCACGCCTCGAGACGCAACATATAAAGAAGGCATTTCGTAATAATAATAATAAAGTAGAAATAAAATGTGAATTGTGGAAAATCGTATATGCGCGCACTCGCACGATATATCACCGGCGTGATGGAATCGCGCGGGCAAATCTCTTCGAGATGTCACATCCTTCCGTCGCGACGGTAACGTTCTTCTTTCGAGCAACACGCAATATACATTTTCTCGGTAACGCGCTACTGTTCCACCTCGCAACGCGAATCTATCTATCTGGCTGTCTTTTGCCAAGAAAGAGAGACACAAAGTGTCGCGCGAGTACGCGCATAAATCGCTATGTAAGTAAAATAGAGGATATCAATAGATAGATATAGACAGATGAATCTGACCTCCTCGCTGGTTGACTTGTCCTGCCGTTGACCCGGTGAAGAGGTCAAGAGATCCGGTAATACCGAACTGGGCCGTGAACCTGGGGACGAGTCCGACCTCTGGAAATCACCGCCACCCCCGCTTCTCGAACGATCTCCACCCTCGCGATTCTGCAAATCAGCGATTCTCCGTTTGAAATGTTCCAGTCGAGATAGCGCGAAAAAAGAAAAGAAAAGAAAGATAAAAGACTTGAGAGTAGAGAAAACTCCATCCGGGATCTGAATCCGTTTTTCTTTTTTTTTCTTTTTTTTTTTTTTATCAAGTTTATCTTTCGCAAGATTCTTTTTCTCTCTTTTCGCTCTCTCTTCAAAAAAAAAAAAACAACTCGGCGTAAATGAAATTTAGATTTTTATTACTGCTCGCAATTCACTTACTTTACTGAAATTACGAATTCAGATCCTCGATATTTGCGATGCAGAGAGAACGGGGACAGAAGTTACGCAGATTAGAGACAGACGGGGACAACAATACAAAAAGAAAAAAAATGCTAACATCGAAGGGTAGGAATTGAAGGGAGAAATCGACGATTAACGGGGAGAGATAATGCGAGATGAGGAAACGGTGAAAATTATACGAAAGCGTGAAGATTACGTTGTTCGTGGGGAGAGAAGCGGAAAACAAGCGGAAACAATTGAAAGAGAATCGGAGAGAGAGTCGGAAACTGCACGAGTAAAGCTGTAAAGAAAATAAAAAATGTAAAAAAAAATTACATATATATATTGCGAGATGAAAATATTACAGTGTTGAGAAACTTATTTCGACACAAGAGTGCATTTAAAACGTATAATTAGCAAGTTAAGTTTTTTTTATCACAAACACGCAACAAGTTGCACGACCGTGTTATTGATTAATACGTGTAGTGGTGTAAGAATAAAAAAAAAAAAAAAAAAAAGAAAAAGAAAGAGAAAGAAAAAGTCGCAGTCATGCCAACAGTCGATTAAGCTACTTTCTCGATCGTGTTTAACTTACAAACTTATTTAACACATTAACTCTAATTCGCTGAACAATTTACATCTGTCGTTTGTACTTCGACATACAAAAAGACACAAGAGACAATAATTACAGTAGGTAAACCTAAAACGAATATATATATATATATATATAGAATAATAAAATCGATAAACTACATACACACACACAGACCAACGATACATATGTAATTAAAAAACAAATACGAGTACTATTATTTCAAACTTTTGTGGTAAACTTTACGCTTTTGCGTCTCGAAAATGCTTGCCGGTGAAAACTGAACGCGCAACCGTTTGTCTCATTACACTCGATTTTTTCCGAAATTTTTCGCCACCCCCTCCCCCAAGAGAGTGGTTGGCGAATCAGAACCGAAAATTTCGCGCTGACGAATTTTCTCGGCGCATTTTCAGCTTTTCTCTTTCTCCGACGGCGATGGTTAATCCCGCGGCTAAATGGCAATGAGAGTAAACGCAAAATCGCTACATGCTCAGACACATAAAGACAAAAAAATAAAGCATGCTTAGCACACGTGCTTGCAAAACACGGAGAGAGACACTGTGAAATGGGTCACTGTGTACACACACACACATATATATGAGCGTTTTTTTGGGGGGGATCTCGAGGCATACTTTTGTTTTGTTGTAGCGCAAGCTTCATGCAAGACACGAGATGTGTAATAAAACTCGTACGACGTTTCGCATGGTAATCCACTGTCATTTTCTACGTATTTTTCCTCTTTCTCTCGGCTGCTCTCAACTTCTCTCTCTCTCTCTCTCTCTTTCTTTTTTTCTCTCTGCTTCAATGCCATTCTTTTCTCGAATGCCTCACTCTTTATCTCGCGACAGAGTTTTATTTCTCTCTTTCTTTTTCCTCCACTTCCCTCTGTTCGTCTCGGGATTATGCGTTCAATGTAAGAGAATGGCAGAACACAAAGTCTCCCCGGTACACGTCTTAGGGGTCGATTGTTGATAATTATTATTACTCTCACGTTCTTTCTCTCTCTCTCTCTTTCTTTTTCGCAATCTCTCCTCCTCCTCTTTCTCTCATTTCTTTCTCGACCTCCCATTCTTCTCGTCTTTCTCTCTCTCTCTCTCTCTCTCTCTCTCTCTCTCTCTCTCTCTCTCTCTCTNTCTCTCTCTCTCTCTCTCTCTCTCTCTCTCTCTCTCTCTCTCTCTCTCTCTTTTGTTCTCGAGATTACGAGAACCTCAGTCTCAAAGCATCGAGATTGATATGTGAAAAATGCGACGGCGTAATTTGTACTTTCTTTCTAGCAACGTGTCACGGTCCCACGTGTACACGAAAGAGAATTTTTAGCGTCGTCCAAGTAGATACATCAACACAACTGCCGTTAAGATCAGTCGGTAGTTTGTTAGTATGTGCAGAAAAATAATAGAAAAGTAAAATTTTGAAAAGACATCAGTTTATTAGAGCTCATGAAAATTTCTCGGCGAAGTGTAAAAAAATGTTATAAAATAAAAGTTTTACACAAGATATCAACACAAATTCGATGCACACACGTAATCTCACATAAGTAAATACGTCAAATGAAAAACAAGCACGTTTGAAAAGCGTGTAATATTAGAATTTAAAAAAAAATTCACAAAAAATTCATCTCGCACAAGATGCACATGATTACCGTCGTAATTACGTTTTTCGTACGCAAAAATGATCTCAATATGTCGTGGATTTTAAGAAACGACGTTCTTCTCGAATTTTCGAATAATTCAACAGACAATATAAAAATGAAATAAAGAAATGTGTGCTCGAGAAAAAAGAAGAGACGCGTTTACGTGTCAACATAATTGGAGAAACGTCTTCGTGATTCACCATCACGATTTTTTATTCGTTTTTATTTATTTATTTTTTTTTTTACTTTGTTTTTCCGAATCCCGCGACGTGTCGCTGCGCCAATTAAACGTTGTCGAGTATCCCAAAAACAAATTCCATGCAGTTATTCCTTCAATTCGGTCGCAGATTTCACGTCGTGATTTCCGTCGTCGTGGAAGTGATGTTTGTCGGTTTTTTTTTTGGTTTGTTTTTTTTTTGTTTTTTTTTTTTTGGATTTTTTGCTGCATGAGAGTATCAACAGTAAATCACTCGAACAACAGAGGACGAGACTCATTTGCCAGGGATCATAAGGACGTAGCGATGAGATGGAAAAAAAAAAACAAAGGAATCGGATTTACGGAGTAGCATAATTAATAATTCGACATCGCTTTTTGCGTCAGTTTTTTTTTTTTCATTAATAAATATCCACGAGAAATCCCACAACCACGTGTATGATAAATGAGACAGACGTGTGTCGTGTCATGAGGCCCATGTCGAGAGATAATATAGAACTCCGAGAGAAGCAGCAATGATTTGCACAAAATCATAACACAAGGATTAAGGAACTCGGGAACTGTGATAAAAAAAAAAAAAAAACAAAAAACAAAAAAAAAGAAAAAAACGCATTGGTAAACGCATGTGCTACTCGGTAAATACGTTTGCAAAAAGCCTCTTTGTTGTGACAGACGAAAGAAAAATTGTACGTAAGTGAGAATAAAGGTATATTATTGGTATCAGCAGCATCTCCCAGAGCGTGTGAATCTTCCAAATTCTTAAATTTGTAAGAGAGACACTAGTAGTTACAGCGCTAACAATAATAGTAGTAATAGTATAATAGAGGTAAAAATAGTGTAAAAACAGAGAAGAGAGTGTTGGTGGCAATTATTAACGAAAATAGATGTATGATTAATACGGCAGTAAATAATAGACAAGTGGTAATAGTAATAATGTGTGCTAGTAGAGTGGCGGAATTAATAATAATAATAAAAAAAAAAAAAAAAAAAAAAAAAAACGTATAATTAATCAACGTAGTAATTCTAAAGTTGCGCTCAAAAAGTAAGTTCCAGTATATCATTTTTAAAAAGTGAAGAAACCCATGAAACAATCTAGTCGGAGAAGAGAGATAATATATGAGAGATATATATGATATATTAATACTGCTAATGATGGTATATATAGATAGAGCACTAGAGTAATTAATTAAATGTAAATTGTTGCTACTAAGTTTCGACAAGTCGTGAAAATGAAAACGATGACACAAAAAAGAGAGAAAAATGAAATATGCGTCTAAGAGTCGAGCGTAGCTGACTAGCTTTCTATGTGATATTGTTATATGCTGCTGGATGTCGAAAAATCAGTCACAATGGTTGTTTTTTTTTTTTTTTTTTTTTCGGGAGAATATGTAAAAAAAGAGATCAAAGTGTCTACGTGAGAAAATGTGTATCACAAGTGCGACCGGTTTCGTTAGTTAACGAAAAAAAGAAACAAACAAAGCAACAACTGTGTGAATTAATAATAAACGCGGAATAAATAAGATATTATTTTTATAATAATATTTCCTAGTATCATAGACACTTCGATGTTTGGATTTTTTTCGGAGACGGACGAGAGATCGGGATGAGAGAAAAGACAAAAAAAAAATGTTTCAGGCAGAAAATACAGATAACATAAGGGTAAAGGTAGTGGGAGGAAGGTTTCGTTTTCTTTCAGGCAAGCACACAGGCAGGACTCGCGAATGGCTCTTACGAAGGTTTTTTTCCGCAACTCGGGCTCGCGATTCGCAGGACTCGACTTTAGGGGACTGACCTGGGTAACAACAGGGCTGTACTCGCTGGCCGTCGTACTGGCCGTGGACTTAATCGTTCCCGCATCGTCGACTACGGCAGAGGCCGTAGTAGCGTCCGAGGGTCTACAACTGCGTCTTCTTGCGTTCTCGTCTTTATCGCGTCCCAAATCGTACCTCCTCGCCTCGTATCTACTACGAAGACGATCGAAAACGATGTTACTCTCGGTTTTTTCTCTCCTGGGCCTCTGAAGCCCGTCGCGGCTCAGCAAGAAGTCCGTCAGAATCGGTTCCCCGGAATTGAGACCGTCGCCTTTCTCACCGACAATACCGGCGACGCTTATCTCGCTTCCGCGCCGATTACCGCTAGCGAATATACTAGACCTCGAGGAGTCGGACGATTTCTGTAGATACGCCGAGTGCCTCGCAGACGGGAAAAAGTCCGAGTTCTCGCGGCGGAAGGCACGTGCGAAAGCGCTTGACGCATTGCCCAATTTCGAGTCGCTCTCTTGCCGCCTGTGAACCGGCTTCAATTGCTGTTGCTTTTGTTGATGATGATGATGATGATGATGTTGTTGTTGTTGTTGTTGCTCGTGTTTCCTTCGTGCTAACTGCTCTTGCTTCTTGAGTGTTCTCTCGCTAGACGAGGACGAGCGATCCTCATTGGATCCGGACTTGCTCGCTTGACCGGCCGCATCTTGCTGGTGCTCCTGTTTCATTTTATCCAACTTTTCGTTAAAGCCCTGAAAGAAGCGGGTGAAATCCCACTCTTTCAGGAGGAGCTGCTCGTCTATTTCGGAACGTCGGTTGCCGCTAGCCGTTGCACGATCGTCTGACATCTGACTAAGTTTCTAGAGTGCGCGTACGATGGCGAGGGTAATGGTACGGTGACAGAGAAAAAAAACCAAGAAAAAATATGCGTGCGATAATAATAACGTGAAACGATGATTGTTCGATAATGATGATGGATGATGATAATGATAATGATGGATGATGATAATGGAGTGTAATGATACAATATAAAGTAAACAACGACTATTTTGCGACGGTGAGTGAGAGGGTCTATGATTCAAATTAAAAATCTCGGAAGAGCGTGCGACGAAAATCAAGATTCAAGAGACATTTAAAAAAAATATATATATATATATACAGGATTAGAATAAAAACAATAAAAAAAATAAAAAAAAGAAGAGAGACAATGATGCGATACATTTATTGCGGCTTCATCACCGAAGCAATATAGTCTCTATATTCAGCAAATACGTGTTCATCGTTCGTATATGAATGTGCATAAGTGTATCGTACGACAGCGGCAAAAGTACAGACACAAGGCAAGTGCACCATAGTGTGCTCGCTTGGAATATACAAAAGTTTCAATCCTGACGAGACGTAGAGCGAAAACAATGAAGGGAGGGGACAATGTATATATATGTATATAACCACTGAATTAGTTCCGATTATCGGTTAATGTGTATACGTGTACATATTTACAAAAAAAAAAAAAAAAAAAAAAAAAAAGAAAGAAAAACCAAATATGCATCGCAATCGTCGCGCATTTCCTTTCCTTTTTTCGAGTACACATCTTCGCGCGCCGTCACAACAGATCAATCAAATGCTTAACGCGGAGCCGAAAAACAAAAAGGAAAGGAAATACGTCGACTGCTTTGTTTTGCGAACTACTAAAAAAAAAAAAAAAAAAAACACGATTACACAAATTTTATAACGTTACATACCAACGATATATATATATATAGAAATTTCAAGTTACACCGAAACGAAATATATATATATCCGAACGTAAGAGAAGAAATCTACAAATATATGTATAATATATATTTAGCTTGCATTGCTCAATCTCAGGAGAGAGAAAAAAAAAACAATACTCACTCGTTTCATGACTAGCGTGCGATCTCCCGATTCTTCCTCGTCGGGGGTAGGCGGGAGCGGACGATTCGGCGCACCTCCTGCAAAGATCATATAGAGAACAGAGCATTAAAAACAAACTTGTGAAACAATCCAGCTCCTAGTCAGCGTGACAATCCGAGAGAGAGAGAGAGAGAGAGAAAGAGAGAGAGAGATCGAAAGTCTTATTTTTTTTTAGCAAATGCTCCTGTGAAAGTGATCTTCCTTTACCTTTTGGCTTATCTTCGTGATGGGAGTTTTGAGCATTGTGCGAGGACGACGACGACGAGTCCGACGACGGTCTGAAAGGAGAAAATTCGGGACTGCAGAGGTGAAAATAAAGATTGCAGTTAATCGACGTGGACGACGTGGATGTGAAGCACAGGTAATGCGTTGCCAGTGTCGGGAGACGAGGCGAGGCGAGACGACCGAGGCGACCATATGACGTAAAATGTTGAAGCGTGGGATAGGCATGATGGAAGATGAAAATGAAATGACATATACATTAGTAAGAGATTTTAATACAAATGATTAATATATTAGTAAGATTAATATGTAACTAAAATTATACACACGTATGGGTTTTTTTTTTGTTTTGTGCATTAATGCGAGATCTTAATGTAGCGAGTATCAATTGTGTGTGACCGTTCATTTATAAAACCCCATTTATGAAACATTTGCGACAACCCGATCGAATGTTACAAAGCAGGTAAATTTCGTTTACTCACAGCGGTTTGGGCGGATCGCTAGCCAGTAAAGTACCGTCGTTTCTCAAGTTGTTTCCTCCAGCGTCCTCGAGATCGTCGTCGCTGTCACTCTCGATCGACAGAGCCTAGAACGACAAAGTAACACATCGTCTTTAGCGCGTCCTTTTTTTGTCCGTGTGACACAATTAAACTTTGAGCACTTTGTATGTATACTTTTTACCTCGATCTAGACGAAAGGCAAATGTTTACACATATGCGTGTCTCACGCAGTAAAAAATAAAAAAAAAAAAACGACAAAGTAAAACGAAAGGAATAATGTTAACAATGATGGGAATACGGATGCAGACGTGTAAATTGAATTTTTTTTTGCTGAATTATATCAGCCGTGGTTCAATCCGCGACCACTCCAATCGCTTACTTGATCGAGAATACTGGAAGATTGCGGCATCTGTTTGTTGTTCTGATCGTTACCAACTGCAGGCTGCACCGAATTTGATGTAGACGAGGCTGTAGGGCCCTTATGCTGTCTGTTTGGCCTTGGCGGGGCCTCGGGGCCCTGTGACACACCAAGCTCGATGAGTTGAGCAGCCAGTATCTCCATGTCCTATCACCCACACGCATACACGCACAACCCCGTTAGTCACTGTTCCGAGATACCTTTTTGGGAAATCTTTTTTTTTTTTTTTTTTTGCTAGAAGCCACCACCGGACACAGCCAAACAAGGCAGAAAGGCGAGGATATAAAAATGTCCAAGAGAACACAAAGTTGTGCATTTAAAAGCAAAACTGCTGCCTCTATAATTTTAAACAGGATAATTCCGAAAAAGCCAAAATTGTGAAAGAGAACAATCTCATTTTTTTTTTTTTTTACAAATAAAAACGTTACGTAGAAATTTTATTTTCTACCTAAATGATATACGCAAATATTCGAAAAAAAGCATCTTCGCATTCACACACGTTTTTTTTTTTGTTTTTTTGTTATTAACGCGAAGAGAATATGCTTCTGAAGGTTTGGTCTGTTTCGAAATCATCTTGTCAATCAGTGTTAATATTGCAAACGCAACAAGTTTACTGAAATATTATATATGGGATAAATTAGTAGCAAATTAGTAGCAAATGAAAAGAAAGCTGACCGTGATATCGAGAATTAACTTCGATACTGCGTTTATGGCATTCAGAAAGAGAGGTACGTTTCTCTCAATAATTACAAAATAAAAAAAAAGAAAGTAAAACTTCATTGAAGAAAGAAAATTTATGTTATAGTTTGGAAATGAAAAAAATAATACGATCTCGAGGAAAAACTTTCTTCTCTGCATTATGTGTGTCCTTTCTAAAATTAAAAAACGGAACTCAACAACTCCTATTCTTGTGTATTTTCAATTTGGGGGAAGTTAATCGGGTGTGTGTTCTCTATATTTAACAGACCACTTATGCATCAATTAGTTTGACATAATTACATCGCTTTAACAGTAAATAGCTGACCCTGGTATACCCTTATACATATATTTTAATGACGCAAACCCAAATTCAAACGATATTATCTCTCGAAACACCAACAAACGTGTTGTGTGTATGTAGATCTAAACACATGTACAATCTTACTGACCAAAATATCCATGTAGTCGGTCAGAGGTCAATATGGAACGATGCAAGCGCTCAAGCCAAGAATTATTGAAGGGAGATGCTTCGTTTACGTACATTATTAAATAAAATAAATTTAATAATTAATCAGCGCAGTTTGTATTATATTTAATAAAAGAGTATTAATGTGTTCAATATTACATTTAATGCAAAACTGTTGAGTTAAATTTAGAAAAGAGAAAAATGTATAAATTTTATTTGCTGCGAAAAAAAAAGGAAGATTAACACTAAAAAAACTCATTTGTCATATTCTTCATAAATTTATCAATATGATAAATGACCACGTACTTCCATACATTGATCGCGGAGACCAATAAAGATCAATTTTCTGCGCTGATTGTTATTACTAAATCACTCGTGTTATGCAAGCGTTTGCGAGAAAATTAATTGTTAGTAACAGAGATACATGTAACAGAGAGAGAAAGAGAGAGAGACAGATATATATATATATATATATATATAATGAAGTGTGCGTGTCACCTTACCTCTGGCTTCTTCGGCGGCAGCTACGGGGAGTAGGTGTGAACATAGAAAAGAAATAAAAAACCAAATACATTCCAAATTCGAGTGCTAGGAGCTTCTGTGTATGTGTACATAGTAGTAACAGTAGAATAATAGAACGCATCAGCGTGTACGCCAATGACGGCAGTAGCAAAATAGAGAACGCGTGCAATTAAAGAGGTAAAAATTATATATATATATGTGTGTATATACCCCAAGTATGTAATATATATGTGTGTATATATATATATATTGCAAGAGAAGAGGAGGAACATACAGAGTGAAAAACTATGCATTATGTATATGGTGTATAGAAAATGTATATAAATTGGATCGATAAAAATACAAATTTGAGGCAAAAACTGCAAAGAAAAGGAAACGACAGCATATGCCTTTCTACAGATCTGGTCATCTATACTTCTTATTCGTGTCTATTTATTAAAAAAAAAATGACTTTTTATTCGCACAATGTAATGGAAAGAAAGGAATTGTTTGATTTGCGGACGTTCAGAAGGGATTCGGATATATTACGGAAAAAGTGCGAATCTTCTCGTAAAAGACATACCATAGGTTTGAAGACACTATTCCTTTGAGGCGCGGGCTGTCCCCCGGATCCTCCGCTACCTCCTCCTCCAGCAGGTGGCTGATGATTGGAAGGCGGCGTGGACACTTTGTGCGGTTGCCGAGGATCGTCTCGAGGTGTCGGAGGTAATGGCCGAGACGGTGGTTGCGGATCTGGCACCACTATTTTCAAATATTAACATTTTATGTCCATCTCTTATTATAAAACTATAATACTTTGAGAAAAATGATTAAATGTACCTATAAGTCTGTGCGGTATGGCGGGTCTTGCGGGTGGTCCAGGTTCAGGCACCTCTCTCTGAGATCTGCTTCCTGGTTTCTCTTTCGCGGCGGGCGCTTGAGGAGGTACATCCTGCGTTAATGTTCTGCCTTCCTGAATTTGTTGGAAGTTACGGCGCAATGTATCACCTCCAGGTGCTTGAACTATGGACGACGGTTCGCCGGCCAATGCCGGTTCATCTTCTTCGTTTTCACTACCACTATATCGATAGTCGTCCCTTTCTATAATGAGAACAACGAATTACATGATACAACGTATACCGAAGCAAGTTTCGCTCCAAAAGTAACTAACTATTTTCGCACCTTTCTCCTGTTTGCGTTTTTTACAACGATCAATATGGTCTTTCAGCTGTATTCTAACTTGTCTTTCCGTAGGTTGGTCCCGTATAAACGGATGTTTAAGGAGCTGTTCTGTGTAAGGTCTCTGATGATAATCCTTTACCAATACCGTTTCGATAAATCCGTGAAACTTTTTAGCCCATTTCTTCGATTTGAGTCGTGGCGGGGGATTACGAGGAATCAGGAACAAAGCCTGTGTTTAACGATAAGATTATTATAAACACGTAAATTTCGAATGTATGTAATAATACATTAAATATATATAAATCAAGAATATTCAACAATATATCGTTGAAAATTATTGAAGAAGACTCACTCTCATAGGATGTAGATCGCAGAGCGGAGGTTGTGATTCAGCCATTTCTAGAGCAGTAATTCCAAGCGACCAAAGGTCACTTCTATTGTCGTAAGTGGCGTCTGGATTCTCGTCACAAGCGATAACTTCTGGAGCCATCCAGTAAGGTGTGCCAATAAACGTATTTCTTCTACCTATCGTCCTGTCCAATTGTGCGCTAACGCCGAAATCAACTGGAAATCAGAAACGAACATGAGAAATATGAGAAATAACAGACTTGTGATATATATATATATATATATATATATATATATAATTCCCGAATTGATCTTACCAAGTTTGACTTCCGCGTTATCAGTCAACAAAACATTTTGTCCCTTGATATCCCTGTGGATAACTTTATTGCTATGAAGATAACTAAGTCCCCTCAGTATTTCTCGCGAGATATAGGCTATCCATTCCTCTTTCAAACTCTGGCCCTTGGTTGACTTGACAAGATCCGTGACGGAGCCAGCTCCGCAATATTCCATAACCAGCCATAATTGATCGTCCTTACCGGGTGATGACTTCTTTACGAAGGCACCGTAATACGTAGCTATATTTCTATGATTCGAGTACTGCGCAATATAAAAAGACTCATTTGCATTAATTTATTCCGTCAATGATCTAACGCTTTACGGTACTCGTAAATGTGTGCAGCACACTCACCCGTTTGAGTACATTTATTTCCAATTTAATTTCTTCCTCTTCATCCTGCAACAACAAGCAGCTTGTTAAACTACACGCATGCAATTAAGTTATGTTTTTTTTACACATGTTAAATAAATAATTACATGTTATTTTTAAGATACAAAACATTGCTGGTATATTTAACATTCAAATTTTTAAGTTCAAAACAATTGTGATCTCTTTAAACAAAATTCTTATCATAAAAAAAACATTTAGCTATTTTACGCGCGAGCGCTGTTTATATTAAATTGTTTAAAACCTGTAAACTTCAGCCGTGCATTTTTTAGAATTGTGAGAAAAGCAAAGCCTTACGAACACGGACTAGCGAAACAATCATCAGATGTTTCAGAAAGCAAAACAATTATTAGAGAATGTGAAAATTTCTTTCGGTTTGTTTGGAAAAGCAGTCTCTACTGTTTGTTAAAGTAGGTAAGTAGAACCGAGGCTTTACTCGCGCGTTGCACGGGAGAAAAGAAATGAGGCACGTTCGCAAGAAGAAAGAGAAAGAAAGAGCGAGAGATGGAGATACGCAAATTACAAACGTTGATTATTCCGCGACGCTTTTGCGGGAAAAGTTTTGAGCGACGCACGCGGAAAGAAACGACGACGAGACGCACGTTTGAAGGAAATATTACAAACAAACAAAAAAACAAAAACGATAAGCGGAACTGAAACCTATCGCCTATTTACTCGGAAAATATTTCATCAGATAAAAACATATCTTTGTGCAATTAATTATCTTCCGTGTTCGTTGAAGAGAAAACGCGTGTTTTGTACCTTCAATAAAAATATAACGCATCTTTTAGATTCTAAGAATTGTTTGAGTAACACGCCACACGTATCGCGCATTCATAGAAATGGTCTTTGTCTCTCATCGATAGCGGGAATGCAATGCGGCACTGATTCCGGAATCGTTTCGTGTATATCATATATATATATATATAGAGAGACGTCGCGGCCGCTGATAAAAATTTATCTAACTTGCGGTTGTCGGAACGGTCTATTTTCTGAGAACTGAAATATCTTTTTCTGACTACATCAAATCACAAATGTCTCGCCTCTCTCACAAAATAAACGCGTCTCATATCTCGGCAGACACACATATATCTCTCTTTCTCTTTCACAAAGCTCTCTCTCCGCATATTTCCGAGAACGGTAGGTAGGTGGTTGCAACAAACCGCAACGCACTCCACTCCGCTTCTCAAGAATGAAGCTAAGAGAGCTAGCTAATCCTACCGTTCGTTGAATCACTCCAAACGAGAAAGTAATTAAGTCGTGCTTCGCCGTGCGCGCAACACAATCGGATACTTGCCTCCGTGACGTCCATGACCTTGATGGCCGCCAGCTGACCAGTCTTGGTGTGCCGACCCTGCGGAGCAGAAAAGTGCATTGTCATTATCATCCGTTAAACACACAAGCCCCCGTAACGCTTACAACAATGACGAAATAACCACGCACCGGTGTGGTGATACGCTACTATCGCGCCCGACGTTATCTTACAAGGCTTTTTTTTTTCTTTTCTGACCATTGTGGATGAATAATTCTAATACAAAGAATACAAATTCCGTCGCGCGCGAGAGGGGTGGCAGAGTTATTCACCCACTCTGTCTCTTGTCGTTTACACCCTTTTTTTTTTCTCATCTCTCGAACGCGATCAAACCGATCAGCTGTAGTTCCCCACCTTGTAGATACCCACATGGGGACGATGATATTATTAAAAGACAATGACGCACATACACAGAGTTGACGCGGAACGTTCGTACACCCTCTCTCCCTCCTCCCTTTGTCAAGCATCTCATTTTCTTCAGCTACTGAAGGATAGACCGGGGGCACGAGAAGGAGACGTGATGTGTGCGCGGCGGAAAAAAAGCTTTACCGCGTGCTTTATATATTCAGTCTTTTTTTTTTTTTTTTTCAACTACAAAGCAACCACAAGCATATAGCCACGCGCGCACTATGTGTGCGCGCGGATATATATATATGACGTCTCTCGACCGTTTCTATTCTCTCAAAAAGAATCGGCTCGCAGTCCCCCCCCGCGTCTTTCGCTCGCTCGTTTGACGAATGGCAGCGGGTAGCCCGCGGTAGCTCTCGCGGTAATATCCGTCTCTCTGAATTCTCCACCTACGTGGAAACGTCGTCACTTGACTCGATGTGGAACTCGAGAGTTTCCGACGCGGAACGACAGAATCAAAAACGCGCGAGAGTTTCTGGGAGGGGAAAAGAAAGGGGGAGTTTTACGTCGGAGAAAAGAGATGTTTTTACGTATCTTGATTGTATAAGAAAAAAAAAAAAAAAAAACACCTACAGACAGAGCAAATGCGCGATTGCACGTGTGTGCAACTTCAAATGAACAGCTTATTCCGAAGCGGCGTTCGCGGAGAGAGATGCCCGGGTTTACCGGACATTACGACACTCCAGAAAATGTGCTTTTATCTCACAATGCATTGTGTCAACACAAGAGGCACCGATAAAATCATTTTTCGATTACCGTTGCGTCAGCACGACAAATACCTCACGAAGGAGAATCGATGGCGGTTTTTGTTCATTGTCGATCTCTTTCTCTCTCACTCTCTCTCTCTCTTTTTCTCTCGGTTTGAACGAATCGATTATCCGGAAATGAGGTTTGAATTATAAAGTGTTCCACAAAGTGTTCCAATCCCCTTCGCGTTGTGTGAGAAACAACATTTTCGTTGACGAGGCCGCGATAACAGATCTACGATTAAGTTAAAACGCTCGATCGACGCTCGTCTGAATCATCAACGTTTTCTTCGAAGTTCTCGAATCGACGGGTCTCTCGACGATGATTCCGAACGACGATGAGATTCGAGTCGCGAAATATTTGTCGCGCGCGCCCTTTTTTTTTTTTTTGTCGCTTGCGTGAGACTTTTCACGCGTGTCCGCGTGCGCGTTGTTCGGGGCTCGTTTCTCGGGTGCCGTCATCGGGTCATCGTCCTCTTCTCCTCCGCGCTTTCCTCTCGTCGTCTATCTCTCCTCTCTCGCGGTAGCGCGAAAGTAAAGCGGTTGAAAAGAACGCGAAAAGGTGGAGGGTGAATACGAACGGAATGTTCGTGCGAAATGCACTTTTCGACCCCGATAAAAGTGCAAGCTAAGCGTGAAACTTGCGCTTCGTTTTGAACCGCGTCGAGAGAGAGAGAGAGAGAGAGAGAGAGACGCGTAAAACCAGCGAGCGCGATATGTAGCTTTTCCTCGTGTATGAGTGTGTGCGAATCTTTTTTCTACAATTCCACCGATAAAGCGGGCCGATCGAATGAAGCGCGCGAAGCGAGCAGCAGCCGCATCGTCTGGGCGCGGACAACGTGAATTAATTGTGTCAGAACAACTTTCATTTTAATGTCGTTCGAAGTAAGAGGGGAACATTAGTAGTAATATCTCTCGCTGTGTGTGTGTGTGTGCCGCGTTTGCCGTCTCTTCCCTCGAGTATCTAAAGAGAGAATTTATTTCCCCGTTTGCAGCTTGTATGTGCGCGAATTAATCAACGGTGGTTCGTTAATTTCGATCGGATGTTTCTCCTCAACGTTGCGAAACGCGACGACTTGCAAATTCCGAAGTTCAACACGACGTGAAAAGATTCACGGAATTTGCGTAATTAATGACACGACGTAGAAAAAAAATATATATATAATTAAAAAAATATATAATTAGAATATGTAATTAAAAAGCTGTATATTAGTAAATAAATTAAGTTAATTAAACTATACTATGTCAACTTGTATCGTATAAAAACGTGATAAGAAAATTATATACTCGGAGCGACTGGTTTCTTATTTTTTAACGAGTATCGAGTTAGTAAGCGGATTTGTGTCTCATTGTGTTGAGCAAAACTCGTATACTTTCGATTTGTGAGATACGGCAATTTACTCGCGACGATTGTCGATTCTGCTGATGTAGAAGCCTGTTTCTAGACACGTTAGTGACATTATATGTATACGTGTGTATACGTTTCTTCGCGCGTCCTTCCGGTCGCGGGATTCTCGACCTCTCTCTCTCTCTCTCTCTCTCTCTCTCTCTCTCTCTCTCGACCGTACGATGCATTTTTCGCACCGGGTTATTCTTCCAAGGACGGCCTCGCGAAAGAGAATTTTTTCAAAGTGAATCACCGTCGTCTTCGCGCTCTCTGTTACAGGTGAGGATAGAGCTCCTTCTTTTCTCTCTCCCTTCTGTGTGTGTGTGTGTGTGTGTTTGTAACTCGACCGCACTGTGCATTCATCTCCCCACATCTCAACGGAAGAAATATTACGTTTTCCATGTCCCATGTCTGATTCTTACATTCATTTTGCTAGAGTTCTCGTCGCTCGGAGTCCCTCCGGGGGTTTTGAATTATTCCACGCGGTGCGTGCGAATTTAAAATCAATTACCGCCTTAACTGTCTCTCGAACGTAAGAAAATTTATCTCTCGTCGCAACTACCCGACAAGAACTCGCATCTAAACAGAGAAAGGCGATCTTTTTTTATTTCCCGTGAGCATTCCTGCCACGTGACTCACTCCATTTCTAAGATCACCAATTCAATCGGAGCGAAGCGGTTTTTCTTGATAAGCGCGGATGAGATTATTATTTTATTTTCCTTTTGTTCTTCACGCAGCAGCAGCAGCAGAACAATATTTTTATCTGTTTTGCATGCGAGAGAATGAGCCTTCCGAAGGTGTAAAACGAGCAGGAGGTAGTTTTATCGCGAGAATGCAACGCCACACGACGCACGCACACGCGCGCGCGCGCGCGCGTGTACACGTATCACTTTAAATATGAAAGTTTCCCACGTGCGCAACGCACAAGTGCGGGTTTTAGATCTTTTACACAGGACGGGATGGATACGAAACTCGGCGATAAAAATACGCAAACGGGAAGCACAGGCGGCCGCACTATAATAGTCCTGTGACAGATAAGATTTATGGATTACTAACGGAAGTGCGATAACCCACACAAATGTGCGCATGAAAATCAGACAAATTAGAGTTGTCCGCACCGTACGTGTGTGTGCGGAATATTTCGAAATATTAATCATCGCGTTGTTCAAACTGAAAATTAGACGCGGTTGATCGAGCTAAGTTTGATCAATATGAGATTAATCACTGTTGATGACGAGATAGAACGAGAAAAAAGCGAACAACAAAAATTACGTTTGAATTACTCACTTTGTAAACTTGGCCGTAAGTTCCATTTCCAACCACTTCTATCAGCTCGAAAATACCAGCAGGATCCTGTAAACAGAAATGATTAATCAACTTCTCAAAACACAAAGCAATTTCTTCACATCATTAAAAAGCGATATATCACAGTGTTCTATTTGTTTCTACATATCAGTGTCATTTAATTATCAAAAAAACGATTTTGACTCTTCGATGCTTCGAGCTCCGAAAAAGCGATTAGAAAACGTAACGCACGAAACCGCGTTAGATTGTGGGAAAATGAAACGCGTGAGTATTTTGTTCTCACTCGAAGAAACAAAAACTCATCAAAAGCCGCTACTACGTTGGAACAATTTGTACCTTTGGAGAAAAACATCGGAGTTAACGAAGTTTTGTTTCTCTCGCGCGCGCGCGTGCGACGTTTTTCGTCAACTGTCAACGAGACAGAGACGATAAAAAATAAGCATCGAATCGTACAAATGGCATCGAGATAACACTGTTTTTTTTTTTTCTTTTCTTTTCAAACGCGACAATCTCGCGCAGGAATACAAAATCGAGATCTCGCCGATTCGTTGACTTTCTTGTTTTCGACACATTTTCGCACACAGAGAGCGAGAAACAGCGGTGCGTGGACTCTGACAAACGCCGACGATTTTACGAAGAACGCGCGAGAAGAACAATCGCTCGATTTTTTTGTTTTTTTTTTTTCGAAGTTTTTACGCATCGTCGAGCGAACGATATTATTAAAATGTGACGAGCGAACAAGCGAGCGAGCGAGCGAGAAAGAGAGAGAAGAAACCTTCTCAAGGAGAACATCTCCCTCTTTTTCGTCTCATTGTCGCCCGTCGTCATCGTCGTCGTCGACGTTGTCAGTGTGTTTGTCGCGAGGTTAATCACCATGTTATAATGAGATGCGCGTGACACCAGGCGGGTCCAGGTGTGGGCAGTGCCGCCGGGACGCGACGTCCGCGGCGGCACGCGGCTCGGCGCGCTTCCTCGCTTTCATGCAAAACGCGTACCGCGAATAATCCACGGTATTTACATACCTTCAGAGCGTTCAGGTCAATGTCGTCGAGCGAGCAGTTGACGCTCGGTGCCAAATTATGCGCCATCTTGATACGCTACTCGCGCTCCCTCGCGTTATCTCTCTCTTGCTCGTCGTTGAAGCCTCGTTGAAAGAGAGAGAGAGAGAGAGATATATAGAAAGAGAGTGACACCAACGAGAGAGAACTCTCCTCGCTCCTTCCCGGTTGATCTTCGACTGCTTTCTTTTTTTTCTTTAAAAATTCTCTCTCCCTATCTTTCTCCCTCCTTCGCTCACGCTATCCTTTTCCTCGGGGCTCGCTTGTTCGCTTGAACCGGACAAAAATACGAAGGGAGAGGTCGGAGCAAGGGGGGAAAAATGCGTAACTCGGGTTCACTCGTCGCACTCAGCGCATTGACAACACGGAGAACAATTATCGAGAAGCACCTTGATGAACAAAAGCACACACCACGTACAAAGAGAACCAACTACTTGACTACGCGCGACAATTATTGAATCGCGGCGACACGCACGACGTTGATAATCCACTGGGAGGAGACACACGCGGAGCGGTGATGACGGCGCGGCACATGGCGCGGCGCGGAACACACCTAAAGTTAAAGTCTACTATATATCCGATCTATCCGGAGTGTCGATATATGCTTGGATATATATATATATATATATACACACACAATACCGGAGAGCCCGTGTGGTTAACACAGCGCGATCAGACAACCGGGCAACGTCGCGCCTCCATCGCGTTTCTCGTTTCCTCTCTCGGCTTTTTTTCTCTCTGTTTTTTTTTTTTTATCTCGCGCACAACGGGCGAAGGGTGCGCCAAGAGAGTTCGATATATACGCGCACTCTCGCTCTTTCTCTCCTCTTCCTCTCCCTTTTCTCCCTGTCTTTTCGCCAAGAGGCGAGAGATGACGGGCCGAAGACGCAGAGAGCGCTTAGCGCTGCTGGATCACTGTGTGTGCCGTCATAACGGATGCGGGAGAATCGGAGCCGATGCGAGCCGAGTCGAGCCGAGCCGAGCCCACACACCACGTCCTTTACGTGCTTTTACGTAGCCGTCGACGAGACTGCACCGCTGTGCACCGCCGCCACCGCCGCCACCGCCGCCGCCGCCGCCGCCGCCGCCGCCGCGGTCGTGAACACGCACACGTCTCTTTTCCCTCTTGTTCGCGCTCTTTTTCTCTCTCAGACTTGCGCACTTCGAGCGCACCGTCCGTTCCTGTCTCCGTCTGTCCCGAGTCTGTCTGTACGATCCGCTTTGTATATATGTTCGCGCAAGTACACACCGCTGACGTCACCAATGAACTAAACATGGCGACGCAACATCCGAGAATCCACGTTGCTCGCACAAATCGAACCACGTTCCGCTTGTCACTCGCAACGCGCGAATTGCTCTCGATGGCGTTCGCTTTGAAAAAAATTCGCGAGCGCTCATTGGTCGGGAGACGACTCGTCGAATCGCACCGATCTTGTTGCTAGCGACAAGTGGAACGCATCAGGGTTCTGATTGGACTCGGTTTTCGATTCGGTTAATCGGTCGATCAACAGTGTCACGCACGATCGATCAATTCTGCTAAATTGACCGATGCGATTGTTCAATTTCAACGGAATGAGCAATCGAGGCAAACAATATTTCGATTCTATCAAACGGAAACCACAAGTTTGTTTGAATTTCTTAACAATTTAACAACCAAAGATATTAAGACAGAGAATTAATTAACAGACACATTGCGACAAAAATAGGACTGCCTAGTTTTTTTATACATTGTATTCTTAGAACTAAACTTTTTACTTACAGAGAATGAAAACCATATATATGTACATTAACAATCAATTTTATAGAGCTTTATTATACATACGTTTTCATATATTGATATATATTAATATATATTATATAAATTTTTATATATCAATACATATAAATAAACAAAAACGTGAAATGTGAGGATTGACATCATCTATCTATCACATGTCAAGATGCAATACACACGTTAACAACGTTCAAAAATATCATTTAATTGTAGATTTAATATATTACATCATATATTACTTTTTCACATACGCAGCAACTAATACACACACACACAACGTGAACACCCACATACGCACATATCAATTTACTCATTGTTACGCCAGTATAAGAAATATTTATAGATCAACTTTTATATTTTCTACCTATATATATATATATATATATATATGTGTGTTGAATTTGTTAACATCTTCAGCATAACGCCGCTAATTTTCTGAGTGTAACCAAATCGCGAAGTAACATCTGAACTGTTTGTTTGGTACGAGGTTGAACTTGCGGATCTGATGCGAATTCATCCGTATCCATTGCCTCCAGAGCTGTGCGTTACAAATTACACAATAAACATTTGTTTCACATTCGTATTACTTAAAAATATTACCAAGTTAGCGATATCTTTTTATTACATACCACAAATTTGTGCTTCTATTGATGTCAACTTGGAATCGATGTGACATTGAAAATGTTCAATGTGCTCCAACAATCTCATTCGACATTCAGTTGGATCGATCGGTGCCTCGGGCTCCGGTATGAAAGGTTGCAGTGGCGTCGAAATTTCGTTTTCTACACCAGCTGTACTCGACTCATGTTGCATACTGTTACTAAGCGGTTCTGAGTTAAGCTTCTCCGATGTAGAATCGATTGTGGTTTTCTCGGTTGACAGATCTACACGAAAACAATGAAAAAATACTTTTCAATCAAAATTCATCGAATTTTAAAGAGAGTTTATTATTTTGTTCTAATTGTAGATCTTTGATACTGTACCTGTGCTCTCCGTTTTAACGTCTGATATAACATCTTGCACGTTATTTTTTTCTTTTGCGTCAGAACTGCCGCTTGTTAACGCGTCTAAAAGTATATGACTATCTTGCGAACTCATCAAGTCTTCCTTTTTGGACTCGTCAGAATGTGTGCTGTCCTCTTCCAAAATTTTCATTAATTCCGAATCCGAAGCAATTGATTTTTCATCTTGATCGTCTTTTATGAACGACTTGACTTCCGTTTTTATCTCGGTGTGTCGTAAATTCTCCGATCCCGTGTCAGTGCCGCCAGTTGATTTCGTTATTTCCATTATGGGTACCGGTTCGATGTCTATTTTTGGTAAATCCGTCTTCTCCCAGTTCTTCGCCCACAGATATAATTTAGGATGATCTTTCTTTCTATATAAATTTTAAACAAAAATTATTTATATCTCTTCTTTATACTGAAATATTTTTGTTAAATACGTGTAACATCTCATTAAAGCTGTCATCTCATCTCCAAAATTTCGTAAAGTGAAAAGAAACAGCTTTAATGACATTGTATACACACGTAGATTTAGATCGTAACTTACTGAGCCACATTGATTTTTACACGCAGACTATGAAGAAGTCGTTGTATTTGTAAAAGTGCCGCAACTAGATCATAGGAACGTTTCAGCGTCGCAGTCCTTTGATTTATTACATACTGATTCCGTGATCGATTAGATAAACTAAACATTCAACAAAATTAATATGTAAAACCATATATATATATATATATATATATATATATATATATACATATATATAATATGCATATGTGTATAATCAAAAAATACCTTGGCAATTTTCCTTCTTTAATCCAATCCTGATCGTGAAAATATTTCTTAGACAGTCTTTGACGATACGGATGTTGGCATATGTAGCAAATGTATTTTTCAGGAACATCCCGTTCCCTTTCAATTGCATTACAGTGACCGTGTTGCCAACAGAGACAAAGGTCACATTGTATCATTAGGCCGTCTTCTTCCATATAGCCACAAGTGCAATTTATTATTTCCTCTTTCCGAAGTTGTTCTACTTTGACCAATTCGCCATTGATCATCATCATCACTCCTTCGCTTTCTGTGTGGTAGAAAATTATTAATAAATTTATATAAAACAAAAAACACACATAATACATACATATATGTCACACCACGTATATAATTCTTTTGTTGCGCATAAAGTGAAACTTAAGACAGAAAACAATAAAATCGGTACTTAAAGTAGTGATAAAGCGCATAAAAAAAAAAAAGACAACAAAATAAATAAATGTACCTTCTGTATCATTATTAATATCTGTTTTGGTTACATCCCCTTTTAAGGGATCACTTTTTTCAATGCGAGAATCATTTAGTTGACCTAAGGAACAATAGATAGAGAGAGAGAGAGAAAAACAATAGTAAATATTATCCAAATACGTATCTTCAAACAAAACCCTATTCATTTTCCCTAACAACTAATTAAATTATCAAAACAAGCGTATTTGAGCTAAACAATTGCCTTAATAATTGCATCATTTTGAGTAAAGTTATGAAAATAGTTAATTTTGTACGTTACGAAACGATGTTGCGCTTACTATTTTGGCTATTTTCGTCACTCTTGGAGTCGGATTTTCTCCTGCTATATCTGTACATAAGCGCGGTAGGTCCCTCGGCGTCCATAGCACTGTCGTCCAGATCACCAAAGCTATCGGCAAGATCTGATATACCTACTCAATGAAATATCATCAGATATACAAAACCGACTTAAATTTATCCTATAAACAATATAATAACTTATATATATAAATTTTTTAAAGAAATCAAAATGCAAAAGATTTTTACCGTGTCGTTTCTTTCCCTTAGCTGGCAAGTTCATGCCATGCTCAGGAAGTTGCTTTTTCTTTTGCATCTTGGGACGCTCGATGTGCGGTGTTTCGTCCAGAGATTTCACCTTGTCAGATTTCTGTATCTCCGATGATCCAGGTGGTCTCACAGGCAACAATGTTTTGATTCCACCTTGCGGTTTTTCCTCTTTGACTTTCATGTCAAACAATGTACCAGGCGATAACGCACAGTTATTCTCTCTTTTCTTTTCAACATCTTCATCTATTTCCACGCTATGATTGGATATCGAAGACATTGTCTCGATTTTCATATCTTCTTTTTGCAAATCACTGCACTTCTCTGACTGATCAATTTCCTCGTCCAGTTCCGGCGCAATTGATATCGAGGGAGATGACGGTTGTACAGTGTTCAATGTCGATTGTTGCAACAAACCGGGCGATGACTTTTCCGGTAGAGATTTTTTCTTTCCGAATTTGTTTATTTTCTCCAAGAACGTTGACGATTTTTTTGGAATAATATCTTCTATGGATTCTCCAATTGTTCTTGCGTAGGCCAAATCTTCAACTTTTGGTGTGGATCCCAGGAACTTAGAATATTCAGGATGATAATGCTTAATATGCATTTGCAATAAATTTTCTTTTCGAAAGTTTTTATTACATCCTTCCTTAGGGCACTTATAAGCATTATCTTCCATTTCCACGCGAAGTCCGCCACATAATCCGATGAAAACCGCTGATATGGAAACAGTAATATACAAATTACACAAATATTGTGAAATTTATCCATATGTGACGTGTCTAAATCCTACTTTTCTAGTCTATTAAAAAAAAGCTATTAAATCTATTTTGTAAAAAAAAAAAAAAAAAAAAAACTTCGATAAGTACTTACAATAGATCATCTCTGATGTATTAGTGGAATGTGAAAGACAAAGATATTGCAGAGAGATTAAAATATGATAAAATTCACATACAAAATATATTCTAAAATACTTACCGCCATCAGCGGAAGTTGTAGGAGTTGAAGTAGAAGTATTGAATGGACTATCAATACTACTGTTTGTTACTGTAGTGAGTAACATATTTTCGGACGTAGGCACTGTGTGTGGTTTTGTTTTAGGTAATAAAGTTTTTATTTTCTTTGGTACTTCTGGTGTAACATCGTGTTTCACGCGATGAACATTATTCCGTTTTCTGCGGTGTATACAAAAATCGAATTTTTCAGGATCAAAATCGTATTGTCCTTGATTCTCCATAAATACTCTGATGTCATTTCTGGATCGAAATTTTTTCCCAGTCTGTTTACTTTTAAATTAAAAGAAAAAAATTAAGTAAACGCAACGTTTGTATTGAATAATACTTCGTCATAAAAAAATTTCTGATTATTTAGCTTACTGTATAAATAAAACGTCCCACTTCCCAGCAGACGAACCAGTTTTTCTTTGAGTGAAGTGCTTTTCCCAACCAGGAGGTAGTCTTCTGTCTGGCACTATTATAGATCGACGTGGTCCTAGAATACAAACTTCCACATTTTTATTTTCACATCATTACAAAATGTTTGTATCAAAAGATAAACAAAGAGCTTACTGGAAGCTACGATATTTACGGTGTAACTTACCGTCGTTACCGTCTACAATATAAGCCTCTATCCCTTGTGGTTCTCCGTCGATCCATTCAGGTCCGACATCTTCTTCCAGATCTGTGTCAAGTTTGGGTGTTTCTTTCTTGCTTTTCTTTGAATATGATTTAAGTTTTGCAGGATTGGCCACATCGAAGCCTCTTAATAAATCTGTACCCGGATCGTAGCAAGCATCATAGAGCGTGCCGTCCACTTTGATCTTGTTTTCTACATAAGTTTCCTCACTTTCTTTCACGATAGTCTCTTCTTTCTTTGGTATTTTATCAGCAGTACTTTTGTCTGATTTTGTACGTTTTCTCGAATGAAACAATTCCATAACTGTGTGTTTCCTTTTCTTATCTCTTCTTTCTTGCTTGCTGCCAATATATCCGTCTGCTTCATTCAATTGCTGTTTAAATTGAGATGAAGAAACAATTCACAAGTGAACACTGGGATAAAAATTATTTTGGATTTTCATAAAATTATTATTTAGTAGATTATTGCTTTTTAATAAAGAGCTAACAAAATAAATAAGGGGGAAAAAAAACAACATTAAATGCAAAAATGTGAAATACTGCTCGATTCTATTAACGACTTCATTATGGAAATGAAGCCAAAACATTACAGAAGTATTTGGTACATATTTATCTGACACTTTAATCTAGTCTGTGTTTTGTATTTGCTCAGCTGACAATATTCAAGCTTTTGGACTTTCTCTAGGACTTCAGAGCAAGAGATTTTATCAAGCTGCAGTTAAAAAAGAAACAACAACATAACCTCAATCTGAATATTTGTACCTTGGTTGGAGTTGCGGCGATTTTTTCCATTTTCGATGACTTGATGATCTTCTCGTATCCATCATCGAACAACACGTTATACCTATCTGCAAAAATGATTCACTTTGAACTATTTTCGACGTTTATTGAGATTTGTTGAGAGATAAAAAGAACTACATATATATCTCCTTTCTAAAGAGTAAACGTCAAACGGTAATCTGCGAGACGCAGTCCGTCTCTTTTTCGCGCACGGATAAGGTTAGAATTGGGTTAGGTTAGGTAAATTTAGGTCTTTACCATTCGGCAAAATCGCACGGACTTTTGCTGGATATTTTCTACCGTCTGCCCATGTAGCAAGTATCCTTTCTCCCACCAAATACTCCGTTTCCCTGGAGGTGCGAAACCTACGCATTACTAATTGTATGACAAAGTCGAATAACAAAATAAGAAAAAACTAGAAGCAAGAAAAAAGATACGCGCGTGACGTGTCAATGTTTAAATAAACAAACATCAGTTTACATGATTCATCTGTCTGATGTAAATGAGCACTGTGTGTACTAAAACTTCAGAAAAATAATTCAGCAAAACTTTCAGCAAAAACTTTATTCTACTTACACTCTAACAACACTAAATATATACAAATCAAAGTAATTAATTATACGTAGGTTGCTTCTATTCAACATAAGTAGAAAAATAGGGTTACAAATGTTGTATTTGGTATTGCATTATCATTAAGAAAAATGGTAATATATGTAGAAAATGTGTAGAAAAAGTTTTATTTGCGTATTCTGCTAAAAAAAAAAAAAAAAAAATTATTTGTTCACTAATACCACAATTCTCACTTACAAAGACGGCAGGATCCACAGTTGGTCGCTTCGTAAGACAAAAGTAGTTGATCATATGCATATGTGTGTGAATTTTAAATCAACTGTGCGTGTCATCAAAGTATAACGATACAATTCTAATTTTAAGCAAAAAAAAATAGAGAATACATACTTCGCTGGTCGAAGTCTGGAACTATCCATTGGTATCCACTCGTCAAATCTTGAACTCCACTTGTCAAAATGTATTAAAACTTCTCTTTCGTCCCAATCTGTTTCCACCACTTTTGCAGAATACCTGTAAGAATAGTAGGCAACGTACAGAACTTAGTTTTTGTTTCACATATAATAATGTTGCAATATTTACACAATAATTATAGTTGCGAATACATAATTCCAAATTTAGTTCACATACACTGTGCAATCGTTCGGCTGTTCATTTTTTTTTTTGGTTTAGCACATTCTTAAAATTTTATACAAATATATTTACCATTTTTCATTGAAGTCTTTTGCTTCCAATTTGGCACCGGGAGAAAAGTCTAATCCACCGCAATTTAAAACTTTCGGTTTTAATTCCTCCGTTTTCTGAAACTCCTTGTTGTTCGGACACAATTCAATGGTCTTCAATTCTTCCTTTAACATTAGATCTTTGGTATTGGTTTCCATTGTTGTTCCTGACTCAACAATACCAAGTTGCATCGCCACCGTGTTCAATTTGCTGTCAGAATTTTCAGAGAGTTTGTCTTTCATTTCTTCCTTCGGAGTTGTCATTTTAAATTCGTTATCCGCTACTTCCAAGCTGGTTAAGGAGTCCGCAGATGATTCCGGTCTTGAGTAACAGGTCTCGCCACAACTATCTGATTTAGGTGTTCTCGCTTCTGACGATAATGGTGAGGCAGAATGCTCCAACTTTGATAACTCTATATACACAAATAAATATATATATATACACACATACACACATATATAATTTATATATTATCGAATATGTTTTCATGTACCTGATAGATATGAAATATTCTCGTGTAATTTTTATCGATAAAATCTATACTTGTTATAACTCGCAGAAAAAATCTTATTTAAACAAACATTGTTTTTTTATTTCTAGCAAAAATATCTGAACATCAGTCAAGTTTGGAAAAATTATACTAAGATACTAAAAATTATTCAGAGATTCTAAAAAAGATTTTTGAAACAAATATAAATTACAAAAATAACACGTGTAAAAACACAATACGACGGAAGAGATCGACGAAACAATCGAAATCGCGATTCAAATTTCGCGCTCTTCACGCACAGCCGGATTTGCGGAACACTCATGTTTCAACTATTTTACGCGACGCAACAATTTACAATCGTTGACAACTTTCGAACTTTCAACCAACATATATCACGACAAAAATACAAAATATCTAGAAAACTACACGTTGTCTCTCTCTATATATATAAAATTCTCAATGTCACGTATTTGCATAGATGTTGGCAATTATGACGTCATGTGTATATATAAAAAAAAAATCAAAATAACGCTGTTGTGTTACGAGTGCCAGCGTGGTGCAATTTTGAGCCAGCTAATAATCGACTGTCGATTCTCATCGTGACTCATGCCGGTGGCGTGAAAGATCCACCGCCAGTGCCATTGTTGAAAAAAAATGAGAAAAAAAAAAAAAAACAAGCTGGCAAGAAGTGTATATACCGGCACGATGCGGCGTGACGCGACGCAGTTCGGCAAACTTGAAGCTGGCGCGTTGCACATGATACGACGAATGGGACACGCGGCGAAGAGGAAGGAGAAAACGCAACGAGGATACTATGGCGGAGCAAAGAGAACGAGATAGAAGAGGAGGAAGGAGAGGGAGAGAGATAGAGAATGAGAGTGAGAGAGAGAGAGAGACAGAGTGAGCGACAGTTGCGCGAAGAAAGGTAACATTGTGTTAAACGCCTCGCACCGTCCATTTCGCTCTCGTAGCACGAGAGCGATGGGCCGTGAGTGCGCTATCACACGTACCGGAACGAGTGTCATGATCCGCAAAAACCGAGGGAACGCTGCCCTTCTTGAGCAGGAATTTGTGACCGCCGCGAACGGTCTCGTAGTCGGCGCTTTTGAAATGTCTATGGCAGACGACCTGTCCCGGCGTCGGTTTGAAACTCTCCTCAAATCCGCCGCTTGCCAACCACCTGTCCCGCAACGCGGCGTCCTTGGGAAACTTGTGAAACGGCAGTCCTTTGGCGCGCGCCTCCTGCACGTCCGCCTCGCAGCTACGCACGCAGCATTTGCGCGCCATTCCCATCGCCCCCGCCGCCGCCGCCGCTACCGCCGCTGTCGTCGTCGTCGCCGCCGCCGCCGCCGCAACCGCTGCCGATGCCGCTGTCGCGGTTACAGCGGACGATACCCTCCCCTCGACGCGCGATATACGTCGCCGCTTCATTTACACGCCACCGGCATTTATGTTGCGGCGTGTCGGCATTTAGAAGGACACTTGCCAAGAAACGGAAGCCGGGGGAAATCAAGCGCCTTGGTGAACAACACTCATCTCTCGAAACCCGGTTCGCTCCCAAACGAAATTGTCGACATCACTCGCTTCTCGCGCGAAACACGAATCACACTTTCCGCCTTCGACGTACGCGAGTGCAAACCGCACAGGCCCAACTCGGCTCGGTCTGCTCGCGCTCCGCAGACGTTCGCGACACTATCGAACCAAACGTTTCGCTTGCACGCGCGACACTGATCAACCGATCGATATGGCAGCATCCAGTTCAGTAATGTGGAATTCGGATGTCGCTGCTGTCGCCTCTCAATCTCAAGTAGCGCTTACGTCGCTCGCGTCGATATCCGTCGTCGGGCGACCTAACCGACGGAGTCGCTCTCTCGCGCGCAAGCGTGTCGAGTGACCCGCTCGTCGATAAGGTTGGAACACTTGCTTGTCGGCGGCACAACTCGACCGTGGGGAACATACGTACCCAAAATACAGCGGACTCTCGTCAAAGTTCTTCTCGTTGCTGGAAATTACATAAAACTACGGAACACCAGAGGATGTTGTTTAAATATGGTAAAGTTTATTTAATAACATCACAGATACAATAATTATGTACATAAGAAAATGCGCGGCACTGTCGTGGCCGCGCACTTTCATCTCTACCCCACTGTCAACATTGTAAGCACTGAGATACTAAGTTTTCGGAAAAAAAGGTGCTGCGTAAAAGGGCGGATGTTTCTCGACGACTTCGAGACAGGGGATAAATTCCGCTCCGAGATCCGAAAATTGCACGACCTAAAATCAACATCATCCAAATCCCATTCCAGAGACTCCGTCGTCCTTCCTCCCGCGCGCGCGCGAAAACTAAAAAAATTTCGCTTAAAATCACCTTTTACCATTTTGCGAGAGTTGTAAACCGTGTGATCAGATTTTTCCCCTCTTCTCGGAGATCGCGTTTACAGATTGTCCCCGGACGAAGACAATTTGTCGAATACGTAAAGTTTGACTTGAGCGTCATGCCTTTGAGGTGGCGCGACAGAGTCGGGCTTCACCATCTGCGAGGCACATGGAGGATCTATAGTACGGGGTAACAGAGTACGGTTGAGCTCAGCCATCGAGGCAGTTTGATCCTTCAAGGGCAGGGTTACATCTCTCAAAGAGTCTGTAGGTGAGGGTGGAAGCATCACTTTTTCGGGAGCACTTTGAATAAATATCACTCTGCGAAACAAAAAAATTTGACGGTAATTAGTTCAGAAATTGATCATATACATCTTTAACAAAAGCCGTGAGTTTAAACCACGTACCTATTAAACGCTCGCCACTTTCTGCACAGTGTCATGTACGCTTTGCATTGAATGTACATAAAAACTAATCCACCGGTAGAACCAATTATAACGACTATTAATTTTGTCCAAAAGGACCAATCGACAAATCCGTGACGGGCTTCCTCTATCGAACGTTCGACGAGAACGTACAACGACCACGCCACGCAGAGCGCAGCTATAGCGTGAAAAGCGACAGCGCACAATAATCTTCGCACTTCTCCTCGAGACATCTCGAGCTTCTCCCACTGCAAATAATCGTTACACAAGTGTTTATGTATTTGACGCAATCACAGAAATACGCACGCAACTTTTTATCTCTATTTTTTTTTCTCTTCAAAATAAGAAATTTACTAACCTCGCAAAACGGCTTTGTCTTGGCATGCATAATAAATGTAAACTTGCATAATTCACAGGCACGTGTATCCGAAGCTTTTATCCATTGTTGAAGACAAGTCTGATGTACGTAGCGCAGACTACCGCTGCAATAACAGGGGGCAAATAAAGGGGCACCTTCTTCACCTTCGCAATGGCAGATCCTATTTAGAAACGAAAAAAAAAAAAAAAACAACTTTTCGTATAATGAAGTCGAGGTTGTGAATATATTTTAGCTATCATGTACAGCACACAATGGCATATAATCTGCATATATAATATTATTTTTCAGAAAACTGGAAGCGTTTCTTTCTTGACTTGACCTTTTCGGAGTTTTTTCAGACTTCAAAAATTCTTGAAAATTGTATTCAGTGATATTTATATATAAAAAAAAAAAAAAAAAAAGAAAAAAAAGAATAAAAGGATGAGACCGAAAAGTTGGAGTTTATTTCTCTTCTAATTAACATATATGATGTACTTGCCTGCAAATATCATGATTGGTCGAGGATAACGAGCTCACAGACGAATGACAATGTTCTGGTATAATGGTAACTACTGTGGCGTAACTCGATTCCTAAAACACACACACGCACACACACACACACACACATTACAATGAGCGGATCAATGAAAAAAAAAAACGTTCACTATCAAAGCATTCTTATCTTATATATGTAATTTATGCCTGAATATGAACGCTTTTCAGATACTGTTATCATAACACATTAATTATCAAGGCAACAGAATTTTATGATACATAATACTGAATATATATTGTGAACTACTTCATATAATTTAACATGATATTTCACATGTTTTTAGCTTTAATGTCGCACAGTGTCCGATTACCTAATTTAAATTATCTAGGGTAAGGTAATTTTTCTACGTATTTCAATAAGATTATTTTATAAACAAAGTGTGTCTCTCTCATGTATCAATCACACTTATTTTCGTAAATAATTATAGACTTTTTGCTTAAATATTCTGTTACTTCTTTCCAACAAGAAATATCATGTTGTTTATCACGATGTTTTTTCCACTTATCTAACTCCACGAATGGAGATTTTTGTAGAGAGAGATATTTGGATTCACAGAAAGTTAATCTCCCAAAGAATCTACAGTTTACAAAAATAGCACTTTCTTTACAAAAAAAAACACCAAGTATCTCTACTTTTTTTTTTTTTAAAGATGTAAAACAATCATAACTGAAACACCAATTGCAAATCAAATTGCAACTTTTTATTACAATTGAAAAACTATTGACTCAAGAGAAAAATTTTGTTTAAACAGATGAATATATGTTACCCGTGGTGTCCATTCCGGTAGGTTTTCTCCACCAGCAGGGCTAGTATTACTGGAAGTACCAATTGACAAAGGTGGTTGCCTGTCAGGTGGGTTAACAGTGATCTGATGAACCGGCATCACTCTCTGACCTTGCTAGATATATATAATCACTAACAAATAAATTTGGTTAAATGCATCCTGGATATAGCATCCTTGTGGTATAGTATATCTGAATGTCAGAGATTATATGTTCTTTTGTGTCTTGTGATTACTGTTCAGCATTTAGTATCAAAACATGTATAGCCTGAAATCAAAATACAAGGGGCTATATTTATAAACAGATATAAATATATACATATATATGTATTTATATATGAGAACTTCTGTTTATATCTGCACCAAAACAACATACATATGCAAACAATAAAACCACTAAAATTGCAACTTTATACTGTAATTATATAAGAATCTTTTAATATCTTTAATATTATAACTTTTATATATATATGTATATATGTATGTATATATATCTGCACATATATAGATATACACATGTATACGTACATACGTGAGGACGATATAACGTTATATATATATATATATATATATATNTTTTTTTTTTTTTTTTTCTATTTATCTCGGTATTTTTAAATACTTTTTAAAACACAGTTTTTTTTTCACACATCAACTCATCACTTAATTAATCTTTGTTTAATCTGTGTTTAACAAGAGAACAATCAATTTATCGAATCTACGTATATGTTTTTCAAACGCGCACAAAAAGATAACAGTTATTTGTAATTTCGCGCACAAGTTGAAAGATAAATTTAGTTGCCGCACAAAACGGGCGTCAATGATGTAGAACCAGTGACATTTCGCGTAAGGTTAAATACCGCTGATAACGAGTGTTTTTTTTTTTTCTCGCGAGACACGAAAACTCCATCGCGCAGTATATTAAAACAAGCTGTTCTCTATAAACAAGGAAAGTACCAATATAGCGATAACAAACTTGCGCACGTCGTCGTCGCACTCTCGTCGTCGTCGTCGTTGTGGTCGTCGTCGTCGTCGTCGCCGCGAATCCCGAGGATCCCGTTCCGTTCTGTCTCTTTGTGACTCTCTCGCTTTTGCGCCGAGAGACGTTCAGCGAAGTGTTCGCGGGAGGAAGAAAAACAAAGCGTACACTGGCGTCGTCGTCACGCGCGTAACACACCTTCTTCTGCTTCTCTGTATCACATTCGTGCGGATCGGCGGGTCTCTTCTCGCCTCACGGAGGGTGGAGGAGGGGGGAGGACGACGATCGGGGTCCGTATTAATTTTCGATGGCCGGCAGAAATCGCTCCGCGGCGGTCGCACGGCTTCGCGGTGTCGCTCCGGCCCCGGGGGCCGGGGGGAGCGGGGTAAAAAAAAAACGAGAGGAAAGACAACTGGGACCGAAATTTTGACCGCTTCGTTCTTGAGTCAATGACACGGACACGACGGGTGACAGATAACTCAATGCGCGAGATCACGCGCACGAGTGATTTCACCCACCCGTACCACCGACGACGACGGCGCACCCGACGACAACACGCGCGTTGTTGCAATATCGTCCACCGCGAGAAACTCGCCGACACTGTTCGCGACGAGCGCGCTCGAAACGAAATCGCGATCTCGGAAATGCGTCTTCATCGGAACGCGTAAACAGCAGCGCGTTTTCGAGCAACAACAACAACAACAACGATCTATCGTACCGCACATTTTTCCCGCTGCGCCGCCATGAACGCGAATACGTGTAGGCGTGGCTTGTATACACGGTCGTCCCGGTCAATGCGAGAGCAGAAAGCAGAAGCGCCTGAGCGAGTAGCGAGGCGCGGCGATTTAACACACGCGCGGGATTTCGATTTTCGCGTCCTATCCCATCATCCTATCGCGGCGATACACACAAAACCGGGAATGTCTCAACTTGTATCAAGTTGACACATACAACTCGCAGATTGATTGGCGCAATCAAGTTTTGTTTTATTTTTCACAGATTTGGCTACTACACAGATTTATTCACATACAATTCGTACATACCTATATACAATTTTGCGCACGTTGCCATTTGTAACAATATAAATCCATAAATAATAGTTTAAAAATATATGTGTAATCCATGTATTCTAGATATAAGAAAGATTTAAAAAAGAATTGAATCCTTGGTAGAGGATAGCAAGCTAAAGTTGCCGAATTCGTCATACTCTGCGTCAAAAGAGTCTAAATCGTCTTGAGCGGAAGTCAGATTCACATCCGCATTTGTATTGCACGTAGCTTTGTTCGTTTCGTTGGACAAGGAAATGTTTTCGCTAACGTTATCGAGCGGATAATCGATGCTCGTCCGCTCGACGGTATTGTCGACCCTTTCGATACCTTGCTCACCCAGCTTGAACGTTGAATCGTTAACAATTGTATCTTCGGTAATCTGACAAGATTCGCCAAATGAAAGCATCTTATCGTCCGATTGCATTTTCGTCGATGACGAGCTATCGATATTGTTGATTTTGGAATCACTCGAGATTGTTTTTAATGTGGCATCTTCAACACTTCCGTCTTCGTATCGAGAAGCACTTTTAGAACGAACGTCAATCGATTTGTGCTTGTTAATCGACACGTTATCATTCTTCAACACGTTGTCGGTAAGTTCACGAGAAATATCTGTCGGACATACACAAAAATCGTATACAATGAAACTTCTAAGCACTCGATGTTTCAACGATTCTAATTAACAAATGTTCCTTTTTTTTAACTTACCTGTCTTGTTAGTTGTGGGTGAAGATAAGAGTTTCCCGACACACAGTCCCACTGCAAACACACACTTGAATTAATATTGACATTTCATAAAATATGTTTTTTGTTAAGTACATAAATTTTATTTACCTGTTATTCCCACAGCAGCGCCAACGTAAAACTGAGCGTTTTCATTCGTTTTGCTTGTTTTTACACGTCTTTTTTTAAACATTTCTTACTTTTTGTTTGTGTTACGATAATAGGCCAGTACTCTTTTTCTACTTCTTTTTAAGATTGATTTCTACTCGTGTCAAAACGGAAATAATTTCTACTGCCTGTGTGAAAAGCGACGAATTATTGTTTTGCCTGTGTAAGACGCGCGCGACAAGATGTCTACGAGTTGCTAAGGTCATCACATGGTGCAAAATATAAACACATGTAACAGCGTAATATTGAATTTTATCTTCAAAAGAAAACTCAAAATAGTCAGACTAATATTGTTTTATTGGCTCGCAATGTAAACAAAGTGTACAAAAATATAGTTTTTATAATTACAGAAAATTATAAAATGTTTTTACAGAAATCTGGGAATACAGCAGCTTGTAATTATTAAGTAAAAAAATACTAAGTGGCAAATTAAAAAAATGAAATATTAGAATTTTTTTTATTATATCGTTAAATTACAAAATTATTATTGTTTATCTATGTATCATTTAAATCTATCATCCGATTCCGAAGACTTTGTCATTTGTTCTCTCTTTATGTCATTTTGACTTGCTACATAACTATATGTCACAATTATATATATTATATATTTGTTACATCTTATAAATACGTATCCAAACATAGTTATTTTTAATTTCGTCGCTAAAAACCAGAAAGATAGTTTACACTTTGCAATAGTTTTCGATAATTTTTTTGATTTAAAATCTCATCTAAAAAAAATTTCAATGAGACAATCTGACAATCAAGCATCGGATTTTAGGAGCAAGTCGTAGGGACTGTTGAATTGCGAAAATAAATGTACAAAAAAAATAAAAAGAGATTCTATATGTTGAAGAAAAAATATAAAATTTTTCACGAGAAAGAAATTAGTTTAGAATTATCAAATATTACAATAAAGTGCTACAACAAAAAAAGATTGATAGAAAATTCGATGTTATTTGTATACGTATTTAAAGATATAAGCGAATACAAGTTTTTGCCGTTATAGGTTTTTTGCAGGTGGGGCAAGGTTGTTTTGTTTTTTCATCCAGACACATCTTCAAACATCCTGCACAAAATATGTGTCCGCAACGAGTAGTTGTGGGTTGCAGATCGGACGATAACACCTCGAGACATATTGGACAACTTAAACCTATTGAACTTTTATTTGTATTCGATTCGACATATTCTGGAATGTCATCGACAACTGTTTTTTTTCTTTTTGTTTCATTCGCACTTGTAACGTTACATATCTGCAGTACGGATGTGTCTCTAAAATATAAGGATTTTGATATAAGAATTTATATTTAACAATATAAATATTTATATTACCGCTAGCTACGTAAATACTATTTATACGAACATTGGATCACAGTTTCCTAAAGTTATAGGTGACAATGGTCTCCTACAAATTCTTTTGCGTCGTTGGGTAGATCTGCAGGCTCTTGGTGTTTCTTTAGTTAGATCAATGATGTCAATTGTTGACGGTGTTGATGACGAAGAACTCTTTTTTTTATTTTCCATTGTATTGTTACGTATACTCATATATTTATATTATCTGAAATATATTGACAGTAGTGTAAAAAAAACAGATAAATCTCTAAAAACTTTGTTGTTAATTAACTATTGTTAATTAAAAACAATTGGAAACTGCTTATTTGTTCATTTTGCTTCAAATCTTATTTGGCAGAGTTGCAAAACCGCATGGAAGCAAACTGATTCATTATTTTAGCAACAAAAAGAGCATTGGTCTGTATATCTTTTGTTTGTTTCAACTTTTATCGTATGTTCAACACATTTTAAAATTTGACATAGATATGTGATATAGATATTCGAACTTTTTATACAAGAGTATTTTCTTTTCTATATTACATTATATTGACCACCATTGAATCGGTACACAACAGAGGAAAGAGAGTTTCTCATCTATGCGTAGTTCTTTCTTATTCAGACTCTTTTCAGTGGACCTATATAATTCTGGGTCAGAAACTACTGTTCTAGACTTTTAACCACGGCCAGCAATAACCAAACAAGGTCTTCTGTTCAGCTATTCAATCAGCTGTTGACAGCTTAGAGCAAATCAGCGCATAGAAGAGAAAAAACCTATTTTCTCTCGCGAAACCGACTCGTTGCATTTTGCAATGTGTACATAAGTCCTACGTAATCTGTGTTAATTCAGAACGAGTGCGATCAATTCTGACAAACTTTGATCTCGCAGAATTGACCACATTGGTTATTCTTGCACAACTGATTGAGTTAATTAACCAATTGAATCAATCAAGATTTAATCACACTGACTCTTGAAACTGGATGATTTTTTTTTCAGAATAAAAACTTTTATGATCGAATACACAACGTGCCAATCAACGTGCAACGTTTTCTCACAAACTGTTGTGTTGTTTACTCAATTTGTTTCAGCACGACGATAAGAATCGGCATCAAGACGATAGGTTGAGTCAGGTTAGATTGGATTAAAAAAGAAAAAAAGAATCAGCATTAACATCGCGCGTGATTATTAGAAAGCAAATAAACACACACATGTTGATTGTTATTGTTTTTTAAATGTTATCGAATTGTAGAGAATTGTATTATAGGCGCACACGCACCTGTCTGAGAAAAGACTTCCTCTCGCGTTTTCAAAATTTTGTTTTCAACTCTCTCTCTCTCTCCGTCCGCGTCTGCAATTGATAATCGACTCTTTGTTCAAGTTTTGTTCTCCCCCAAGAGAATCGTACGGTAATACGTTGGTTGGTTTCTTTAAATGGCTGACAAACGGACGTGACAAACACTCGAAATTTGATACGTTCGTGTATACACAATCAGTACAACGCTGACTCTCGTTCTCTCGCACAGCTGTGCGCTATCTTCGCGATGGTTCGCAAATCAACGCGAGAATAATAACTGACCGAGAGATAATTAAAGAGACGCACGTAAATCTCACGTTCGACGGGAATCGAAAAATCTCGAACCGACGGGAATCAATCTTGAAGCCGAAGGAATTCGATTTTTTGGCCTAACGTCGGAAATTTATCGTCCAACAAATGTCGACGCATGCCCAAACAACACGCCGACTATATATACACTACCCTAACACAAAACCGTGTTTTTAACTTCCTCCTCCTCCTCGCGGATATCGCCGACCGAAGAAAATATTCGTATATGTGTTTCTAACGCCCGACCACCTGGAACACGGTGGCGCTCGACTCCGCGTCTCGCCGCTTAGAGGCGGATTGCGCGCAGCACCCGCGGGACCGCAGCACCGGAGCAAGTATGGCAGCCGACACCGTAGTTGCGCGGCCGTGATCGACGGATAAGTGATCATCGTCCGCTCGACTGTCGCATCCCCGGGGGTGTCCGCGCGCGCCGCGCGAGAACCGCGAGCGGATAAGAAAATGATCATTCCCATCCGAGTGTGACAGGGTGCCGCGAAAAATCGAGAAAATTTACAGAGTGATCGAAAGTGTGTGTGTGTGTTTGTGTGCGAGAAAAAAGAGAGAGAGAGAGAAAGAGAGATTCGGGTGTGCGAGCGAATCACACTCGCTTGTTAGCTGTGCGCGGCGACCGCCCGCCACTGTCCCCGGGCGCCGGTGTGATGATCAAGGATATGGCGGACGATGAGGCCATACAGGCCACGAACGACGACGCCAGCGAGTGCAAGCGCTACGCGGTGCAGCTCGGTTACTGGCCCGACCCGTTCATCAGTCTGTTCGTCAAGCAGACCGCGCGGAAGGCGCCCGAGATCAATCGCGGCTACTACGCCAGAGTCAAGGGCATCGAGCTCTTCGTCGAAAAGTTTCTCAAGGTGAGCGCTCGCTCGAGCACGATGTATGTACACATCGCGTTTGTTTCTCTCGCTCGCGGCATAAATTTGTCTTCGATTTCGTTTGTCTCTTCGGGGACGGGTCGCGAGAGACGCGTGTAAAACAGAAGAAGAGGGGAACGATCTGCTATCTGGCGTTTTTCGAACGCGACACTTGGCAACATAATAAAATTTTTTCGATTTGCACCTTTTGCACTCTGCGTCTCTCCTTTCGTTTGCCAACGAAATCTTCAAATTCTCACACGTTGATTCGGTCGGACCGAGAGACCTTTCGCGTTTCTGATGATTTTTTGTATTTTCCGTGTTGTTCGAAATGGCGGAAGATCCGTAGAAGATATCTCGTATTTTGACAACGGACGGAGCAGCGAGGCTCTGTAGCTGGCGAACGGAATTCATTGCGGCAGATATAACCTAGAACGTTGAATTGGGAGATAATCGGGCGTATGATGAGGCGGGAAGGGAGCGAGGAGGGGAGAGATACAGCTGATCCGGACGCGGCAGGAACGCGCAGTGGCGGAAACCTTGACCCGTCGACGACCGAGGCCCTGTCCTAATTCCCGCGAGATTCCCCGCTTTTATCCGTGACAGTCAAACGATATATAGGTCAATGAAAAACGCCGCTGCCTGCGGCGCGTGCAGCTGTTGGAGGAGAGCATCTCATTTCCGGAATTGGCACCGGGCGCCCCGCAATGTAAATGCGACAAAAATATTTTCGTCCCCGTTTGATCGCGTGTAAACAAACACTTGAGTTTGGCGATTTCAAAACTACTAAGCAACCTCGAGCGTTTGCATATTAATGTGAAATTTACACACGTACACACACACACATACAGATACAAAAAAGACACATTGGAAAAATTTATACAACACGTCCTTTATAAAAGTTTTGTGTAAAAACAAATAATTATCCAATTATTTTGTAGCGCTTCAAGTTGATAGAATTTTTGACGTTAAATAAAATTTATTATTTTTTTTTTTTTACATAATTGATATCAAATTTGTTTAAACGCATTGATGCGCGGAAACTGTGTTCCGAAGACGAGATCTTTTTATCTATCGATTTTTTTTGTAGATGATTATAAACCAAACATGTATACTTTGTATTAAGAAGAATGTGTATAAAAAAGTATACTTATTTTAAGTTCACAAGTATATTCCATGAAGGTTGATGGACAAGGTTTCATTCTATTGATTTTTTCACATTAATAGATTTTTAATGTTTAAACACCGATATATGCGTTTCTTGTTAGAATATACCGAGATATATATTAAGTATATCATAGCGTTAAAGAAATTTGTTTGCATAGAAAAATATGTACGGGTTTTTTATTGTTACAAATGTGCGATCGTTAAAAAAAAAAAAACTAAAATATCGTGGCTTTATTTATAAAATTATGAGAAAGTTGATATTTTTTGTATTACGATGAAAAATTAAAAGAACAAACTTTTTTGCATCTGTGCAGTTGTCTGGTGGCAAGGGGCAGATTATAAATTTAGGTGCTGGTTTTGATACACTTTACTGGAGGCTGAGAGAAACGGGGAATATTCCTGCGAACTTCGTGGAGCTTGATTTTCCCAGCATTACTGCGAAAAAATGTTATCACATTAAAAAGCACAAACAGTTGATCGATATGCTAAATACCGAAGGTATTCTTCATATACGTGCATGCACGTTACTGTCTCATCGTTATTACTTCAGAAAAACGTATATACGCTGTATTTTATCTCGTTCTTTTTTTTTTTTTTTTTAGATGGAGAAATCCGATTTTCTACGACAGAACTGCACGCCGCGAACTATCACCTGGTTGGTACGGATTTGCGACACATAGCGGAGCTGAATAACAAATTGACCCAGGCCGAAGTCAATTTCAACTTACCCACCATGTTCCTCGCGGAATGTGTTCTAGTGTATGTAGACGCTAGCGCGACCTCGTCGCTGTTAAAGTGGTTGGCGGGTAAGTTCGCGAACAGTCTTTTTGTCAGCTACGAGCAGGTAAATATGAAGGACAAATTTGGACAAGTTATGCTGTCAAATCTGCGCAGTCGTGGTTGTTTGCTGGCGGGCGTAGAGGATTGCGAGTCGTTAGAAACTCAACAGAGACGGTGAGCACACACACACACACACATTTTGAGTTGATAATAAATCGTCATCATCATCCGAACGACGATTGATGAATCGATGTCGTTTCCTCCAATGTTGCAGCTTTACCATGAACAATTGGGAAGGCTCGAACGCATGGACGATGGTGGAAGTTTATGATTCACTGCCCGTAATGGATCGTAGTCGAATCGAGCATCTAGAGATGCTAGACGAGCGAGAACTCCTCACCCAGCTGCTGCAGCATTATTGCATTGCCGTCGCTTGGAACGGACAAACATTCAAAAATTTATCTATAGCACAAGGTTAGGTCATCACTCTAAACCTTTTTTCTCTATGTCTCTCTCGCGAGTTACTCCAGGTAGTGCTATCGTATAATAATTCATAAACTCGACAAACTTTGGTAAAATTCTCGTAAATTATTTATTACGTCCCCCCCCCCACCTCCGATCGATCGTGTAAGAGAGATTTAAGCGTTTTTTCGAGTTGCACCAGTGACTATGTAGATGTATCTTCGGTTAGTCGATAAGTTGAGAGAGGCGAGACATAATTTGCATTGAAATGTGTTATTGATTTTTTTCTTTTTACTTAGTAAATCTAGTAAGTCCTTTTTTTATACGCTTCGTCCTTCGTCCTTTGAGTATGTCCTATGCAAATGCAAATATTAGTCATGAGTGTCATTAATTTTTTTTTTTTTTAACAAGTGCTGTAACGAGAGAAACGCGCGATTCCGACATGCGAGTCGTGCGAGCTATCGTGTATAGCTAAATGCGAAACAGCTGGACAGATTAGCATTATTTTTTCGCGAACAGAAGATTTTCAATCGTTTTAATTTATTCTCGTTGCACACACATTTGAATTGCGTATCGCGCGTTATAACGCGATTCTGTTTGCAAGAGATTGTCCAGCTTCTTCATGTATAAAGGTTGTTACGGATTACTGTAGATTGCTATTGTTATCGTATACTTGTGGCCAAACAGCGCGATAATTTAAAAAAAAAAAGAAAAAGAAAAAAAAAAGAGCGCGCGGAGTAATTTATTGTATTAACGAGATATGTAATTGTGAAGATGAATAATTCAACTTGTACTTAGTACATTTTTTTCATCGCTTTGAATTTCTTTGCGTTGCAATTTCACTATGTTAGTTGTAGCAGAGATTAAGTTCAATATGTAAAACAAAAATCACACAAAAATGCGAAAACTGGTTCTTTTTGCCTGCATTTTCCTACACGCTTTTCGTACAACAACAAAGCGTGTTCTCGAGAGAACGAGAGAAAGCTGAAGAGAGGAGAGCAGTATAGAAAATACAGCTGAAAAGACGAGTCTGAGATGAAACACATGACCTTTTTGTTTTTTTTTTTTATCACAAATAAAAATATATATTTCTGAACATTCGTATGGTAGAATTCCAATTGTCTCAATTGGGCAAAGATGATGTAAAATTATTCCAATACACACACGCGCACACACACATTCACACACACACACACGTACGTGCAACCTGATCTTTCAACATGTACATTAACTACTAGAGATTACGAGGTATTGAGTATCGCGGTTAGACGCGATTGAAGATTATAGTACGATACAAACGCTATTTAAAAGCGACCAATTTTGCGTGTGGCCTGCGTGCCACGTGGAGTGATCACCTAAGATAATAAAAGCAAAAGTATATGCAACGAAAATATTATAAGACTTCATAAATATATCGAAAAAAAAAAAAGAGATACCTTCGCGAGAATCGAACAACATCGCAAGCGTCAGCCTGAAGAAAACAAATCGGCGATACATATATATATTTTCTTAATTGATTTCATTTATTCGCTCTCGTGTCGAATTCACCGTTTTCACTCTCCACACTCGCGAGGTGAAAAAAGTGTTCTTCGATACACACCCCCTACCGTAAGTCCGATCGTTTTCTTTTATATGATATACATATATATGTATATATACATACATATATATACATATATGTAGAAAACGCGTATATGCTTATATAGCGCACAGTGTTCCGCTTCTTTTCAACACCAATACAGAGAGTACGTTACACTTAAGCAAGTAATAGAAAACGATAGTGAAAGAGCGAACAAAAAGATTTATTTTCATATTGAGGAATTATCAGGGTTCCGCGTGTATATTCAATCTGTAAGGATAATAACGAGGGAAATATTAGTAGTGACTTATATGTGAGACACTTGAAAAAAAAAAAAAAAATCCATCGTTTTGTAGATACGAAGTGTGCATGTAAAATGCTCTGTGAAAACAAAAAAAAAAAAAAAAAAACAGATCTCAAACTTTAACTCAAAGTTTTCCGTCAAATTTTTTCTCATCATCGATCCTCGATTGTCTCCGGCTTTGTTTTTCCGATTACAAATCTTTTCGAGAGACCGGTTAGACGACGATAATTTTATTTTAGAATCTAATGGGAGAACGCGAGTGTTTATAAAAATCAGCATGGATTCGGTAGTAAAGTGTACACACAATATTGTGAACAGTTCTCTCCGATTTTTTACCTCTTTCGACGTGTAAAAAACAAATTAACATACCTGGAGTAACAGACACGTATAAAGAGAAGATAATCAGATAATCTATTTTTCTCAGAGATTGCGGAAGTTACAAACCAATTGTTACGATGTCTATCAAACCGTTCGTAGATAAAATCCCCCATCCTCACTCATCCCTCACTCGCCTACGTCTTCTTTGTCCCGACCCGTGTCGCGTTCTTTGCACTTGTAGGAAGTTAAATCGAGACTTATTCTTCGCGTTAGTTTTTCTCGTCACATGCATATACGAAAAAAAAAAAAGAGTAAATACGAGTTAATTCATTCGTGCGCTCGTCATGTGTTCAAAAACAATCGACTTCAAGTTTTGAGAATCAAGGCTCTTCGAGATCTCTGAAACTCTCTCTCGCATTATCGGACGACACGATGTTTGTCGTAGAAACTTCGAGCACTGCCATTCGAAGGCTTGTCAAATTTCAGATTTGCGCGCGCGCAAACTGGGAATTTTTATTTTCAAAATAAACAACGAATTTTACTTTGCCAGAGCTTTCAAGTGTGTCCAGTTGCGTATGTGAGCTTTGTTTGCGGAAATTACACAAGTTTTTTTGTTTACATATAATTATTTCAAAGTAAATCAGATTTCTAGACCACAATCGGTTTGTGATGCGAGAGATTCAGAGAGTGACGAGATAATTGATTCTCAGAGTGAAGCAACAATTATATTGCACGAATAGTAAGTGCTGCTTGTTTCTTCGCCTTGATTTCGTTCTATATATTATATCCAACTATTAATCTCTCGTATATACGGATGTACATCTTAAAAACCAAAAAAAAAAAAAAAACTATGTGGATATATTCACCTATATAGACACTCAGTGTGCTTCCACCGTCATTATGAATGGATAAAAAAAAAGCACGATGAAGAAATTGTGCATCTTTATATTTGCATATTTGTGATATTGTTAAATTGCAATATGCATTTAGAACAAAAAAAAATTGAAGAAAAAAAAACAGTGATCGGTTGTAATTGATTGTAGCTTCCTATTTGATACATATTTTTCACGTATCTCATGCTAAAGTTTTTCTTTAAGTGTAAAAAAAAAAAACAAACAAAGCAGCTCTACACACAATGTAATATATATTAAATTAAATATTTTTAAATGTATAAGATTATACATAATATATATATATATAAATGCCGTATAAAATAATATACACTTCTCCCGTTTAAGTCTTTCAGTTAATTTATTATATGTAAAGAACGACTTAAACATCGTGTGATTTGTTATACTATTTTTATTATTTTAATGAAAGTAATGATATATATATATATAATAAACGGTATCTGAAGAAAACATTACATACAAGTCGCATTATTTTTACTATTTGGAAGCGTTGTTCCGTGTAAAGGTGTACAAACTATTATAAAAAAATACATAAATATTCATATGATATGCACCTTAATACTCTTTACATCTTACGATAATATTGCATTGTTTTTCATTGCTCGAAACTATGACACGCGGCGTGACACGGTTTCTGCGAACGTATTTACAATTGATCATAAAAATAACACTATCATACATTTTTGTACATATCAAAGTACATGTCGTGGATAAAACAAAAGAATCACTTCGCACTCACATTTATAGAAAAAACTGCCAAAACCTATAAAATTGTTTCACAAAATCGCGCGTTCATAGATGTAATTAAATTTGTGTCTTTGAATAATATTAGTGATATCAAATTTACAAATTGAATTATAAATTGTGAAAGAATTTTATATCGTAAAATTATCTATATTTTTTTTCTCATCGTACGAAAAGATAAAATTTTTTGAGTTGCTTTTGATATCCGACGTAGATTATAAACTCGAAGCTGGACAGACGGTTTTGTGCAAAGTGACTTTGTATAATAATATACCTAAAAACCCAGGGGATTCAATTGCACGCATCCGCCGACATCGCTCAAGTTTCTCGAAATTTTACTGAGTTTGGTAAAAATGTCGAGGTGCTTGTTAGAAGTGACTTGCTGGAGATTGCTCGCAACGCGGAAGGACGCCTGGTAACAGTAGTAAATATATTAATGCGTGAGTGTAAATTAAATCACATTATTTCGTTGTTTAAAGAGAATTTGATTTTCTTATCAATTTCATATTTTGTTAAATTTCGAATAAAAGCATAAGTTGAGATGATAACAGATTTAGATGTCTATATAGTCATTTGTTCTAGGTCGAATGAAGATTAGAAAGTAATGTGATACCATGACGTACCTCTGCGCACCAAGTTTGCGCCATTAAGACCTCGTGCTCGGCACTAGGCAGGTTCTTATTCAACGACATGGTTGCCCTGCTAAGTACAACTGCCATGGTGTATATGTCGAAAGCAGCCTGCGTGATTCTATTGAGAACGAACTGCTCGTCTACGATACCTCGTCCGTATTTAATAAGAACATTCTCTATGACTTCGCCGAAGTCCACCACGCCCTGCAATTTTTTTTTTTTTTTTACATAAATTTATTTATGTTTTAAAATTCACGAGTGGTTTCTCTTTCCTTCGCTTAACTCACATATTTTATTATTCTTACCTTCGAACAAAGCGCAGCGCTTTCCGCTAATCTCGGATGTACCAAATTTCCGAAAGTAGGCGGCGATCTCAGACCGATTGCTCTGGTCGCTCGCTTGGTAGCTTCCTCGAATATGAGTCCTAAATTCGCAGCGGGGTTCTGCAAGGCTTTCTGCAGTTCCTTCAAGTGGCCACCGGCATATTGAATTCCGGTAAGCGACACGAACAGGCGTAAAATGTCGTTTGTTCCCTCGAAAATTCTGAATATACGCAAATCGCGTAATACGCGCTCGAGACCGGCATCGGTCATGAAACCCATCCCACCTAACACCTGAATAGCTTCGTCACACACCCACCACGCAGACTCGGACGCAAAACACTACAAAAAAAAGATAAGCAATAAATTGTACAAGCTATTACAATGTGTTTATTACGCGAGAAACTGAAAGAACGTAAATAATTCGGTGTTTCTCATATTTGCTCATTTGTATAAAGTCGCTATATAAATTATGGACGTCAGAAATTCTGTGAGTGTTTGCTATGCAAATTATAATAGACGCCCTTTTACCTTAGAAATAGCCGCCTCCAAGTGATAGTCCTGGCTTCCCATGTCCATGTTACCCGAAATAGTGTAAGCGAGAGATTCTGTAATGTAATGCAGTATAGCCATTCGTGCCAGTTTTTCTTGTATGGCACCGTAATGGTCCAAAGTACGGCCGAATTGCACGCGTTGCGTCGCGTGATTCACAGCCTTGGTGATGCAGTAACGCATAGTGCCAGAAAGAGCAGCGGACATACCAAATCGGCCATTGTTCAAAATGTTCATTGCCACCTGAAGAATTTAAACGCGATAATCAAGCACAGAATTATTTCGATATGATTTTGACACTTTTTACTCTCTCGTATCTTCTCACCTTAAAACCTTCACCTTCCTTGCCGAGAAGATTCTCTGCTGGGACTTTGACGTCTTCGAAGAAGACTTCTGCGGTGTTACTGCACTTAATACCCATCTTTCTCTCAGGCGGTCCGCTGGTGACACCGCCGAATCCTCTTTCGACGATAAAAGCGCTCACCTTGTCCTTAGTTTCACCTGTTTTTGGATTTGTGACGGGCGTTTGCGCGAAAACGGTCAGAACCTCGGCGATACCGCCGTTCGATATCCAGATCTTGCTGCCGTTTAGAACGTAGTGCGATCCGTCCGCTGACTTGACCGCGCGCGTACGTATCGAAGCGGCGTCCGAACCGGAACTCGGTTCCGTTAAGCAAAACGCGGCGTACTGACCGTTACTAACTCGGGGAAGGTATTTCGCCTTTTGTTCCGGTGTGCCGAACAGAAGTATACCCTGAAACAAACGTGTTTCATAAATACATACGTATAAAAGATTGTAAATTTTATTTAAACAAAGTGAAGAATTTTGATTACTTTGAATCCTATGCTCTGATGCGCACCGAGCATGATACCAATGCCGAGATCGTGATAACCACATATTTCGACAATTCGGCTGTACTGAGTATTTGTCAATCCCAATCCGCCAAATTCTGTAGGCACTTGCAAAGCAAACGCTCCCAGTTCCCAGAGAGCATTCGCTGTTTTCTCATCAACACAAGCGTTCTGATCGTTTTTAGCTGCATCGTTTACTTCCTATAAAAAAAAAACAAAAACAAATGTGTGATCAACAAATAAATATGTACACGTGTTCTTTTTTTTTTAAAAAAAAAAGATGTATGTACCTCATAGAACTTCTCCACGGGATCAATGAGCATTTTTAACGTATCGGTTTGTTCCTCATTCATGGGTTCTGGGAATGGGAAAACTTGATTCAATTGTAACTGACCGCGAAAGAGGTTCATCGTGAACGATTGAGATTCCTTGGTTGCAGTTTCCTGAGGTTTTTCTGTTTCCGCGGATGATTTCAATGCTGCTTGCGTGGCCATGTACCTGTGCAAAACAATTGTCGTATTTTTCAATGTTTCTTGATAACAAATACTTCAATAATTGCTCAAATTTAATTGTAACATCATTTTTTTTGTGTGTGACACCAAAATATTGTCGCTGTACATAAATTAGAAACTGATTTAAATTTCTCAATTTTTATCATCAAATCGCAACTCGATGTAATGCGCAATTTGAAAAATTGATCGAAATAATTTTGCCATATCTTCTTGTAATTTTCTTCTCTTCTTATAAGTAATTTTGCTTTGTTATCTTTCTTTGACGACGAAAAAAGGATAAAAATTTATAATAAAATCTTTTTTAAATTCTTTAAAAACATAACGGTGAACTTTGCAGCTTTGCAATTTTTATTTGTTAATTTTTATTTTACTTCTCATAACGAGAAAGAATGTGGACTTCGAGCTTGTTGATACACTTGTAAACTACAAATGTACATAGATATCGAGAAATTAAATAGTAGATTAAAAACCCAAGTACCAGTGACAACACATGATGACGTTTCATACGTCACCAACGAACGCACACACACTCTCACATATGTACGTGTGTGCGTGCGAGAGTCAGTCCAAAGTCCATCAACATCAAAATTACGCGTACACACAAGCACACTCAACTAAAAATACAAACTACGAATTTCAACTTAACAAGTTTCTAACGAAACATTTATTATCTTATATATCCGCAACAATGAACGTGACTTTGTTTGACATTACTGTGCGCAAAAAAATTGCCGTACTCGAAGACTTTTGCAATTTGAATCTGTTCCAAAATGTTGTAACACAAATGTGTAACGGCTTCGTCTAATTAGCATCGTCGTGCCGAGCGATTCGACGACAAATTGTCGGAATACATGCAATTTTTTTTAAAAGTCTCTGTTTACAGATAAGCTCAACAGGTAGCTCAAATCTCGTTCGCACGAAAAACAAAACCGACGGGTTTTCCTCACCTGGGAGCGATCCAGAGACGTAAGGGCGTTTCGAAGGTACCCTTGAGGGTCTTGGGAGATGACGAGAGGATCTTGGCGATGCGAAACATGTTGTTGTTGGGATTGTGAAGTTTTAACTAAAAATTCACGCAAGAGTGAAAAGTTAACTTCACGACTTTCACCTTAGATAAAGGGTACTTGTATATATATATCTGACGTTGTACACTTTCGTATCGCGACGTCGCAATGCGCGTCCCACTTCGCGGTCGTCGTTTGTAATACTGATTCATTCTAATTCCGGCACAACAAACCTCTCTCTCTCTCAAAGATGCCAGATGATCGAGGCGGTGGGGGATACCTAGCTTCGATCAGAGAGAAGACCGAGAGCAACCAGGTCCATAAGAGAACGTGCAATCGCTTTTTAGCTCTGTAAGCCAGCGCAATGTCCACGGGTGGTGCACATTGGCAACTACGTAGCCAATGTCCCCGGGAACGACTTGTCGGTTACGTACATACGTTATGTTCAAACGTGGACATGGTTTTATTTCGTGTTATGTGCACACAAGTGTCGAGTTTAGAAAAATCGAGCAGCCGGCGGCCAGCACCGAAAGGACCGAGGTCGCGGAGATTACGCACACAAAGACGTGACACAAAGTAAAAGTTACGCGACAGGGAGGAGAGAAAAACCGAAATTTCTCTTGTTCCTCGAGTGTTGTGGAACAACAGATAGATGACGCTCGAAGCGCGTGAGAGTTCAAAGCGAACGCGCTTGTAGACGACGAACATCGATCAGCTGTAAGTGATAATGACCGATGATGATTGGGCGCGTTCGGACGATAACAAACGCGTGACGTACCGGATGCCGTGATCGCCGGGTCATCGTAAATCTCAGGTGCTCGAGACGACGCGGACATTTCGGAGCTATGGGTTGAGTGAGAGTCAAAGCTTGATGAACACGTAAGTTCTGACAAATCGACGCGCGGAAATCCGTCAACACGTGATACGAGGTAGGTTAGGTTATATAATGTGATTGCTCGCATCGCGTTTTTTGTTCGATCTTAAACAAAACTAGTTTTGAAATGTTGATCATATAATGCAGAATTGAACACATGCGTTTGTGTGTGGAGTAACTAAGTTGATATGTACTAAGAAAAAAAATAGAGACGAAGATACAGGAAGGTTAGATTGTTGTTTTTTTTTCTACAATTATACATAACAATGATACACAATTGCGAAAACTGAAATGATTATTCATTTATTCCATTCACGGCGTATAATAAGCGCATAATACTTTAATAGAAAAATCTGGAAATTGCTGTCGGCGCAGTTGGTTCTGCTTACTCATGGTGTCTGTTATTTGCAGATAATAATGTATAATCTTTCCGTGTGTAACATTCTGGAATATCTTTGGAAAAGGAATAAAGTGGAACAACCAGACGTGTCGCTTCTCAAATGTTTTTGTTGTTTCTGAAAATCTTACCACTATGAGTAATATTGCAACGGAAAAGCTTTCACTGCAATCAATCCTGAGACTCAACAATAATGACTTCAAGGAGTTCATTTGTGGCTGGGGTGCCGCTGTCATCAACGTTTCTGTTACTTTTCCCATTAACAAGGTCATATTCAGACAGGTATGCGAGCAACAAATAATATTGCGACAACAACTGACAAAATTTAAAAGTAAAGCACTTTTAATTGATCAACTTTTATCATAACACAGATTTTGGAAGGAGTGCCAGTTCGTGCTGCAGTCGGGCAAATATCACGAGAAGGAATAGGATTGTTGTATCGTGGAATTCTGCCACCTCTGTGCCAAAAAACTTTGTCGCTCAGTCTAATGTTCAGCATATATGAAGGTTGCAAGCAAAGATTCTGTCTTATAAGTAAAAGTGAGATATTGGCCAAAGTTCTGGCAGCAAACATAGCCGGTGCGGCGGAAGCTGTTCTGATGCCGCTTGAAAGAGTGCAAACGCTGTTGCAAGATTGGCGATATCACAACAAGTTCAAGAACACTTCCCACGCTTTCAGGTATCTGTTGACGAATCACGGAGTAACCGAGTGTTATCGCGGAATGGTTCCTATTGTGTACAGAAACAGTCTATCCAATCTGATGTTCTTCACGCTGCGAGATCAGTCAAAAGTGCTGCTGGGGGAACAGGAGTCGCTTCTGACGAACTTTGTCAGCGGCGCTTTGATAGGCGGTTTCACCAGCACGGTGTTTTATCCGATGAACGTGATCAAGATACACATGCAGATGAAAATAGGCGGCGACTTCGAAAAGTTTCTGGCTGTAACTCGCGAGGTATACGTTTCCAGAAATCGAAGTGTAACTTCTTTTTACAAGGGCGTGCATTTGAACTACATGAGGTCCTTCATTAGTTGGGGTGTGATAAACGCGTCGTACGATTTCTTGAAGAGTATATTATTCTAGAGACATTTAATAGAGAGGGAAGAATATATATTTATTGATATTTTGGGATTTGTATTTTTCAGAGGGAAGACCTATTGTATATATATTAGCTATTTTATGTAATGTTATAGGAAAATTTTTCTCTATATATGAGAGAGAGAGAGAGAGAGAGATGAGTGTCGCGATCGCACATTTGTCTTGCTGCAAAAAAATATGCAGGATTGCACACAAGAAGAAACTTTACCACTATGTGTACATAAAGAGCAACGCTCTAACACAAGCGTTGCAAGAACAAATCGTATGTTGTCGAACTAGGTTTCATTTAAAAAGGATGAGTATTAAGTGTACAGGTGTAATTGATAATTTTGTAACAATCAATTTTTTCAATTTTTATTTACAAACGCGCACACGACGAAAAAGCGCATTTAAAGAGTTTACGCGAATTTGAATGCGAGATAGAAAACGTGTGAGATTTTAAATAAAAAAAAAAAAAAAAAAAAACATTCAGATCATAAACTAGGGTTGAAAAATGGGCACTGATTATCAACGGTCATCACCAGTTAAATAAACTCAAGTTTTTCGTAAAATTATCGTATTTAATCAAAATTGCTAATTACATAAATCTTTTAAAATTTCAATCTTCGTGTAAAATATACATACGTAGATAGAATACTTGGAGATACAATAAGAAAATGACCATGTACGTATAATATGATCTCGTACTGAGAGCTCGCACTGCCTTGTGCGCGCAAACGGCTGATTTGTTTTATCTTCGATTAGGAGTAAGTGAAACGGTTTCTTTAATACTCACACACACGCAATACTACAATTTATTAGATAAAAGAACCACCGAGACTGACACGTGTGAGCGGCAACTACTGCGTGCGTAAGTGACACACACGTTGATATCTACTATATGATACAACGTTGTGACCCGAAGATATTCAACAAAATAAAACAATAAAATGATATGCGACCATATGTGAAATATATTTATTGTGTGGCAAACTCACACGCAATCACGTGATATTATAATTAACATTTTAAAAAGTCTTATCGTGTCTATTGTGTGTGGAAAAAAAAAAAAAAAACTATTTTTGTCATTTCAATGCGCGATATACGTATAATTTTTTAAATATTATTTTGTATCACATGTCTTCTAGCGAGGTATTTTTATTTTGTGATATATGTGTAAGAAAAAAATGCCTAGAGAATTAATTCAGTCATCGTGATATATGTGTTAGATGGAATATTGTTAAAAATATGTTATTTAATAAATCAATTTACACGAGAAGAAAAATATATATATTGTATATACGTACGCAAATATGAAAACTCGAGAGAGTCCTAAGTGTTTTCGTTTTTTGCAACATGTTATACGTACTGTATATTTTACAACGTACATTGTTAAAATTCCCGTCGTGCAGATAAAAAAAAAACAAAAACAAAAACGAAGTTAATTTAAAAAAGTTCAATAGACATTCAAACTAAATATGCGAAACCATTTTTACACAGACTCTCTTTATTAATACTTTATTACACTTTATTGAACATCTCTCTCTTCGAGCTGTAACAATAGTACGAACAGTTTATGTAGGACAGTAGATATATTTTTCTTTCATTTCTTTTTTTTTCATTTTTTTTTTTATTTTGGAAAGTAGGTTTTGTACAATTCAAAAATATATCGAACAAATTCGGTAAGAGAAGTAGTCCGAATTCTAAAATAGAAAGTTTGGAAAAGAACTTCGGGGTGACGGACTTTTGAGACGATCCTGGACGAACGGTCGCCGCTTGTGCGCGGCGCGGCGCGTAAATCGATGCGCCGCGGCGCCTTTCATTCCGCGCGATATGTGTGTACGCGACTTGCACACACTCACACACACACACATATCTGGCTCACGTTCGCCCGCCGCGGAAGCATCTTATCGTCGCGTCGTGTCGGAAGCGTCTCGTCTTCCAGGATCGCGACGACGATTTCGCCCCGTCGGATTTTCCATCCGACCGGCGCTCACGTAGGTAGGACTGTAAATTCGCTTGAGCCAAGCGGGAGAATCTTTAATCTCTCTGTGACCGGGAGGGCTTCGCAGAGGTTCCGTCGTTCTCCCGGTGCAACTCCAACCTTTCTTCCCTCTTCGGTCGTATTCATCGCGTTTCCCGGCGAGCAGAAACCGACGGCGTTGTCGATTTCGGTGAGTTCACACTACAATTAGCGTGAATACTAATTTTGCGAGAGAGAACGAGTTAATCTTACGTTCGCGCGAGCGGAATTGTCCGCGTTTTTTTTTTTTGGAATTTTGTTCGAAAGAAATAATAAAATATTGTATATACGCGAAAACGCGCGAAGAAAAAAGCGCAGCAGCTTTTAGAGAACTTCGATAGATCGGAATTACAGCGATGAATTCAAAATCTCTCAGAGTAGATCAATTTCCGAAGAAGCAATTAAAAAAAAAAAAATGAACCGTCTCCTCGCGAGCGGATTCAACGTGCGAACTAGATGCAATTTTGCAATTTAAAATCTGATAATGTCGAACGGTAACTCACGGGCCAATTGTCACGAAAAAAAAACAATCGTTTTCGCGCGTTTCGAAAACTCTAAACGCACGATATTCAATTTTTATTTCCATGTGCCTTCGGGATTCGTGAGTCTCTCCGAAGCTCTTTCTCTCGTTCCCGTGGTCTCTAACTTCGCGCGTCTCTCTGCTTTCTCGCAGAGCGAAAGGGAGGAGGGAGGGAAAGGGTGGAAGGGAGAGAGAGAAAGAGCTGTGGCTATGAAGGGCTATCGTGATCGTTGCGCTGCCGTCGCCGTTGCGAGGTACAGCTCGTCGTCGCGGCAGTCGCGATAGTGCCGTGCTCCAGGTCGATGTCACCAGCGGCGGTTCCCAGCGCGAGCCTCGTTGCCGAGGCCAGCGTTAACGACCGCAGCGACGCGAATCATCATCTTCGCCGAGGACGACACGCCAGGGTGCCGACGACGTCACCTCACTGATCGCGCGCGAGAATAATGAGAATCAACGCGACGAAGATGAGCACTCCGATCGAGGAGAAGATTGACCAGAAACTGAAGGTAAACGGGGCACTTATTTTTTTCCTCCCGTCTTAAGGAGTTAAAAGAAAAAAAAAGAAAAAAAAAAGAGCGATCTTTCGCAGCTCGTCGATTTCCGTTGATCAATAATGCATCTCTCCGCGCTTGTAGCACTTGCGGGCCGCGGCGAGATGCAAGCACGCGCGCGTGCACACGACCGTACATATATGCATCTCAGCTTGCGTACATCTCTCGTGCTCTCTTTGCGCAACGTGTGCAGATATACGCAAACTAATTGCGTCGCTCGGATGTTCGAGTTTTTTAAGTTTTAATTTTGTACGCGCACACGTAACGTTTTTTTTCGTTTAACACCAGAAACAACCCCCCGCCAAGCCCGTCAAGATGACGGATCTCGGCAATTTGTGTCCGAGAAATGTTTCCGGGCGGTAGTTCAACAAGAAAAACGCAAGTTGTGCGAGATATTATACAAACTCTCTTTGAATATTGAAAGAGTACCTTATCAATCAATTGTGTTCGAAGAGGTAAAATATATATGTATATTTTATATCGAGAGAAATTAAACTGACGATAAATATTGTTTCACAAACACTCGTATTCGAATTGACGAATGCGACAAAACTGTATAGGCTGTATACGTTCAACTTCGATTGCTCCGGCGTTACGTCGCGCTAATCTCAACTTGGAAACGTTTGCGTCCCGAGTTTGAGGTCTAATTATTTATACGTGTAACACCAACGATACCAACGTTCAACGATAACAACGTGAAATCGCATTTGCATTTCAGAAAAACTTTTTCACCCAAGCGCTCCTTGACGGATAACAAAAAGCGGAACGATTTATTTTTATTCGACCCAAAAAACATTCGGAGAGACGATATCTCATTATGGTGATACAATAGATACGTGTAATTTAATTACTGCATTCGGAATATGTGTTTACGATGACGCTTCGTTTTATGTCTCCCAATGGGGGAGACTTTTATCTGGTATAATGTTTCATTCAGCAGCAACCTGAAACACATATTCGTATATAGATTGCAGTCACGGCGGCATTTATCGCTGGACACGGTATGCGAACGCGCGACCTCGTGTTTTTGCATACGATAAGAGCGAATGAAAGGTCAGAAGAGCCGTGTGTGTGTATGCGACTGCGGCGCATTTTAGTCGGGTCGCGTTGCACGTAATTCGCCACGGTTTCTATTCATTATACGCTCCTCTTCTCCCGTGTGCGTGTGTGTGCGTGTGTGTGTATCGTCGCTCCGAATGCGCGCACGTGTACGCATCTCGCATACAGATGAAATAATTGGAATGTTCTCTCTTCTCCATTACGTGTTACGGATATATGGATTATTATAACACACGGCGCGCGGGCTTATTTATTTATTTGTTTATCTGAAAAACACAACGCGCTAAGTGCGAAATACACATTTGAAAATTTGAAACTGAATATACTTTGTATACAAATATTTCGTTGAAAACTGAAAGCGAGAATTGAGTTTATCGAATAAGCGATAATAAATTATTTTTTCAATAATTTTTTATTATCTCCGTTCGCGCACATCTAACTGCGCACGCGCGCGCGCGCGACGACTATTCCGCATAAATTACAAACAATAATCAAATCCAAACGAAAATATAATTTGTAACGAATTTAATTCGCAAGTAACTTACAAAAAACGTACAATCGAGATTTACGCTCGAAAGAATTGAATTTTTTTTTTTAATCGCATCTCGCAATTGTTCCCTTTGGGGAACACATTTTTTCGCGAAACGTTTCCCGACCGTTCCGGTAAAAATTCTCGACGAATGCATGAGAAATGTTTTTTTTTTTTTCTTTTTTGATTGAACGACGCGATGTCGCTCAATCTTCCGTAATAAACGACCGACCAATTCGATTCCGATTGCCGGGAAAATTCGCGCGAGAGGACAAGTTTTCTCGCGCTGGCACGAAAGACGACGACGACGACGACGACGACGACGACGCGGAGGCTCCGGCGCGCGTCTTGTTTTTGCGAAATATCTTCCAACGAAATCGATTCCGGTTTCGTCGATTCTCAACCGTTTCCGTATTGATTGCGACATATAGCGAGAAGAGCGGTGGTGTATATACAAGCGGTATTCCTTAACCGGGATTAACTCTGACCGATATTAGCGGAATCGACCGTTCTCTCGACGAAAGCCGCCGTCGGTTATCTTTTAAGCGAGAGAGTTTCAAGTGGTTTTCCCCGCACTTCCACATGTACGCTCCCGTTTTTTTTTTTTTTTTTTTTTTCTCTCGTGTGCTAGTTGTTGCGGGAATGTAAAAACAACAATCCTCCAAACAAGATCCTCCGAGTGAAACCTTCCAATTAAGTCGGTCAAAACCCTCGGCAATTTTAACGAGCCGCGCTCGGGAATCCTTACGTATAGAATCGGTAATTTGATGATTACACGCGTGGCAGCCGTCGAATTCTGAACGTGGCGGAGAGAGCTTTTATCGGCCAGAGGAGGTAAAAACTTCGCAAACAACGCTTAATTGATGTCCGCGCGGAGAAACGAACGAACTTTATTCGCAACCGAGTCCGACAATTCTCTCTCCTCTCTCTCTCTATCTCTCTTGCTTTTCTGAAATCAGCGGTTCGCTGCGGTGTTCCCAACGTTGTAACAACTCTGTGTATACGGAGACGAGAAAAATCAATATTCGCGCGCGAGAATAAAATTTAGTTTACTCTTTTATTTCGCGATATATATATTTCCACTTTTGCACAATATAATCGCGGTTCGTATATCGTATATGAGAGTCGTACGTGTAATATCATGCGGTGAGAGAAAGAGAGAGAGAGAGAGAAAGAGAGAAAGAAGGGGGAATGATAGCAAAAACTCGCGCGTCGCGCCGTCGAGTTTCGTTTCTACTTTTCTCCGTGGAAAATAGCGATTTTATCACACGTACGCGGTTTTACGAGCTGCACAATAGTCCGTTACGGGCTTCCCGGCGCGCACGTTACTCGTCCTGCGACGTGAACGCGCGGCTGTCCAGTGTTTGTTTTTCCGTGAAAAAAAAAGAAGAAAGAAAAAATTAAAAAAAAAAAAAAAATGCGAGCAACATCGATTACCTTCGCGTTGGCGTTCGACGGGATATTGAAGATTATCGCGGAAAAATTTCGCGGAAACGAACTGAACCCGCGCGCGCGCGCAGGAATCTGCCCACACGCGCATGCAGGAACTTTTGATATAGTATTCCCGCGTATTGTAAATTTGCCGAGCTTCTTTTTTTTTTAGAGAAAAAAGAAAAAAAACGTAACGTGTATAGCGATATTGCAATACGGTGTATGTATTGGGAGGGCGCGGTTATAATCTTCTTTGCGCTCTCTTTTCCGCGAAGAAGAGAATAAAATGCGAGCGGCGAAGAAAAGTTTTTTTCCGCGAAATAACGAGAAGATTAGCCGGCGCAAATTTGCCAAGCTTGTTGAATTTTTTTTGTTTCGTTAACAACATCGTTTTTTTGTTGGCGAAGTCGCGGTGAATTTGGCAAATGTTTTTTTTTGCTCGCCGTGTAATAAGGAAAATCCTTACTTTTTTCTTCGCGATGTTAAAAATTCTCGACAGAAATTCGCGACATCTGTCTGATGTAAATAATTCTCCGACGAAACAAAATTTGCACCTACGCGCCATGTGTAAAACATGCAAGAGAGTTTGTTCGTTCGCGGGAATCATCTTACTGTTTAAAATTATAATAACGCGACGCGCATAATAATAACAGTCGTAATTAATATCGGAAATCTTCTATATGTGGGCGCGATCCATTCTCGATTTCGACGTGACACGATTTACTTTGTCAATACTTCGACGACTCGTTTGCATATCTCGAGAGCTATCTGAGAGCAGAGAGAGAGAGAGAGCTTGAATAACATTCAATTGAATTAAGCGGATCAATCAAAACGCTCGGACGGTTGGAAAAATAAAACGTTATTCGAGAGAGAGAGAGAGAAATATGAATGTTGCTGATCTAATTTAACGAAAATATAATGTATTATAAATGTGCAAAGAAGTGCTTTTTCGGGACGAAGACATCTATTAAAGTACTGCCCGTTTGTCCCGTTTTATTCCCCGATTTAACGACCCAAAAATCTCATTCACAACGGCGTAACGATTGTTACTTAAATACATCATCGTATACCATTACCGTTGCCGCACGGTTATATGCCGATTATCGGTTTCCCCGAAACTTTTCCGACCGGTTGAACGCGATTCTATTTCGACGACGACGAGAATATCGATTTGTATACGTGTGTACGTGGTAACACACAAAAGCAAATGTGGATTTATTTTTTCTCACAAATGTCACGCGCGCGGAATCGGATTTTCATATTCATGTCAATATAAATTGTCGTGAAAAAAAAAAAAAAAAATAAATAAACTCACTTACCTCTTTGTGCACGTCTGTTCGATGAATTTTTTTACCTTCGTTCTTCGGGATCTCGCGTCCCGATTTCAGTCTAAAATGCGCGCGCTTTGAAACGACTTTGCGACTTTGACACGGAGGAAATTAACAAGAACCTTTTGTAAGAAACAATTCTATTTCCATTACCGACATTTTTTTTTTATCCGGCACACAGTCGATTGAGAAATTCAGAGACGAGAAAGATAAATTGTCCGTTTGTCACAAAGAAATAACTATTGGAGATATGCAAATGTCAAACATAACACAATTTTCAGTGTTTTAAGTATATTTTTGAGATACATGTTTTGACATTTCACTTCCTAAAACTTCACGTATTTAAGTACTCAGTTGCAATTATTTTTTTAAATAAAACATTCGAGATTATATTGGGGACAATACAATCTCGGACTGTTGAAAACTTATCTCACGCTACGAACAGACCTCGGTGATTCAATAAAAGTAACGGACCGACGGGGTCATCGTCGCTACTGTTTCACAGCCGCGCTCACCGCTGTCATCGTCGAAAAAAAAAGAATGTCGGAATTAAGATAATCGTATTGAATGATTTAAGGAGTCTCGGATTCACACGTAGTCGTTGGTGAACCCGCGAGAGAGGGGTTCGTTAATTAAATAAATAAAGTTGCGAGGGAGAAAAAGACCTGTGTAACGTGGATACTCGTAAATCGTGTGAACAAACACACACACAGACGTACGCGGTTCGCCGATCTCGGAACCACATGGCAAATTAACGAATATGAATTAATTTCGAGCCGACCTATTGCGGTCTTGCGGATTTCAAACGTGAAACCGGCGGTTGTAGATATCAGGGAGGGAGAAGAGGTATTGCCCGCGGCCGGAACGAACGAGAAATAACGTAATAACGATAATTTCGCTTGAGATAATTAGGCACGGTAACCCAATAAAACACGGACATTCAATTAAGAATTTATCGCGAAACGATTCGCCGAGTCTCATGCATAAATGCATGCTCGGCCCGTCGTTGGTGGTGCGTTGACTTCGCTTTAATCAATCGATATATATTACGACGCGGGCGGAGGAGGTTTTTTTCATTAGTATTGATATCTCGGGTGATGTAACTCAAGTGAACGCGCGCGCGCGCGCGCGTCTTTGCCTTTAATCTTCTACACTACTTCCGCGCGTTGCGGAAAGAGAACACTCGCCTCTCGGTGCGCGAGAAATTTCTAAAATAACTTTTATTCGTTCTTGCTCTTCTTTCCTGCTCTTCCCGCTATCCCTCGGGGGGTCCTTCATCTCTCGCTCTTTCTCCTTCGCCGCAAATTTGCTTCCTTCGAATGCAAACTTCGCGTGTGTGGTGGAAAAACAAGAAACAACAACGCGCGAAAAACCAGGAGCAAATAATATCACGTTATTTTCCGGATGTAGGGAAAATGTGAAAACACACATTTTTCCGACACACACACACACACACACATCCGAAAACTGAATTGATTACTCGATTCGAAAATCACCACGGTCGTCAATCCGGTGATTTGTGTCACGCGTCCATTAATTAATGTCGCTAATTTTTCGCTCGAAATCCGACGTTGCGTTTGCACACGAGATGTCAGTATTTAAAAGTAACAAAAACAAAATGTACTAAATAAATATAAATTCTCTCGCGAGCGAACGGGGAGTTTTCTGTTATACTTTGATTTTATTATCGATAGGTGCGGACGGGAATGGTGACGGTGAGCGACGGGAAGAGCAAACCCGTTCCGATGCGTTTGCATCTGTCTATGGAGGTATTAAAACTTCAACGGGAGGATCTGGAGGTAAAGTGCCTTTCGATGACGGGCATTTATTATTTCGTGAGCTTTGATTGTCGCGATGTACATATATATATATATATATATATTATACAGATCTTATATCGATCTCGAACGTGTGAAAAACGCGCGTCAAAGACGAGAACAAATTTTCAGCAGGCAGTGAATCACAATCAGCCACCTCTGGACACTCAGGAGCGCATGGTGCAGATCACCAGACAGAAGACCGGCGGTTTGGGGCTGAGCATTAAGGGCGGTGCGGAACACAAACTTCCGGTGCTCATATCGAGGATCTATAAGGGTCAGGCTGCCGATAAGTGCGGTCAACTGTTTATAGGGGACGCGATTATCAAAGGTATACATATCGACAAAATATCACAATAGATGACGGTTGCATCACACACACACATGTATTTTATATCCCGGAGGGAAAAAAGTTCTGCTTATGTGAACAAATTCGCGATACGCGGTGATTTATAAATAAATAATAAAAAAAAATGGTTGAAACAAGAGAATTTTGCAATCTGTTCGAAATAATAAAACATTGAAAAAAACAACCGGACTGGTGGCCTCTTTTATATATATATATATATATATGTATATATAATTTAGAGCCAACATAATTGTAGAGTGAGGAACAATTAAATTGTGTGTGATGTCGAGACGATTTCACGTGTGATCACGTAATTTGTTCATGTGTAAAGGACTTTTATTGCACAATGGTGCGTTCGATACGTTATTTTGTCAACATTTGATGTGTTTTTGTTCAGAACAACGGACGAAAAAAACTAATTTCAAGAGTGTGTTTGATGGAAAAAGTCGGAAGTACCTTTTTTTTTTTTTTATCGTTGTTATATTGCACTATTGTTACGTTGCGCTGCATTTGTATTCGCCACCCACATATAATTCCACATTGAATTATATCAACCTGTGTAATATGTGTACTATTAATACACTCGTTTCTCTCATTATTCAAACTAGTCGAGCGACGTTTGACAGTTTGGCAATAGTTGGAACGGTATATACCTTTGTATTGTATCTACGTGCAGTGTTAATGAGTATCGATTTCGATTTCTGTTTCTCTCTCTCTCTCTCTCTCTTTCTTTCTCTCTCTCTCTGTCAATGCTCGCTTCTGTGTTATTGAAACGAAAAGTTTGCTATCTCGACGCCATCCTACATTACATCTGGGAACAATCGAGCCCCGTGCTGTAAGAGGCTCTGCGACGAGAGAATATATCGTTTAAATTTATACTAAATTGCATATAATTCGTTTTCCATGTGCTCACACGTATACAAAACACAGTGAACGGGGAATATATCACGGCGTGTAAGCACGACGACGCTGTCAATATTTTGAGGAACGCCGGCGACATAGTGGTTCTAACGGTCAAGCATTATCGAGCGGCCAAGCCATTTCTACAAAAGAACGGTATTGTGAAGACGTTTATCGCGCTGAATATTCTCGTATACAAAAAAAACTCTCTTCCCAGAACCGGCGACGGGATGAAAAGATGATTGACGTTCTCTCGATTCGCAGATAAAGAGGAGAAGTTGGATAACGTTGCCAACGGCACGGCGGAGGACGGCTGGATATCGCCTAACAGACAAGGGGGTAGCCCCAGGTGCAGTCACAGTCGACAGAGCTCGAACGCATCTTCCAGCACGATGCAACATAAAAAATGGGTGGACGTCATTACAGGTAAAAAAAAAAAAAAAAAAGATGTTTCCGCCGGAGCGCATAAGTATTTAAAGTCGCATCGTGTAATGTAATATAAATTCCGCCTTCGCGTAAGCACGTCATGTGTTTAAAATTCTCTTAATGCTTTTTTTATGTACATAAAATATAGACACACGCAAACGGAGAGTATTTCAGACGAGTTTAAATCGTGTCATTATTAAAGAAGTTATTTCAAACACAAAATACGTGCTTACATTACGTACACACGTGAAAATTGCGCGCTACGTTAATTCCGCGCGAGATATCTCTCTTTGCGCCCGTCTCTCTCTCTCTCTCTCCGAGAGCTGAAATATCAAACAGCCGCGATATTTTCATGCGAGGCAAAAATATGTGTGTAATTGCTGTTTTTAATTAAACCGTCGTGACGTCGTTTTTACAGTTCCGCTAATGATGGCGTATGTGACGAGATACATATTCGGCACCGACAAGTTGAGAAGAAACGCGTTCGAAGTCAGAGGACTCAACGGGGCGCGTACAGGAGTGATACACTGCGACGATAGCGCTATTCTCAGCCAATGGTTGAAATACATAACCGATAACATAACAGGATTGACGCATTTGCAGGTGATATTTGTATAATAAAATCGATCGTGTTTAACATTGATTGTGTGTAACATACTTTCACTGTGTGTGTGTATGTGTGTGTTTCTCTCTCTCTCTCTCTTTCTCTCTTCTATCGTGTCGCATTTCCAATTTCAACAATTGAAGCTGTCGTTAATTTTAACGACACGAAATTGTGTCGAGTGTGAATTTAGTTTGAATTTAATTTCAGATGAAACTGTACAATCGTAACTTCGGAGTCGGCGAGCGCATAGAATATATGGGTTGGGTAAATGAAGCGGTAAGCAACAGCAATCAACCGTGGCAAAGTTACAGGCCGAGGTTTCTGGCTCTTAAAGGACCGGATCTGTTGTTATTCGAGACACCCCCGGTATGTGTATCGGCGAGAAGGTTCCTATCTCTGTTTTAGGACAGTTTTTTTTTTTTTTTTTTTTTTTATTTAATCACCTTTGGAAGATTTTTATTCGACTTGTTTTCTCATCGAATATTGGAGTCATTCTCTCGTCTCGCTACAGTGCAACATAGGCGACTGGTCACGCTGCGCGCTTACGTTCAAAGTGTACCAGACGATGTTTCGCGTGATGCGCGAATCAGAAAATGTGGACGAGCGGCAGCATTGCTTCCTGACGCAGAGTCCGGGTAAACCGCCGCGTTATTTGAGCGTCGAGACCAGGCAAGAACTTCTGCGAGTCGAAGCGGCATGGCACACGGCGGTGTGTTCGGCTGTCACGCATTTGAAGGTTCGTGACGATGTATTTTCCGTGAACGCTCCGCGAGACTTTCGACGTTCTCAACATATCTTTTTTCTTTCTTTCACGCCGCAGAGCAAAACCTTCCCGGTGACTTTCAACGGCAAGAGCGCGTGTTTAACGTTGGAGTGGACTCAAGGATTCACGTTGTCGTACGAGGGAATCGGTGAGGTAGCGTGGCGTTACAAATTCTCACAGTTGAGAGGCTCCAGCGACGACGGCAAGAGCAGGCTCAAGTTGCACTTCCAAGAGCTTGATAGTATTGCGATCGAAACGAAGGTGAGGAAATCTTTTCTTTCGGTGTTGCATCGAATCCCTCGGCTTTCGATTTTTTTTTATTTTTTTTTCTATCAGAAAGAACCATATGTATTCACAATAACGTTTGCGTGTGTTTTGACAGGAATTCGAGTGTTCCCAGTTGCAAAACTTGTTGTTTTGTATGCATGCGTTTCTTACTGCGAAGGTAGCCGCGGTAGATCCCACATTTTTAACGTCGACCACTCCGTAAACAAACAAGCGAGAAGAATGTAATATAGGTGTAACAATATTAAATACGTTAATGCCGACGAATCACCATGCGCGGATGGATCACTTTTGTGTTCTGTTGTCGTTTACACGGATACGGATAGCGTGTGTGTATGTGTGTGTGTGTGTGTGTGTGCGTGTGCGCGCGCGTGTGTACGCTGGAAAATTACAAGAAGAAGAAGACGAAGAAGAAGAAGAAGGAAAAAAAGAGAAGCGACAGAAACTAGTCAATATAATCCAAAAGGTATTTTTATTGTTTACATATACAAATCACAAAGTGGTACTACTCTAACTCATCCTACCAAGCCAATTTCACAAGTATGTATATGAATCTAAACGGCTATCATATAGTGCGCATATTAGATAAGTATATTCCCGCGAGTTTCTAGGAGTGGTAGTGTGTGGATGGTGGGCCCGATGTTTGCGTTATCAACATTATGCTTACGTACATTTATACGTAATATTGTTTGAATGTCTTGAGAGAAACGTAACATTAATTGCAATCTGAATGAAATTACTTATAAGTTTTCGAATGTAGTGTTTTACTCTTTCCGCGTGCTGAATATATATATATATATATATATCCCTGTTTTATTTTGTATACAATATTTAACGGACGATCACGCGAGTTGACATAAAAAAAAAAAAAAAAATTATAATTTGTAGAAATTAAAGCAACACACGCAAAGAGTGACACATGCCGGTTCATGAGTTTTAATTTGCAGTGATGAGAACGATCATTTGTTTTTATTATAGTAGATTATATTTTATATATACATATATACAATGCTTATATATCTCTCTCTATATATATATTTGTATTGCGTGCCGTACATGTATCAGGTGCCTTAAAAAAAACCATGAAAAAAAGAGAAGTTGCGAAATTATAAAGGAGGCATCAAGTTTTCGTTTCTCGTCAATAAGACATATAAATCATTACGCGCATATATATATACAGTTAGAAACGTGTTGAAACGTAAACCACACGAATATTGTCGTTGCATTTTCGTTCGAAAAATTCTGATTTGCGATTCTTCTGAATGATGTTTTGAGATGAGTGCGATTGAATCGAAGAACACGCAGTATTGATTCGTCCATATGACAAATCGTCAACATAACAATTACAGCCCTATAGCAATAAAGCGTTTAAAGTAACTATTATGGGTGGCTCACACACTCAAAGCGCGCGCAACGTCGTGAATAATCTCGAAATAGTTCATTCATCAACGCAGTATTATCGATGGGGGCAATAAGTTTTATATAAAAATTAATAAACGCGGCGGGGAGTATTGTGACATTATCGAGCCGCAGTTATTATTGAAACGCGATCTGTAATTGTTATAATTGTACTTTCCTGGTATCGGGCGCAATTAGCTGTACGCGCGTTGCGTTCTAATGATTCGCGAACTTTTCTCGTCTGCGTCGAAAGTTCTTACTATTGAAGAGAGAAAATAAACGATACTCACACACTGAAAAAAAAGCTTATTTGATACGTAATGGAGTATATATAGTGTGGGTGTCACATACAGGTCTCTGTAGTGTCTTCAAATATATCAATTATCTCTTTCCAATATCTCTCTCTCTCTCACTATAGTTACTTAGAGTTAACACTGTATATTATATATACATATATATACATCTTATCGTTCGGTTCTCAATTATATTTAAAGCAATAAATTCCGTAATAAAAGAAAAAAGAACGAACTAAAGAGATATGACAAGAGAGAGAAAATAGGCTTTGCACACACTATACGCATATATGTACTATATAAAAAAAAAAAAAAAAAACTGCATACAAATGTATTAATTATATGACGCAAGAGAGTGTTGCACGTTTTCCAATATACGCCTAATTAATTATTTAGTTTTCACATGTAAGACGAATAATAATCTCTACATGCACACACGCGTCGTGTAGATGCCACACAATTTTAAAAACGTATAAAGGAGACTCATGTGGATGAGTTTGATTTCAATCGCGTGTTTCTCTGAAGTCACCGGTTACTCGTAGAAAGTGCCTACAAAGTAACATAGAAAAACAAATATGTAAAAGAAGTCCCCACTTCTGTTATATCATAGCGTACATCTATATTGCTGATAATTATATATATATATATATAATACATATATATATACATAATTATATATATATACATATATATATTGTACTTCTCTAGTCTGTAAAGTATCAGGGTATTTTACGCGATACCTAATAGCAAATGTGTTTAATACAATTTGTTGTTTCAATCGCGAGATGTTAAAGTATTTCGGAAAAACACCGTTTTGTTTTCTTTCTTTTTTTTTAATGTCATTGATTTTACACACGTGGAACGCAAAAGGATATTTTTGTTTATCGTTAAAAAAATTTTGAATATTATTCATGACCAACATAAATAGATACATATGTATAGATACATATTGTAGTAATGTAAGGATTATATATACAATATCTCTCGAATTTAAGTGCAGAAAGTGATGGTGATAATTTGAGATTGTTTATAAATAATTAGCTTTATTCACATTGTTGTGTATAAATTTCTATATTCGTTGAGAGACAATTATATAAAACATCTTGACATATCAGATCAACTTGAGGATGTTTATTAAGATGAAATTCGGTTAAAATTATTTAAAAAAAAAAAAGCTTTAGTTTATTATCGTTTAATTTGTTGAAGTTTTGAAATTTGAATAGCCATGTTACTTTTTTTTATTTTATACACTCTCATTTGCGCACTATCCTGTGCTTAAAATCGGAGATTATCGACTGCACAATTATATCATATAAGCAAGTTAGTTAAGAGTGGAATGAAGCTGGAATGAAATCTACAGCAATTAGAGATTCAAGTTTATTTACGATGACTTTTGCTCTCGCTCTTTCTCTCTCTCTCTTTCTCTGACTACAGCCTACGTAGATATTATATACGTATGAAAAAAAAATATGTTATCAATTTATAAAACTTTTTATATTCACGATCCGTTTAATAATATATTTTTCTCAATTCTTGCATTTATTACATCGAATTCAGCTCATTCCGATAATTGTACACACAGCGTATACTCTCAAAATTCGCTGAATGTATTCGACTGATTTTAGCGAGCACTTGCAATTCCAAGTCCTGTCGTTACGTTACATATATTCAGTCTTTTCTTTCGTCTTTTGTTATAATTGCGTATTGTCGAGAAAATGGAATGGAAGAGCAAACTCGCGGCACCGGCATAAAAAACATCATAATCTTACATTTCGAAATATAGTTTATCTGTTATAATGTCTATCCCCCATTGACAATATGTCTTAAAATATATCATTGTTAGAAGTTACAAATCTGATGCGTCTTTGTAGTTTTCTCCCCTTTGTAGTTTTTATATACATATATAAAATTATTAAATACTTGTATTAAATACACAACTGATTTCTTAAATAAAGTTTCAACATTTGTTTTGTTTTGATAAAAAGAATAGAAAAAATAAAAAAATAAACAAGATAGGAAATTTTCCGTCACAAGAAGCAACACAGTTTATGTGAATGATAACAATAAGATTTTATTTATTGCATTTGCACGTTTTTGGTTTCCTGTTGTCACACCAACATTTGTATATGAAAAATATAGAATATCCCGAGGTTTTTCTAAAATGTTTTTCAATACATGTGTATAAAAGATACATTTATACAAAGTTGCGCAAAACAAATCTGGATTTTCTCAAACATAAATAAATAGTATTTTATAGCTCTGTAAAATTTTTGTTACATTTACAAAAAAAGAGATCTGCGTAGCAATTTGCATATTTTAATAAAAATTACAAATGTTTTCGATCGTAGTCAATTTAAAAAATTAACAAATCTCTATAGATGAGAAAAACCTAGTTAACAAAAATAAACTAATTGACGACATAAATAATTTATGTTTATATAAATACAACAATGAGTTACTTGCACACAGAGTGACAGAGTTTAGACATTTTCCTAGATAGAATTTTCTAGACATGAATTTGCGAGAACATGAAGGTGCACAGAGACAAATAATCGAGCTGCGATATGTACTATCTCTATGCACCTTCAACTGCAAAAACAGAGGTTTGAATTCGATGAGCTTCTCGCAAGGGTGACACTTCGCTTGTACATGTAGCTGTATAAACAGAATACTGAATCTAAAACAATAATAAAAATTTAGTTTTATTTATGGTGACTATTGCATGTCAAGACTAGAGACTGCAAATGTTCTTTGTTCTACTTTTGACATACACATACCAAATTTGTCAGTGTCACGTTGCGAATTGCAATTCGCGTAGAGTTTTTATTTGTGTTTCTCTTTGAACAAATTTATACTTCGACTTTATCCGCATTCCGCTCAACACAATGACACTCGATATTCTTTTTCATCTCCGGGAAGTCACCAAATCCTCTTCCTCTCGTCGAAGTTTTTCTCTTTTTTTGTTTTTCTATTTTAAGGCCTATTTCAAGGTTTCGTCTTGGATTCTGTTGCATAAATTCAAATAATGCGTAGATATTTGCTTATACATGCATATAGATAATAAATAGCAAAAGAGAGTAATATAAGATATACATAAAAAAAAAACATCAACTCGTACTTTGATAATAATTGGTTCGTCTTCGTCTTGATCTCTTTTGTGGATGTGTCGCCTTAAAGTGACGCGCTAGTGCCGTCACCATCATGAACGTTTCTGAGCATTGTTTGCACGTAAACCTTTTTCTTTTTCTGATACGTCTCCTTTTGACTGGTTTCTTTTCTTCATTTTCTTCTTTTTCATCATCGCTAGCCAAATTTACGGTAATAATCTCGTTTTCCTTATCTTCGTCGTTGTCGTCGCCAGTCAGGTCGATGATCTCGATCTACAAAACATCATTTCAACATCTCGATCAAAGAACAAATTCAAATCAGCAAGATGGAAATGTTTCGAATTGCTCTACTTTTGAATCTTTACAATTTTTATGAAACTTACATGTATACATATTTGTAGATATCAGAGATAAACTACGAATAATAAAAATAAACGACAAATTGAAAGATGAATTGTAAATTTTCGCACGACAAATTTCAGAAGGACACACGATCGTCTTGAGTCGCTGATAATTTCTGTATTATTTACCTTCCGTCGTTTCGCCCTCATCCTCTTTTTCATTCTCAGTTTGTCTAATTGTATATTGCGCTTGGCCATATGTGACTTCTTGCGACCTCGCGGTCTGTTACGCCTCTTGTACACGCTCTGTTCCTCTTCCTCCACCTTCCATTTCGGTACGAAAACCATTTCATCATCACCCCGATCAAGAAGTTTCTGTTTGCGCGGTCTTCGTCTACCTTGCGGACGCTGATCGACCTGATCGCTGACCGTTGTAGATACTGGCACTTCTGAAGCAGTCGTTGATGATAACAGATCAGTCTGTTCGTTGACCACTTGTTGATTATCTGACTTGTTGATCTCCGATGGCGATGATTTGCTCGAATCTTCTTCGCGATTTTCATTCTTCAATTTCAACAACGAAATTGACTGCGAAACCTCATTGTAAGACATATCACCGGGGAAATAGTATGTCATAGAAGAAGGAGATACTTTCGAATGATCTGTTTGATCTTCGGTAACTTCTTTTTCGGTATCTTCGTTTTTTCGTTCCGAAAAAGCTACATAAAAATACATGTACTTCAGTTCTCTCTTCATATATAAAGTTTAACAAATATTTGTTATATATGTATATAGTTTGTTAAATAACTCTTACATTCAATGTTACACGTTCCAATGATCAAACCGTTTTTAGTGTCCATCTGCTCGTTTATTTCTTCGGAGTTGTTTTCGTGAGGAAGTTCTGACAGCGACTCCTCAAGATGCATAATATCATCAAGTTGATCTGTCTTTTGTTCCGAATCTGTGGTTTCGTCGTCCACTAGCTCCTCCTCTTCCTCTCTGTATAAAAAAATATTTAGTTTAAAAATAAGATGAACTAACCAAACATTTTTTCTCAAAAACTTACTGCGTTACAAAATGTAAATTATTTGACTCAATGTCGTTCTCGTCAGTCTCCTCGTTCTCTGAGTGTGATTCGTAGAAAAGAAATAATTGCTCTCCGTCAGAAGTATTAAGGAGAATCACTTTTTGCTCTTTCTCTTGCACCACACTATTTTCATCCTCCTCTACCTTCATGATGTCCGACTACAATAAAAGGAAATGTTAGAAGATAGTGTAAAAAAATATTATACAATCTTATACTTTTTTAAATATCAAGATTAAAATACCAGTATATCTTCGCTATCTTCCTGTTTTCCATCAATACAGTTTTCTGATAATACAATAGAATCTTCAACAGTTTCTTCTATATCCATTTCATCACCGCTTTCTAATACATCTTCAAAAAACATAGTATTCTGTGCTTGACTATTATTTGGCAAAGCGGCATCTTTGATAGACTCTTCGTCAATTATTTCTGTGTTTTCTAAACTCTGCTCAAAGTAAGTTGTTATGTCTGTTTGATTATCTTCACCAACAACTATTTCTTCACCTACAACCTACAATAGAACACAAAGATCTCATCAATAAAACAATTAGCGCACTAGATATAAATCAGCAATTTCCTATCATAACAAAGTAAAATCTTACCAAATTTTCCTCAATGTGAAAAGGTTGCGTAATATATTGCTCATTCTCCATAAACATGATCTTTGTTGCCGCATCTTTGGACACAACTTTCTCAAAGAGATCCGATTTTGTCACAGACATGATGGTGATGCTAATTTTAAGACAATATATAATTATTAAAAAATCAATATTAACAATATGTGATATAAAAGAGAGAATCACATTTATTACTCATGCTTTATAAATTAATTTCCAAACTATATAAATTATAAGTCATGTAAATATAGATATTGAAATTCTTACAGAGATACTGAAGAATTGTAGATATATAAAATCTTTAGATTATCTCGTGCTATAAAAACTCTTTCGAAGGCTACTGCTTGCGATCAAGGACACACAGACGAAAGAACAAAAACAAACGCGCACTCTGACTGCTCAGAATCCATCGAAGTTGCAACGCGACTTATTGTCAGCTAAGCGCATTCACATTGAACGCTGCGGGAAGCATATTTATTTTTAATTTTCTTTATTTCCGCGCTCAAAAAGATCTCGAGAATAATGATGCGTGTGTGTGGGTGCGAATGCGTATGTACGCGTGTGTAATATGAGTTAGTTAGCGCGACGTGCAAAAATTCTTTTTGTCAGACTTGAATCTTAAGACAGATTTTATTGTGTTCCACGCAATGCCTTTCTTAAAATTCACAAGATTTATAACATCAAGCGATACATAAGGTCTGTGACGAGGATAAAATAGAATTTAAACACTCACAAGGCACGCTTAACTCTGTGGCTTACGCACTATGAGCAAACATGGCTGACCTAGGCTACTTTGCAATCCTTGCATAACAAGCAAAGTATTTATCACGGCGCATGCGTGCGAAAATCGACCAATTACTTGTGTGAAAAACCAACGCCGTTTTGTTTCACGCTCCTCGAAACTAAATAAGCGATTGGTTTTGATCGGTTTCGTGTTGTTTGTTACACGAGTTTGACCGATTAATTGATTGGTTTGGTTTGGGTGCATATATCGGCTCAAAGAACCGAGTTAAGCTAGTCCATACGCCATCCTAAGATTTCTTGCAATGATTCGACTCTTGAATACCGATTAATTGAATCGGTTACGCCAGAGAGAAGAATCGCTTTTCGTTATTTTCCGTAAGCCAGCGCAACGTTCATGGGTGGCGCACATTGGCAACTACGTAACCACGTGCACCACGAACGACTTGTCGGTGCGTACGTTACGTTCAAACGACATGGTTCTATTTTGTGCTATGTCCGCAACCGTGTGATCTTTAAATTGTGCGTCACTTAATTTATATTAATAATTAATAGAAATATGTAGTTCATCTTTATGTTTTATTATTATCAATATTATATTATGTACTTTTCCAAGACTGTGTATATCTTGGAAAGATTTTCACACATTCTCTCATCGCTCTCAGTATCTTCTCTCTGCTACAAACGTGAATAAACAAATAATTACAATTTAACGAGCCTCTTTCATCGCGAGACTACTTTTTGAAAAATGTTAACTAAACATTTTATCACAAAGTGAAATTCTAATGGATCGGATGTAAACCTATGCTTCTATCTGACAGACTCAAGTTTTTTCATAATGTTCCTGACTTTGGTTTTTTTATTTTGAATTTTTTAATTTTTTCAAGCATAACATCCTGCTCTGGCTCTTTATAGCCGTTTATTGTATCATTTGAATTTTAAATGAGAGCCTGAGGTCAAGCCTCTTTTCTTCACCTTATTTATTTACCGCTGGCTGAGAGAAGCGAGATAATATGACAACTCAACTTAGGACATCAACTAAGCATGGATTTTTCAATGACATTGAAACAACTTTTGGAAAAACTGCCAAATTTTTGATGAAAGATTGGATCAAACTTCAATACCGGTTTATAACTGTTTCATTACAAAACAATTATCTTAGATCTTGCATCAATTTAAACATANTTCCTAANCATTTAGTTAATATTAGACATATTTTTCCTAAATTTTGNCATAGCAGAAATGATCAGAAGTTATTTACGTTTTTAAATAAGTTAAAAAGTAGAATTTTAAAATTGGAAATTAATGATAGTCACAGAAATCTCCAACAAATAAGATGTAAACTTTCGACATCCTTATTTATAGACTGTGAACTACATTTATAATTAATTTTTCAATGTAATATATTATTTGGACTTATTTGGTATGTACAATTGTTTAATCAATGTTATTTTTGATGACAACATGTTTATAAATGTCATATTTTTTGTTAAATAGATTTGATTGAAAAGGACTAAAAATATAGTCGAAACGTTTCAAAAAATGACATGAGTCTAATTTTTTCAAGCATAACATCCTGCTCTGGCTCTTTATAGCCGTTTATTGTATCATTTGAATTTTTTTATTTTGTTTTCTTATAGCTACAGAGATGTGTGCAAATCATACGCACGGTACAAAAAAAGATTTAAAGTACTCGATAACTCTATGTACATTTAAATTTTCTCGAAATTCACACCTCGAGCAAAAAGTTTATTTACAGTGTCGATTACAGCGTCGATTTGTTTTTGTTTGTTTGTTTGTTTCATTTCGTTCTGTGTTGGATTTTTATTTTTTTCTTCTCATTTTCTTCAACTCACTCTGTTGCATCGCAGCTTCTCCGAAAATTTCGTTCACTTTACGTTTCCGTTCGGCATCGCTCTTAACTTGTTGAGCAATCTGTACTTTAGCCAAGAAGTCTCGGTCTCTTCTTATCTCGCGAATCGCGCCCTTGAACTCTCTCTTGTACTTGTGCAACAATTTCTCCCTTTCTGCTTTTTCCCTCGACATGAGTTTGTGTTTCTTTCCGTCATATCTGCAAGAGAATATAATTGTTTGAAAAATGTGACATATATTAATTAAAAAACTTGTACTAAATAACAAAATTAAATAACAAAAGTAATTAGTGTTTTATAGAACATTTTTTCCTATATAAATCATCTAACATCACATACATTGTCATTATTTTAGGCTCGTACGTCCTCAGAGGTTTGGGCCTCTTTTTCTCGAGCACAATATATTCCAGTTTCTTGCTCCGTAGAAGCGCGAGTTCTTTGCGCACTTCTTTTATGCGCTTTCTCACGTTTGACGGATAGTTCTTGAATTTGTTTATTTCCAATAATTTCAAAATAGGCTCGAATATCGAATATACCGCTTCTAATTCCTGAAGCTGATTCTTGAATTCTCTAACTAGATTTACCGCGGTCAGCAAAGCTCTGATCTTGAAGTCGTCGTCCAAGTTTTCACAAATCAGATCGTTTGCAGACATACGTGAATTCTCCAAGTCAATTGTTACTTCGGTTTGATCGATCACCAAAGGCTTTAGGTCTCTTTTGAAAGGTGGTATAACTTTTATATTTTGCGTCAAATCGGCGGGCGTCGCTGTGTAAATGACTCCGCGCAAAAAGTTAATTACGGACGGTGCAAATCGCTTGTTTAACTGCATATACTGTAAATAAGAAAAAAAAAAAAAGATAGTTAAAGTATGGCACGAACTTGAGAAATTTTTCTTAAGATTTATATGAAATCAAACTGTAAAAATTATACTCGCTTCTAAAACAAGTGTACACATAAACAGGCCTTTGGAAATATCACTTCGACATCTCTTGATACGAGCTCTCAGCAATATTTGTGACATAAACGCTAAACAGGGAGTGACAACGGGATGCCTAAAATCAGACGTTGGAAACAGCAGGGACACCAGTTTAAAAAATATAAGCTGAAACCAACAAAAACCTCGCTAGTTACATTTAAGCGTAAACATGTATGATTAAAGATAATTTGTAATGTAAAAAAGTCTCATACCGTATCCATACCGGGATAAGTTTTTTTATTTTCAAATTTTTTATACTTTTCCTTGATCAATTCCTGTACAGAAGTTTGAGCAATTTCTGGATTCATGTGCGCCAGATCATAAAAATAAGGACACAATCTGAAAATAATAACAAAAAAAAATTAGCATTGTAATTAAAAATTAGCAATGTAATTAAAAAAAAAAAAATCTGATAATAACGTATGCGTCTTACCTATCAAAAATGTCAAAACATTTAATTAAACTATCAGCAGTGTTCACAAAAGCGCAATTATTTACATATTGCAGTAAATACACAAATAGATTCGACATTGCTTCTTTATTTTTACTGTCTAATCTAGGATGATTGCATTTTATAATGCGATCCACAATGACCGACTGATAGTCCGCGTTATGATTTTCTAAGAGTTCTTCCAACTCTTCGAAGCTGTCTGGAGCATTGTAGGTGTAAGGCAGTTCTTTTCGCGCCTTCTCCATTATTTCTTTTCTCTTCAAGAGATCTTTTACGATTTCTTGTTTCTCAGTTTTGTCAGACAACGGAGTCTGCACAGTATCGTCACGCTGTTTCAATATTGATTTAGAACCAAATTCATCAGATTGTTTTGTTTGTTCATTGTCTTCCGACGTAGTATCAGTAAATCTAACACGTTTCTCAACAGCTTTATTGTGTTCATCTTCACCGGATGATTCAGACTCTTTCAGATCAGAAAGATTTTCCTCTGATTCTTGACTATTATCCTCATTGTCTGAATCTTCATTGTTCGATGAATCTTTCTCGTTCAAATCTTCATTCGAGTTATTATCCTCATCATCTTTTTCCTCGTCGTTATTATCACTATCATCATTGGTCACCGAATTAACGTCGTTGTTATCGTTACCATCTTCGGTGATAGGTTCCGTCAAAAAATCGTCATTTAGATCGTCAGCAGATCTCGGTCTGTGTTTGTTACCAGCGGAAGATACAAATCCTTTCATTCTCGCCAATCTATCGGCTTCGAGTGTTTCCAATGTTTCTTTTTCTTCCTTAGCAATCTCTTCCTCTGATTTCAGTTTCTCCGTTGGATTGCCTCTAGCTTCGAACTTCAACTGCCGTACAGCAATATCGTAGGCATCGGCTTTTGCTGGTCTGTCGTCATCCGTGCTAGACTTTTTGGAAGCGGATATTATGGGAAGAAGATCTTTCCACTCGGAATCAAGTTTCTCCGTCAGATCTATCGTCTGCTCGCGTATCTTTTGCTTTTCCGCTTTTCGTTTCTTCGACTCCGCGATGAGCTGATCGATCAAATTCTTTCTCGATAACGCAGAATCTGATCTCGACAAAGTCCCACCGCCGAAGTGAGCGTCTTCCACAAAATTTCTATCCAGTTTGTCGTTGGTGTTTCCGTTGTCACTGTATTCGTCGTCGCTTCTGGGATCGTCGAATTTCTCTATTTCTTCGAGAGTTTGACCTCTATGCGTCAGTATTTCCTCATCGTGCAAATTGAAAATACTCTTTTTATACGCCTTTGTGCGTTCCTTGGCAAATCTCGCTATTGCTTTGTCCTCCGCACTCATGCCAGAATTTTTCTCACCTATACGTTTGTCCAGAAAAAGATTGTCTTTGTTTTTCAATTTATATTCTTGAAGAAGACTCTGTTTGCGCCTATTGATAGCCTTTGCCCTTGATATTCCCGGTAATCCACGATCATTTTTACTTTTCCGACCCAGCACCTTCTGCTTGTCTCTGTTGATGTGTACCTCAAACGGATTCAATTGTTTCTTCTTCTTCAGATCACGCTTCTGTTGTGCGAGGTCGGACAAATTCTTTGCTCTCACCATTGTGTTCTGCAAATAAAAAAAATATCATCTATAAAACACAAGCAAATCAACTTAATCTCTGATCCGACTTTTTAACTGTTTGAAACACAAAACCCGTCATTGTTTTCTTAAAAAAAAAAAAGAAAAAAAAACAGTACACGCGCTTGTAACAATGTAACCTTCAAATGCGACAAATGTAAATTTTTTTATTGTTTCAATAAATTACAAATATTTTACAAGCGTTGTATAAATAGTATTCTTACTCTGTTAATTCTGGTAACTTGTAACTTATAAACAACATCTATATTGTTTTTATTTAATGCACACTGAGCAATAGTGAGATTATTTTAAGAACCATGTGCGCCAATTGCTATCAAACTGTGCGTTTCGAAGATTGTCGTGTCTCGGAAAGAATAGGGTTGGGTTGGGTTTCACTTGACACGTTCGCGCGATGATCGCGAGTGTAGCGTCGAATTTACAATATTCCGTCGCATTCGTCGATTTGCCGAATAAGACCAACGCGATTGGATATTGCGAAACAAGTTTTCTAATCGATCGTTACAAGTGGAACCCCACTCGAAACTCTCACCAATCGCTTCGTTGCAAACGCGGTCTTTCACGCACGTGCCGGCTGATCATTTCTGTTTTCCCGGGAAAAAAGTCATGTTTCGCGAAGAACTTAATTTTCTCGAAATTTAACACAGGTGACGATAACCATTTGACAGAAGTGTGAAACAGAGTTGAGCGAAATGAGTAATTTTCGCTCTCCCATGAGATGCATATCTCCCAACGCGAGGTAAACATCTTAAAAAATATCGGAGTAGTATCATTTGGTTAAGAAAGTTCACACAACACGCGTATGTGTTGAAAAAAAAAAAAAAAACGGTTTACTAAAAAATATGAATATTTTATTCGCAGAGTCTTAACACCCAAGCCCCAGGTACAGCAGCTGTTGGATTTGAGACAAATGCAAACCAAAGCTTACAACAGCATTATATGGTTTTTTATCAACAGCGCATTGTTCAGCATTATTATTTTTGATATGTGAGGTTCAACGTTTTCCGCGTTTTTGTACGCATATATATATATATATATATATATATATATATATCATAAGAATAATATTTTTTTACTAATGACTTTAATTTTGATTTTCAGAATGTACAGTGCATATGCTTACAAATCAGTTTACTGGATCGAGTGTTGTTTAGTATCGATATTTGCACTGAATGCTTTGTATCACATTGTACAGTACACATGCGCCACTCTGAGCTTGAAGTCGGTTGCTCTCAGTCCCAAACAACGTTCGCTTTTAGGAGTTCCGGAAGATGATCCTCTATTCAAGGACGAAGTTCCTCAGAAACAAAAAACTCTGGAGCTCAACTCGTCATTGAATCTGTCGTTTATAAATCTGAGCAGACGTACAACATCTGTTGGCTCGTCTGGTTTAAGTGAAATCAGTACGCAGAATCTGAGAGATACTTATTACTTATACTCTTAAATTTTAACACAGATTTTAAATGTTTTGTGTATTCACTTTGTTCTTTTTCAAGAGGATTATTCAGCATCAAGTCCGATTTATAAATACAGTAGCCCAATGTCTAAATCAGTTATAAGCTCCAACGGATCTTATAGTAAATCTATGAATTCTTCGCTGAACGGCAGCCTAACAAATGAGGATTTAATTCAGGATGAATGTGAATTGGAAAGTTATCTCAAGGAAGTGGAGCAACAAAGAAAATGCGCATTGTCCACAAATGTGGATCAACCTTCTAATCTCTTGAGTTCCTTCTGGTCTCATCCTGCTACCCGAGCTCCTGGTGAAGTATCGCCACTATTACGGAGATGTGCTTATCAACTTGCGCCTACTATTGGTAAATTGTGAAATTTATTCTCAAAATATTTTACGTGTATATTTTTCGACAATTATGTTAATTAATTACACTATTTTAATTATTTCTGTTAGATAAAACAAAGGCAACCAGTCCTGGTGCTGAAGAAAGAAATTCTCCTAGAGGCACATTTGGTGCGCTAGATGTTTGGAGAAAATACAGAGTTGATTCAAATAAGGTGAATGAATGGACTGCCAACCTTCGTATGGTAAATGTTAACGATCTTTTGTGTGTCAGAGATTGCAGAACAATTGTGAATTGAATATTTCAAACATGTAAAATATGTTTCAGTGGATCAGCACGACAGTTGTGGAACGTGTGGCTTTGGAAATAGACAATATATGCGTGGCATTGGTACGTCATGGTCTGAGCGACTCGCAGCCCGGTCACGTAGGATTGGACAGACTCAGGAAACTCGCGCAAGCACCATTTCTGGTATCCGCCATTCCCACTCTGCCCACGTTGGTTCCTTTTCTCGAAATTTCCAACAATCAAGAGTATCTTGTAAAGAGAATAAAGACTCTTGCAAAGGGAGGATCGATGAGCGAATTCAAGTGGAACGGCGGCGGATCTCACAATGGCAAGGAATGGGACTCGAGCCTGCCAACTGATTCCGCGGTAAGATATATATATATATGTTACCCGTGTATCTGTGTTGCACAATTTGCATCGATCGTTTTTAAACGCATTTTCCGCATTTTCTCTTGAAGATAATCATGCACCTGATTGCGATTTATATGGATACGCAATTGGAAGCGCCCTTGGATCAACCAGATGCCAGGCCGTTTACATCAAGATACATGGCGAGATCCGGCATGGAACTGCCGCGAAACAAGGGTCCGATAATAGTTTGCCAATCAGTAAACCCACCGCACTACAGCCTGGCGCTATCTGGCGATTCGCTGCCAAGTGATTACGAAGAGGTTCAACGGGTAATCGCATATCTTTTTTTTTTTTTTTTTTTACATATTTCCACATCTTATCTCGTTGTACAATGACATTTATAAATTTTCAGGGACGCAACAATCTGTTCCACACATTTTTGCTTTTCTTGTACATAGTCAAGACACGAGATCACGGCATGCTGGGACGCGTTAACGCAGGATCTTCCGGAATTAATATCTTATGGGTGATAGACGGCTAACAAAAACTATTTTTTACTTATTTAGCAAAATTGAAAAGAAGAGATAAAGCGACTGGTCGTTATAGATGAATTGTAGCCTATGTGTGTGTGTGTGTGTGTGTGTGTGTGTGTGTGCATTAGATGTGAACACTCACTTGTGTAATATTTCGAGATTGATTCTCTTGATATTTAACTTTGACATCTCGTTTTTGTGTGTGTGTGTGTGTGTGTGTGTGTGTGTATCGTGCTGGTTAAGCAATCACACGAGTGAGGACCACAATTTTTTATTCGTTTTATTTGCGGCTATATACAAAGACATGCAGAGATTACCGATACAAGTGCTCCACTAAGTTTTATTATATATTCTTATGTGCGCATACAGTCTGTATGTATATAACGTGTACTCTTCCTATATCAAAACCTCAGTGATTCAATGGTTTAATGAAAAATATATATGTATATATCTTTTTTATATCTCAAAGTGAGAATCTACGATCTCCTCTTTCTCCCTCTTTCCTTCTTGGTAAAAAAAAAAAAAAAAGAAAAACATTTTGTAAGTGCGTATAAACATTAAAATTGAAGATGTTTGTGCATCCTTGTATATAAAATCTCTAAGTATCTCCTTTACTCTCCTACTTACTTACTATATCAAGACGTATTTGACATAAAAAAAAAAGAGCAAATCATAGTTAAACAAGGTTCTATAATTTATTGTATTATTCTCTCTTTGGATTATAATGCGTTACAAATAATTCCTTCAACTCAAACCAATGTATGTACACAATAAAAGTCGATACAAATAGTAGTAATGTAACCGTATGTATATATATATATCATATATATATATATATAATACCATAAACCACGATATATATATAATTAGAGAACAAATACTTTTATTTATGCAACAGAATGTAAATGAAAAAAAAAAACTGCCTCATCTACATATAACAATGTTCAAAAACGACGTAATTTATTATTATACATGTATATGTTTAATTATGCACTAATTTTAAACATTTTGTTACGCGACAAAATTATTACTGTACACCAGGACTGCGCGTTTGGACAGCGCGCTTCAATTGTTCGAAGAGCTATTGTGGCGATTTTTGTTGTATTATGAGTGTGTGTGTGTGAGCAAACATAAATAAAAATAACCGTATTGACTTGGAACCAATTTCGCGTGGAATCGAACAAAATATATTTCTAAATATATTATCTGATATATATTTATGTTATTATAAATATATACATTTATTATAATAAACAAATATATTTATATTATAATAATCTATTATAATAAATATATTTGTTATTACATGTGCACTTGTTCAAGTCAAACAGAAAATAATTCGCACAGCATTCAAGAAACACATTTTGGCGCTATTAGCGTATCGTGCCTCGAAATCTTGATCACAATATTAGCGCGAGTGATTGAAGCAGCTCCACGAACGGCCAAAGTGCGCTTATAGCAGCTCTTCCAAAAACAAAAAAGCACCCTGTCCAAATCCAGCCCAGGACATATCAATGGTTTCCAGTGTGCTTGTGATCCATTTTCGAAACACACCAATCTCAAATTTCTTCATTCATATTTGACAATATTTCTCGCAATTTGCATGCTTAATGATGTAGCTTAATTAAATTAAGCCATCAACAAAAACTTCGCGAACAAACTGGAAATTATTAACGTGCCTCGGTGTGTACGAAAACTCGCGCAATTCCCCCCCCCCCACATATCTCACAAAGTAAAGTCATCATAATTAGCAATTTACAAATTTTTTATGATCTTTGCGTGTTATCGCTGTAGTTAGTTTTTTTTTTTGTTTTTTTTTTTTTTTTTATATACTGGAAAAGGATTCATATCGAATTACGTGTGATATGTACGCACACGGGTGTCCCAGTTGTGCGGTACTACATGAATACTTTCGTGTATACGTAAAAAAATCTAATACTTCATCTGTTTTTAACGTAAATATATAATGTTGTTATTGATCTTGTGTAATTGTTACATTCTCGATCTTTTGCGAGAGAAACCTCGTGTAAAAAATTTTTATTCCACATTCTTTTCGCACGAAGACTCGCACAATGCAACGCGAACACTTTGTGTGTGCGTACATGTACATGCGTTCCGTGATATATTACATACAGAAACGTGAGATATATCTATATATGCCGTATATGTATATAGAAATAGCTTAACATCTTTTTATATATAACACATAAAAATAAAGTTTTTTTTTTCTTATACAAGCTAAAGCGTCAACCATCAAAAATTATACGTAGCGCATTCTGATCTTACACAAGGACAAGTTCTTACTAAAGTCAACGTTATGTATGCTATGATACCCTGATAAGTAGAAGTCGGACAAAACAGCTCTCAACGCCAGCCGGAGGTCTACTTGTGAGAAAAAAAAGGATCGATAGAAAAAAAAAAAAAAACAGATCAGCAAGCAAACGGAGTGAATACAAAAAAAGAATACCGTTTTTTTTCTATTTAATTTTTTTTTTATATAGAAATTGTCACGCGCGTCTTTTTTTTTATACGCATATATCTATATATCTGTATATGCATGTTTGTGTTTTATATACATATGTTGTATACAAGGTAGTCAGGCCTGAGGCGCGCTTGCTTCCGACAGATTCTCGAGTCACGTTGAGACAAAAAAAAAAACGTTGATCTCAACGTCAAAGTGTCGAAGCTACAACTGTTCTTGAAATAAAAAAGCAAGCAAAAACTTTGCGTATATAGCGCGGAACGACTTACTGATCGTTATTTAAGATCAAATCGGTGTTTCGAGACGCTCTTTAGTAGTATCGCAAAGCTATCATCATTAGCGAGCGATCTTCAGATAAACCGTACTTATGTATTATGCTTTAGAGCTGATTTGCCAACTTCAACTTTTTGTTGTAAGTACTTCTGATGTCAAGATTTTTGAATGACTTCGCACAAGAATCTTGCCGTTGCAATCAGCAAGTCTGCCTCAAGCCTGACACACTGTATGTAACATACACATGTTCCATCCTATATACATATATGCACACACACACACACACGTATCTCTGGCGCGTGTATGTGTGTGTGTGTGTCTCTGGGAGAAGATACGTATAAAAGTGTGTCACATGCGCCCACATGTGTGTGTGTGTGTGTGTGTGTAAGCACATATAAAAATTACATATAACGCCCTGATTATCTTTCTCTTTATCATAAATTTTAATTGCTCTAAACATGATAATTTTATATAAAACATAGATATTGCAAGTTTAACTGGTTTATAAGTTTAACACACTAACTCTTTCGCGAGAAGAGAAAAAAAAAAAATAAGAAAATTATTTGGGAGAATCTAAGTCAAGAAATTACACCTATAATGTTACTTAACACTATTAGCTTAGTTTTTTTTTTTTTTTTTTTTTTTTTTTTAAGTATTTAAGCTATTGCCTTATATTCGTGTGTTATGTTACTTAAAGAAAATCCGCCTATGTTACACACGTACGTGATATAGAAATGTCAATCTTGCTTGTTTATCCGTTAATAATGCTTTGCTTCAATGATGCTCGTTCTACATATGTTCGTACCTGTGGTAATGCGTATTATATGGAAAAGTACGTCTACAATTTTTTTTCTAATCAAATTATACATACACACTTCTCTTCGTCATTGCAAAAATAAACTTCGATACGACGTTTCGCACATAAAATCGTAACGGATATTTGTGTGTGAGATTTGTAGACACACACATACACAGATATCACGTTGTTTAACAATACAGCTAAGCGGAGGCGTCATCTCTCTCCTCTTCGTCCAGAGAATTGTCTTCCGACAATTGCGATAATATCAATCAGACTTTTCCGCGAACGGAAATGGTTTTTTTTTTTTACCTTTACTTTCCTGTAAGTGTAAATTGTAAGAAGACGGGAGAGTTACATGAGAAGAATCGCGTACGCCGCGCGAGAACATGTTAGTTTTCTCTCTCACTTCCCTCGTATCCTTCAAATGTAAAATATGTCCAGTGTTTGTTTGTGTGAGACGAATTTCTCACTTATTTAATTTCTAATCGAGCGCGGAGAACTTACGGTTCTATTAGGAAGTGGTGAAGATTTTTGTACCTTCGGGTAGTATCACTTCTTCACCTACGTCAGCTAGTGTGACGGTGAGTGGCAAAATCAGAGGCATTAATATCTCCTGATGCTGCATCACCTGTTGCGTCGTATCGGCCGTTCTCGTTATCGCAATCGTCTTGATGTTCTGCGCCTTGACCAGTTGCGCCTGACCGATCGTAGTTTGATGCAATCTGACCGGTTGTGGTTGCGGCTGTTGAATCTGCACTTGAACTTGTTGTTGCACTTGTTGCACTTGTTCTTGTTGATGCTGCTGTTGTGGTTGTTGTTGCTGCTGCTGCTGCTGTTGTATAACCTGTGTTTGTTGTTGCATCATTTGTTGTGCACGGTTTTGATTCTGAAGAAGATTCTGTTTGCAGCGCTTGCTATGAGCGTAACGACTGCCATTATTGTTAAACTTTCTGTCACACGTCGGACATTCATAAGGTCGCTGACCCGTGTGAATGAACATGTGCTCCTTCAGCGACTTAAGTCGCCGGAAGTTCTTTGGGCAACACTTGCAGTGATACTTGGCCTCGCCGGTGTGCGAGGTCAAGTGATTCGCCAAGGTATCGGCTCGTGCGAAAGCTCGCGAACAATATTGACATATGTACGGCCGTTCCTGCGTGTGCGTGCGCATGTGCATCTTCAGATAGGCATTGGTGGTGAAAGGCCTGGAACACACTTCGCACACGTACGGTTTGATGCCCTTGTGAGCGCGCAGATGCGCAATCAGCGTTGTCGATTGCGTGAAGCTCTTGCTGCAGATCTCGCAGAGAAATCTCTTGGTACTGTCGGGCTCTTTGTTCTTCTTGAACGTGCGATCGTGCTTCGACAGATGAGTGTTGAGCTGGTCTTCCTTGATAAAGCGCTTGGTGCAGCGTGGACACTTGTACGGCTTGACCATGTTGTGCTTGGCCACATGGATTTTCAGATGTTCTCGTCGGTAAAACTTCTTCGGGCATATGTCGCACAGGTACTTCTTGCCCTCGTGCACTTGTATGTGCCGCAGTAAACCCTTTCTAGAGGTGTATTGCTTATTGCATTCGGTACACTCGAGACCCACAATATCAGTCCTCCTCTTACGGCCGACCTTTTCGCCCGGTTTCTTCTCCTCGGGTTTCGGTTCGATGTCTCTCAAATCCTCTTCCGTCAGTATACCTTCGGTAACGTGATTCGTTCTATGCTCGCGCAGCAACTCGTTGTTTTCGAAGCTGTCGCCGCAGATATTGCACTTTCTCACCTGATCGGGATTCTTCTCCGAGCACTTGTCGTAGTGCGCCTTCAGTTTGTCTTTGCGATAAAACTTGATATTGCAGATGTCGCACTCAAAGTTCGGTTCTTCGTGCAGCAATTGGTGCCGCATCAGCGACTTTTTCGTGCTGTAACGTTTCTTGCACGTGGTGCACTCGTGACTATCCATCGGCCACTCCAAACCGCTTTCGAAGTCGGAATCGTTGTCGTCGTCGCCGTTATCGCTCGTCAAATTCTGCGTCTCTTTCTTCTCCGGCGTGGCCTTTTTCGACTTGTCAGTTGCTTTTTCTGTTGCTTGTTCCGTCGCCTTCTCGTTTTTCACGTGCTGTTGTTCCATGTGCTTCATCAGAGCCTGCTTCGAACTGTACCTCTTGCTACACGTAGCGCACTCCAGATCCTTTTTATAATTGTACTTCTTCGGCGACACATCGCTTTTACGATGATAATGTCTCTCCATCTTGGCATCGTACTCGGTATTATCGTTATTGGAGTCGTAATCCTCCAAGCCGTCCTCCGTCTTAATCTTGTCGATGATCTTCTGAGCCGCTTTCGCGGCCACACGTTTAATACGCTTGTTCGTGTCGTATTCTTGACCGTGAAGGAACGTTTTGTGGCTCGTGGCGATCAGATGATTTCTCAGAGTGAGCTCGTTGCCGAACATCTTGTTACACTGAGTGCATTTGAAGGTCCCGCGTGCTGATCGCGCATGCTGCTCGATGTGCCAGCGAAGAAGATCCTTTCGCGAAAACTTTTGCATGCACAGTTTGCACTCGTACTTGCCGGTTACGGAATGCGACGTCTCCAGATGTCTGGCCAGTATTTTTTTGCGCGCGAATAACATTGGACATTTGGGACACTTCAGTTCTTTTGCGCTCTTCACAGTCTCGTCGTTTTTCTGATCCTCGTTTTCCTTTTCGATCTCCTCGTTGCCCTCGTCGTTGTTCTCGGCGCTCTTGGTCGTCATTTGTTTCATATCTTCCTCCAAATCCTGTTCAGTGAGCACGCCCTCCATCACATGCTTGCCTCGATGATCCCGCAGTTCCTTCAGAGTATCGTATTCCTCCTTGCACTCGTTGCACTTGTAGCTAACGTGCGTCTCGAGCAAATGCTTGTCCAATTCTTGCTTCGCGCTGAATTTTTCCGGACATTTGTCGCACGTAAATTCCTCAACGCGGCTACGCTTTCTTCTCTTTTCCTGATCGTCCTCGCTCATCGTTTCATCGTTGTATCCCTCGCCTGTGTTTCCTCTTCTCGGTCGTTTTCTGCACTCCCTGTCCGATGAATTGTTGGCGTTATCGAGGTCTAGACTGTTCTCGTCCTCGTGGAACGACACCTCAAGCGGCATCGATTCGTCCTTCGTCTCCTCCCGTTCTCGCTCGTGCTGTTTGATGTGCTTAGTAAACGAGATTATGTAAAGATATTCTTTACCGCAATAAGGACACTTGTTGGCTTTCTTTCCGGACGAAGGCGTTTTCGCGGGAGAAGAGACACTGGCTTGCACCTTCTCCGGCGTCTTCAGCGACAAAGTTTTTCTAACTTCCTCATGAGAATGCATGTGTTCCTTCAAAATGTTCTTTGACAAAAACTCTTTGTCGCACAAGTAACACATGAAGACAATCTTCTCCGCCTTATCCGTTGTTTTCGCTCTTTTGAGTCGGGAACTAAGATTCAGGTTTTCGAAGTAGTTCTCCTCATCCGAGTCCCGTTCGGCGAACGTTCGACGAGCCAACCTGCGCTTACTCCTTCTGGTTTCGTTTTGAGGTGAATCTTGCACAGCCGACTCATTAGTGTCGGTCTGTGTCATCTCTTCTGTCAAGGATTCCGCTTTAGAACACTCTTTCTTGAAAGATTTCGAAGATTCTTTCTTACGAGATTCTTTTTTGGAAATTGCTTCCGCTAGAGATTCCTCTATGAAAGACGCGACTTCGCTACTTTCATTGTGCACGATTTGATTGTGAACCTCTTGAATTTCTTCGTTCTCCTCAGGCTGAACTTGGTTCTCTTCTTGATTCTGCTCAAACGGCATTTCTTGACACTCCATTTTGTACTTCTCATTTTCTAGCTTATTTATCTCAGTTTTCTCTTGCACAGAATGAAGTTGTTCGGTTGATAATACACACTGTTGTACATAATCATGCTCTTCTGCCGGGATCATGTCCACACAGTCTGAAGTGGTGTTTTCAACCACCACTTCGGAAAGATTTTGATTCAATGATTCCTTGATATTACTCGATATATTACTAGCTTCTATGTCAGTTAATTCTTGCTGCAACTCTTCTGTACGTCGATTAACTTCCTGCATGATCTTTTGCGTATCATCTTGTTCTGCTGCATCTAGAGAAAATTTGATAGGTCATAGAATTCTTCAAAATCTTGCGAAATACTTGCGTAGTTCTTATTAAAAACAATAATTCAAAATGGACATCGTTAAAATATCATTGATTTACTGATTTGTTTGAATTTATTCAATCAAATAATACTCACTTTGCGACAGTCCCTCCGATAATTTTTCGGTTTCCAAGATAATTAAATTGTCTTTTATAAAATTCCTATCCGTATCCGATTCTTCTTCTGTCAGAACTGTGGTAGCGTGCTCGTAATCGGCACCGGTACCTATCTCTTCCAAATCATCCGATCTTTCAGAATCCAAGTGTATCTCAACTTCGTTAAGAAATAATTCCTCTTTCATTATACCTCCAATCAATTTCTCCCTAAGAACACTGTCGGCTTGTTCCACTTGTAACTTAAACTCATACGCAGACTCCAACTTTTCCGCACATACACAACAAACCTGTGCTGGGAGACCGTCACCCGGTAATATCTGTTAAAAGTACAACATACAGTTCAATATTGTATAAATGTTTGTGAAAACATCATGTATACAAATATATAGCGCACACAGTAGTGTTTGATAATCGTCGCGGATAAAAATTAGCTAATGTTTGACAAATATGATTTTTTTTTTTTTTTTTTTTTTTTTTTGACAAAAAGAAAACAAAACTCTCAACAAATTACACTTTGATTTTGCGACCAAGCATCTGTCATAACTCAACAAGTTACAACTCCACATTTAGCCGAGGTGGTATAATATAAGAGCGAATTATGCCAGGAGATACGAGACAAATAATCGAGATTTGAGAAACCCAGAAAATTAAATGAGAATACGAGATTTTAAATGTAACGCGATGACGAAACGTAGAAAATTAAACGAGAAATAACGCGTTGCGTTGTCTAACCTCAAAAAAAAACTACGTGTCTAACCTTAACGTTGGCGAAACTCATCGCCTTCGTCGACAGAGATCCGACGTCGCCCTCGAAAAAGAGATCGCGCGTCATCAGATTGTCGATCAGACACACGCGACACAACTTCATCCGGGACGCGTCCTTCGTCTGCGGTGGATCTGATGTATTTACTTCCACGGCGTCCATGTTTTTTGTTTAGTGTACTTGACTCGGGCCAACTTTGCGAACGAGTTGGACTGCCTGAATCCTTCTCTCTGTTCTACACTCGCACCTTCCTCTCTCACCTGCCACCGACTTGCGTGCTCTTATCCGCGTGCGAGAAGATACCCCAGAGTTTCCGTATATATAAAATTTTCTTATATCTCTACATCTTCCGAAGTCGAAAAAGCGCACAGCTTTTTGTGTCCAGTTTTCTCATTCTACCCAATTTTATCTCTCGGATTTCGTTGATCGCGCCCGTAGAGGGGAAGGACGGGGAAAAGATTGCGGGAAGTGGTTCTGTGTCTGCATTTTTTTTTTTTTTACTTTTTTTGTACTTCTGCGAAAGGAGCGCGCGAGCGTTTGTTTAGAATTTGCAGAATAAAAATGTCGAAAAAATTGCAAACTAGGGTAAAAACGAGAGTGCGATTTTAAGGAGATTCGGTTCAGGTTATTCAGATGTGGGAAAGGGGAATCAGACGATACCTACCTTACCGACATTAACATTTGGCAAAACTTATGAAATTTTCACACTTTTGTTATATACAATTGTTGTCTCTTTTAAACGAACTAAAGTAATAAACAGATTGTTGCACTGGATTGTGCTATTGCTACTTTCTCTTCAATCTGATCTTACAAAAACACCGTCTCTGGATTTCTACCAATTATAAAATTCTTTTTCATTTGTGCGGAAAGGTCTTTTTATTTTTTCCACAGTAATTCCTAACTTCTTAAAAAATGTTTTCCTGATTTATTATCTTTATCTCTATTTTCAAACTTGAAATCACGGAGGTAAAGGAAAGAACATCGAGGAATATTAAAGGCGCGCGGGGAAATGAAGCCTTGGTTTGACAGGCGGTTTGACAGTTGCATCTTAGCCAATAAAGCCGACAATGCGCCACAAACACTTTTGGGTCGTTTTCTCGAAATTTTCTGACAATTTTGCAATTATGCAAAAACGCGAAAATCTCGGGTTTTAGTTTTTGTCAAAATATCGAAAAACTGATTTTATAGTCGAAAAAGTCGTGTTATTATAAATTTCGAATATTTGTAGAGGATTCTGCTAGTACTGCGATGTCTGATAGTTTGTACCAAAATATTATCTCGCTTCTCAGCTCGTCCAAGTGCTAACGAATAGCGGACATCCGGTATATCGATATTACAAATCTGTATAGAAACGCACGTGCGTATAACATGGAATTGAATCACGTCCAACCGCACGTAGCACGGAATAGAACCATGTCCGCAAGTGGACATAGCGTACGTATCGACAAGTTGGACATCGCTACGTAGGTGTCAATGTGCATCACCCGTGGACATGCGCCAGCTTACGGAAAAGCGATGGGGAAAAACTCCTATGGGCTTGGCCGCTCTCGTTCTTCTATCTGGTAGCGCGTATAGACGATGTTCTCTCTTTAGACGCGAGACAAATCCTTAGACTCTATTTTACGAAACATTTGTTTTATTAAAATTTCATGTACATATAAATAATATTGCAACACATCATTATGATAAAAAAATATTATCTCTTACGTACTAATTGACTTTCAAAACTGCGGAAGATCCGCGTGTCATTAAAAAAAAAAAAAAAAACAAATTCTTTATATATACCTTATTCCAATGTGGGAGTTTGAACGTTACTGGAAAGTTGAATACTGTTGAGCTTTTTAGTCATTTTTATGACTAAAGACGCGTCACCGCCGCCGGATATGGCGCATTCGCCAACTTTGAGCGTTACAGGTTTATTCGAGCAAGCGTCTGTTTCCGATTTAGCAGATCCGGACGATTTTTCCATCGTGTTCGAAACCGCCGCCTGTGAAATTCTGCTTTCAAAACATTTGCCGTCTCGCGCGTCACGTTTCGAGAATCGATAAGACGGGAGCGTTGTGTCCTCGGACTTGGAACTGAAGGAAATCTTCTCCAAGACAGCGGTTAGCTTCGTGCTCTCTTCCGACACGGAGATATCGGTTTGGACCGCGAAACTGTTCCTGCTGAAAAGATGTTGTCTAATGCTGGATAGATTTCTACGAGAGATTTCTTTCGTTTTAGCGGCTGACTCTGGCGGGTTATTCTTATTCTTAAGTGGCGAGCTGTACATTATCGACTGCTCGAGCCGAAGCGCGCGGCCGTTCCGTATGTAAGGTATCAGATCCGATAGCGCGGCTGGTTTCTGCGCTACGCTGTTCGCCGATTGAATAGATATCTGCGGCTTGTACGCTTTTACGGTATAGGGTGTTCTGATGTAAACAAAGCTACTCTCGTCACGTGGTAAACCAGAAATCGTGGACGGAAAATTACTAACATTTGAAACAGCACCGATATGACTGGAACTCGTTTGGAATCTTGCAGTTTTTTCATGCGTCGTGTTGTTCATGAGCGCGGACAGAGCGGGTTGCAATCTTTGAACGACGTTAAATATCAATTCGCACCGTTTTATCACTCGCAATTGCTGAGGTTCCGTTGCGTTGTCAATTAGAAGAGTTTTCGCGGCTATGTTAGCTTCGTATATAGCTGCCTTCAATTCCCTTATCATCATTATCGTTTGACGATTGATACTTTTCGCATCGATGTCGTTCACAACTGCCGTCATTTGGCCGGACAAAGCCGACGCGCGCTGAACAATACCTTGCACCTGAGACTGCGTAACCGGTTCTCTGTTATCGAGACAATCCGAGATCTCTTTTATACGTTCTTGAAGACTGTCCATAACTATTTCGCAGAAGGCAGCCGGGTTTATAATCAGATTCACAACATTCTGAAACTTATTCATTTCTTGCTGCCACTGTGTGGTCAGCAGTTTAACACTGGAACGCATTTCTTTGTTCTCTGGATGCAAATAGAAGGCGGTTATGGCAGAAATTAATTCGGTTTCCAAGGATTCGAATCCCGCAAGGCACGTGCGAATTTTATTGTTGCGGTTTATGTCCTTGCAACAAGCAATAGCGTATATTCCGATTTGCATGGTTTGATCGAAGAGCAGATCGAAGTCTTCTATGAGGGTCTTTAGATCACTCTTGGACCGTCTTTTCGCATTTAACGAACTTCCACACATCATAACAAGCTTCTTCAAAGCTGCATACGGATTGCTGAACACTTCAAGCGCGAGTGTCAGTACCGCAATATTAACTTTGCGCTCCAAACGATAAAGAGCATCGGTTAGCGTGTGCATGAACAAGTTATTTAGCGCCGAATCAGGTGTTTCCAACAGTAATTGCTGCTTCAGTTTTTCGTACTCCATCACTATGGACTGGCACGATCCAATTATGGCATTGAAATTGTATGACTGGCACACTTGGGTGATTGCCATGGCGTGTGAGAAGACACTCTCTAATCTCATCCATAGTTCCTCGCATTCGGTTCGCAGTTCTTCATGTGATTTGCTTGGCATTTCTAATATAATGTCTAATGCCAAGTCCATTCTACAAGTATCGTATAATTTGTTAAATACACAATCACACCTAACATATGAGATATAAATTTGCTTACTTGTATATAAAGTGATTTTCTCTGTCAGCAGTTTCCTCTTCCAGCGATGGATTTGAGCCATTCAACAAGTCCAAGATTAATTCGCAGCAAGTACAAATTCTTTCGCAAACGTATTTCTTACAGGCCTGTAAATATTTGTTCAAAATAGAGATACAAAAAACAATTTAAGTAAGCAACACAAATATCAGATATTTAAATTATTACATAAATCGGCGCATTCAGCTGATGCTGCTCCTGAGCTAGTTTAACCAACATCTCAAATGACGTGCACAATTGACAATTATACAAAGCCAGTTTTTCCGATAAGAAAACAGATACTAAACTCTTTCTATATTTCTGTAGTGGTTCAAGTAGCTCCAATAATGAAGTGCCAAGTTCCTTTAAAATGAGCAAAATTGTCAAAACTATAATACACATATTTTAATACAAAAAGTTATTTCGCCATTTACTTTGATATTTTGAAGGTCCTCGATTTCATTTGCCATGCTCATGTCTTTAACATAATCCAGACAATCCTGTAGTCTCTGTTTCAAAGGCAAGCTTTCTAAATCTTCCAAAGCTCTCAAAGCTAATGTGAAATTATTCACCAGTGATACTACGTCACAATTGATCTGCAATTTATCATTGGTCCTGCCATGTATATTGCCACTTGTAACAACTTGAATCTAAAATGTAAACAGTTGATTTAATAAAAAAATAAATAAAATACAATATTAATATAAATTATGTCACAAAGTTGATTTCATTAAAAAAAAAAAATAAAATACAATACTAAATAAGTGAAATCTTTGTTTTATATACAAGTTCACTGATTTCTTGCAATACAGAAGTCAGCTTTGAGGTTGCTGCCATATCATTGTGTTTTGTATCCGTCTCTTCACAAACATCATCACTCCTTAAATTCTTAAATCTCTCATTTAAAGACCGAAGCTGTTCAAGAAGTACTGCTCTCACTGCTGTAACTTCCGATTGATTAACAGGAACTTTATTATACAACAAAACTATCTTGCTGATCTAAAAAAAAAAAGAAGACAAAATTTTAGACAAATTTAAAAAGAGAGAAATAAACAAACAGCTCATTTACCTGATCTTGAGTAGGTTTTAGTAGATTTCTCATCTGCTTCGTTTTCAGTTCCATTATTATTAAGTATTAATGTTTCAAATATACGATGGGATTTCAAATTTCATCGCACATTTCAACGGCACACGTAAATAAAGCGAATTTAGTAACTAACCAGGCATGGCAACCAATGTTTAGCGCCGCGCAAAGTGGAACTACATTTGACCAATGGCTGCGTTCAGCGGAACAATCTGCTCTACAGCAATCAAACGTGATTTTACTTTTAGAACCATACAAATCAACGTCAAGTATTGACAAGACGACAACTCAGCAATTGGTCTGCTGAACCCGGCCAATGAGTTTCTGACAGTGCACGCAATGACCAATCACATTCGGCCGAGCCAACTAAAACCGACCAATGTGTGTCGGTCTCGATTCTGAAGAACTGTGAGACTTGCGACTTGTTGTAAACGAGGCGTTACGTGTCGCGAGTCCATGCGGACTGTTCCGATAATTTAGTCTTTATTTTCTTTTTTTTTTTTCACAATATTTTCAAAATAAAACTAAATACTAAGTTCGAGAGATTGCGCTTCTTCTCGCGTTAAAATGTTTTCCAGAGGCGAAAAGGACAAAACGGAAATCAATGTGATACTGGACGAGCCTCTAACCAACGATTCGTGCACGAAAGTGGTGATGGAACTCATAAAATATATTTTATATCAGAAGCAGCAAATACCGTTTGCTTACGATGCGTTAGCCCAATATCAAACCAGGAAAGAGGTGTCGGATAGAAACACGGTTTCTTTCAAAGCTTTGTCGAGCACGTTAAAAATTGTCGCCGATCAGCTATCCTCGCAATTTTTTCTCAAGGGTTGCGATATACGAGAAGTTGCGATTCTACTTGGCGCCACGATATTGTCACCCAAACTTTATGTCGGAATAGAACTTCCTTCGTATGTTCTCAACAGCAAGCAGCATAAAGAATATCAACATTCATCGAGAAAGCCGCTTTTAAAACTCATGAGGTTGATTAAAAATTACATCACACTCACAAAATCATGCATACACATTTACATACTGCGATACATTGAATTCTGTTTACAGGTCTATGTTCGAATGTGACGAGTTTCAGGAGGCCATGAACATTCCTTCGAGTATGACGAACATGTTTATCATGCTGAAAAAGAGTGACAGTAATTTGGCGTCGGATTTCTTCTTACCTAAACCGCAATACGTGCCACCAGTTCAAGGTACAAGTTGCTTCAAGATCAAGCTGTGCCAAAACGATCAGTTGGACATGAAGTGCACTTGCAGAACTCTTGTCAAAGTGCATCATGATTCTTATCAGACTCATTTGGAAAATGAAGATGATGTGCAGTACGCTCAGTACAATAATAGCAATCAGTTTTCGTATCAGTGGTATCAGTCCAAACAAATCATAAAAGGATTTAAATATCATTCATGACTAGAATTTTATATTATTACAATTGTAGCAATTAGAAATTTTTTCCAATTTCTTAAGACTGTATATAGATGATATTTTATACAATTTGAAAGGAGATATTAAATTTAGATAATATAAATTTAGATAGAATGAACTCTATTTGTTTCAATTAGACAAATGACAAAAAATATTAAATTTTAATATACATTTAACAGAGTAAAGTAAAAACACTTATTAATGCAAACACAAGTGACGTTTTTGTTACACATCATGCAATGACACTGCAATGACATGAAAATGATTCGGCAGATGGCCTCGGGTCAAGTGATAGAAATTTCCATTCATTATCTAAGTAAACGTAGTATATTTTTTACTCATATCAATACAACATACGTAATAGGTCTTTATGTGACGACTTATGTAATCATTTAAGAAAAGACTTATATGACACATCAATATTTTTTTTATTGCACATTTATTGCAAAACAGACTGATGGATTATACATTATTATCGATTTTTAGTGGAAGTTGAATTTTTTTAATTATGAATTTTTGAAATTTGCGGCTTGATTACTTCGCGTGTTATATACATGAGTTATAATGTTGTAAACTTCTTCTCATGAAGTTATAATAATTAAGTATATTTAATTGTTAAATTTATTAAAATACACATGTTGTAAATGTACCGATTTATTAAAAACACTTCGCTAGATAGCTCTCTTGCATAAATGTAAACATGATCAAAACTCGACACTCAAAGTTGCATATCATCGTACACACAGATAATCCCTACCGAAATATTATTTCTGTAGTGGGGCGAAGCATATTTTAATACACACCACGAGATATTTTACAGCAGCTTTTTGAGAAGCTGAGAAGAAGAGAGAGATCGTCGTGCGCGTTGTGAAAGAAGTTCTACGTTTTTTTTTTTTTTGTACAACGAGGATGGCTCCTTTGAAATATCTGACACCGGAACAGAAACAGTTCTGGGACGAGAACGGCTATATTAAATTGTCGAATGTATTCTCTCTGAAGGAAATGAACGAAATAACGGATGCCTATACCGATTTGTTCGAGAGAAAACATCGGGAGAATCTCGACGGTTTGGAAGCTGGTTGGAAAGGTGACGAAATGAAGAAAGCAGCCGGACATATTGATTATACCGTAAGTAAACCGTATATTATAGTCATTGATTTTCTCTAAGATTTGTTATATACGTACGTTCCTTAGGGACGGAAAGTAGCGATGGTAACAGCAATAAGATTACTCCAAGATTGTCTGAAGATGCTCTATAGCTAACGATCTGTATAGCGTCTTGAGATATAAACTTACTACGATTTTAGAAGATCAAAATACTGATCTAGTATATGAAAACGTACATTATACCATAGAAAATACAGAACAGACAAAAATAACAAAAAAAAATAAAATCACCGACGACCTACATCTTAAAGATCTGTGCATAGCAACGGAGCTTACTCAATCACAGTATTCGTCATTTTTGAAGTAAACAGTTCGAGGTCAGATTATATATTCTCGCGTTTGAGAAACATGTAATAGTGTAATAAAAGAAACAATTTGTATTTTCTACGACTGAGTCAAAGATCAAAAATTTATATATCATTCACGCGAATCGGTTCGATGTGTTGCAAACATAAATTACTTTGATTGATTATTGGTTATTCAAATTCTTATCGCGTTCTCTGTGAAACTATTTCTATTGTGAAATAGGTGTGTTAACAATACTTTCTTATCGCTGTTTCCTATCGATGATCTTCCGTTCTCTCTTTCCTATTCTCACACTTCTCATTCTGTACTTCTTTTATTTGCGCACCAGGTGAAGTCTATTCACAATCTGCAAATGCATAGCGCCGTTTTCACTCGGCTCATCATGAATCCAAACTTATTAGACGCCCTGGAAGACGTAATGGACACCAAGGATATTCTGCTGCATCACACCAAGGCGCATATAAAACCGCCGGAAAAAGGCGCTCCTTACTTGATGCATCAGGATTATCACTACTTTCCCTTCAAAAAGCACACCATGCTGGCCGTGTTCCTGCATCTGGACGACACGACACCGGAGAACGGCGGTCTGGCTGTATACCCGGGCAGTCACAAACTCGGACCGCTGGAGGACCACGGGGTAACCGACGATAAGGGCGAAGAATATCATTACGTTAATCCTGACGAATATCCTTTATCGAAAGCTGTGCCCGTATCGGCCAAAAAGGGCGAGATCGTTATCTTTTCTTACTTGCTGCTTCACGGCTCGTACTTGAACCTGTCCGACAGAAGTCGGCGCATGTTTCTCATGCAAGTGCGAGCTGCCGACGACGAGCCGATCAAGGACGTGCATAAATCTCCCTGTCAGAACATGATGCTTCGCGGTAAAAACATATACAGAGAGGCAACAATGGCCAATAGATTTGTGCATTAATGTATTGGCCTGGTTCAACAATACGCGCGACGAATTATCAGCTAAGATTATATTTACTCCGCTTTTAATCTTGGTTAATAATAAAACATGAAATCGCAGAATTAATTTCATGTTTTTTTTTATTTTTAATATAATAGTATTTTGCAACTTTTTGTATTCCGCGCGTAATATATCTTCCGCTAATTCTCCTTTTTCTCTTCTTTCGTTTCGTCTCGTGCGATATGAAAAATTCGAATTTTCAAGAGTCTGAAGTCGCTGATCGTTATAAAGCGCACAAGAAGCGTCATAAATCCTGCTATCCAACTCCATGTCATTACCCATGACACGGCCTTAAAAATATAAATGCATATAGACAAACACACATGTGCGTCCGATGATTTACTTTACGATGACGTGGTTTTTACCTCTAACGCGTAAAAGATGCCGCAAACGTCGTGTTTATCGATAGTGTAAAGAGTTACAAAATCTTGCAAGATGACGCATGTTCTTTAAAGAAAAAATAATTGTTGACGACATTTATCTTCACGCGCGCGCGTTCCGAGAGAGAACGAAATAAATACACATACTTAATGCTGTAATATAATCGAAACGATTGGTTCTCTGTTATTTTTGCAAATAACGATGTCAGATCGTTGCTGAATTGTTGATATCCACTTTCCATGGTTCGCGTTGCGTGCAATGTTATTATTGTGAGACAAAAATTGAAAATCATCGCGGGCACAACGATTCTCCAGGGAGCTTCGAAACTACGTACTTTGTGTTAGGTGTATTTTCTTTAAGAAATAAAAAAAAAGACGCTGTAATAAAGCGCAATGAATATTTACTAAGTGGAAATGATTGATTCTTGGCTCCTGGAGTCGTAGCCACCTTTCCCGCACATGAGAAACATCGTGAGCCAGACGATTCCGAATATGCAAGATATGAAACAGACCGCGTGATAGAACTCGCAATGGCCTTCGTAATCGTAGCTGACGATGACATAACGTTTCCAATCGGTGGCGTTCAATCGAACAACCGCGACGTAGTCGTGCAGATGCTCATCTTCGACGCGTATCGATTCAGACAGATAATCTAATTTTGCCCAGAGAGGGCAGTGACCACCGAAAAGGCCATTCTGAAATAAATTTAAGCGTTCGCGAATAGTTCTATTCTGTTGTGCGAGCAGGTTAAGCTTCTGTTAAAAAAAAAAAAAAAAAAAAAAAATAGAAGTACTTTTTCTATATTTGAAAAATTTATATACAAAGAAAATGTGTATATATACATATATATACCCAAAGAATATAAAATAACATAGCGCAACTGTATCCGGACACCGCACTCGCGAAATAACACAGCATTTGCAAGCCCTTCCACAAGAACGATATTTCCTCGGAATCGCGCTCAATTAATTCTGTATATTCCCTTGCTAGTTGCATAATTTTTATTATAAGATTTTTTACTTCTCGCGCGTGTGTGTTGTATGTACACAAGACGCGTTTGCTGCGCCTATATATACTTTTCTTATTGTTAAAATTATATTATTGAGACATTACTACTACGCAACTTTACGTGTAAAGGCACAAACGCCAACTTCTCCGCCTCTGCAAACGATTCCGCTTGACCGTGTCAAAAAAAAAGAAAAAAAACAAAAGAAAGGAAGAGAGAAGCGCATCGATGCACGTCACGCGATTGCAAATCTCGCGCGGGTTTTTGTTCGCGCCGAGAAGCGGGAATGTGGAATCAGAATCCGCGATCTTTGTATACAAAAACGGGGGATACGGGGTAAGATCGCGCGAAAGTAACAGTAGAAAAAAAAAAAAATAAAGAAAAGAAACAAACGGAAGTTGTTTCGCGAATTTTTGTTGTGAGTGTCGTTTGAGAAAAAAAGTCCGATTGCTCGATCATTCGAAGATAGAAAAATTGAAATCGACGCGCGATCGATTCGCTCGCGCTTTCAAAGCAGTCAAGTCGCGGTCTCTCGGTGCAGCACCGCTTGCGCGAAATCGGACCGGCGACGACGAAAAACGCGGAAACGCGCGGAACGCGGACCGCCACCGCAGTGTTGTCGACGAGAAGGGTCGACACCGTCGACTCAAGGAGACCAGAGAAATTTTCGCGTGTTTTTTTTTTTTTTTCTCGCGGACGGGCACGGGGGGCGAGAAACACGCGGAAAAACCGCGGACGAGACCAGGGGGACGCGCGTATCACGGCGTGTGTGCTTGCAAACCCGTCCGGGGACTCGCCGCCGGTGGCAGACGCGAGACAGACTCTTCTGAGAGGTGTGCGAAGTGAAACACATGTGTCTCTCTCGCGGCCGAGCGGTGTTTTCCACTGCAGCGGACTGCCGTTACCGCTGGTGCCCGTTGTCGTGCCGTCGTGCTCGCGCGTATAAGTCTCGCGCGGCCGCACGCCGCGGAAACGTTCGGCGCACGTCCGAACGGTTGCGAGAAACGCGATGCGCCGCGCTTCGACGGTGAAATAGCCGAGCAGAAAACGGAAGGCGGTAGTGCGTGGGTGGGTGTTCTGGCAGCAGCAAACTGTGTTCGCACACATACCGGACATCTCCCCGGGCCGCGCGGAATCGTCGTTTTCTCGGCGCCGCTTGCCATTCCGCCCGACACGGTTATCAGCACGTTCGAGAGTGAGAGAGAAAGATAGATAGATAGATAGAGAGAGAGAGAGAGAGCGAGACAGAAAATCCCGGTGTCCCCCGGATCACCGTTCCCGCACGCACGTTGAACTTCTCTCGCGAGTACAAAAAAAAATGTCGCCCCTCTGTAAGGAGTCCGTGCCACTGGCTTCGCGGTGACTCCACTGTCACTGGCGGTGACATCGCGATCAAATCGGCGAGGGATGATCACGAAGAATGGTCACGTTCCTGCCTTCTTTGAGCTACGATGGCGAACGAATGAGCACGGTTTTACGGCCGAGTCGAACTCGCGTGTGTCTGTCAGCCATCATGATTCTTCGCGGATCGTAACCGTATTCCGCAATTTCTAACGTATCGTCTGGACGGCGTGAGTTTTGACCGCCTGTCAATATGACACACGTGCCTGGGACTTTGTAAATTGTCGAACCTTGTTTCGCCGAGAGAGAGAGAGAGAGAGAGAGAGAGAAAGAACGTCAAGTATGTAATGTTATTTCGCCGAGTCGCGCAGCACCGCAAACAATTTTCAGCAACACGCAACAGTTTTGATTTATTATTTTTTAAGGAAAAAGGGACTCTGTCGCTCTCTTTGGTGCGTTGGACACTGAAGGGTTTTTGAGAGTATGAGATTAGCGGTAGAGAAAAATGGATACCGGTAAAGTATCAGCATGCTCGAAAAGTCAGCAGAATGTCATGCTCACGCAGGTCACATGAGGGGCACGACAGAAATGTGCTCGCGTGATCCACCTACATTGCACCCGACCCTTGCCAAGGCAAACGGTAAAAATTCAAGCCCCCAGCCAGCTCATCACACAGAAGCGCGTATTGACAACAATCTGCTGCCAACTCCCGGAGGCCGACTCAAGTTCTTCAAAGATGGAAAATTCATTTTGGAACTGTCTCATCGCAGAGACGGGGAGAAAACCACGTGGTTTCCTGTGCCAAAGAAAACTTTTTGGCCGCCTACTAGCACAATCCCTCCTACTAGCACTATCCCCAATCGTCAGGAGAGCTCTACTTCTCTCAGTGGTAAGTTCATGAAAATTAATAACATTTGCATTGGACATATGTGTGTTTCTTAAGCTGATTAAATACACATAGCGTAAATTTAAATCTAGAAAACTCATTACGTGTGTATGTAAATTCTGTTCTTAGTTTCTGATGACAATTCATCAGTTCAATCCAGTCCCTGGCAAAGAGATCACTACTGGAAGCAGACTCATCCACGACGCAGGATAACCACCGAATTCAATTTTTACTACCATCGAAATCCGAAGAACCGCCTGTGCGCACATCCGCGTTTGATAATGAGAAAACGCAGGCGTCCATTGGACTCGACGACCGCGGTTCTCGTTACCGAATCGACCGTCTCTTATCCGACGAGATCGTCGCGTAAATTGAACGGTACATCGTCATCGGGCACGGTTCTCAGTCTGATTATTGATAAACTGGCGCGTCTGCTGGACCCCAACGTTGTGTCGCCTCGCAAACGCATACTCCGAGAGTTGGAGAGAGTCTCGCTTGAGGACCAAGCGTCCAAGAGACGTGCCACTCCGCAACCGACGACGGTTTGCACGATGAGTAGCGCGCCGCCGACTCCTTCCTCGAAGCAATTGTCATCGTACAGTATAACGAGTATTCTGGGAGAGGACAAGCCGAATCCCGAGCCGGGCTTCTTAAGAACGTTGCTGAAACCGGACGACCGGCAACCTGTAAAATACTCACAGAGTAACGCCTATCCAAGGGTACGAATGGATCCTTATACCGGATCTAGCAATGCATCCTTTCATCATCCGCTCTATCGAGTGCCGGTGTTACCACCTGCGCCTTACAGGGCGACGCCTTTTTGGATTGCACCCCATTATCCGTGTCCCGTCCACTATCCGCCTCCTATGCAATTATACGCACCGCCGCATCCTCATCCATCGCCTCCGCATTACAAAGACTACAGGGAACAAACTCTCACACCTCCTTCACCTCCTTCAGGTACGTTTCGAAATATTATAAAAACTTAAATAACCAAGTACACAGCAAAATAACGTAGTGTGTTGAACCACACAAGTGCTCACGAGTTCATTTCTCGTCTGCAGATATGCCTCTCAATCTGTCGAAGCATGCGGGTTGAATCTCAGGATCCCAATAGCGTTGGTGCCTTATCAGTGGACAAAACACTATGCAAAACACTGCCCGTGCAACGACAATGCGATATATATATATATATATATTATATATATATACATATTAGTATTTTTTTATTCATAAAAACTAAATAGTATCATAGTAAGTAGAGAGAGAAAAAAGCCAGACAGGTTGGAGGAACTATATAACTTGTATATACAAATGCATAAATTTGTCGACGGCGGCATAGGTATTTTATACTAATATTACGAGATTTTGCGAACAAAAGAGATTGTAAGAGAGCGAAAAATAGTTTATAAAAACGCCAGACAGACAAGAAAAACACCATCGCGAGCGTGTACAGGTATGTGTGTGTGTGTGTGTTACTCATTCTTTTGACTCAACGTCGCGTTAAAAACAAAACTGAAAGAAAAAAACCGCGAAATAGGCGCGCAATCTTTATTATTTAAGACGCAAACGTTGTATATCGTTATTTATATAAGAACGCATCAACAATATTGAACACACAATACAATAGTGACAACGCATTCAATTTACTTTTTATATTACTATTGTTTTATACACATACACACACACACACACACACGATACAAAATTGTGACAAAGACAGGTGAGAGTCCACATCGATTTTGTACATCTCTCATTCTACGCATCTCATTTATGCATTTTTCTCGTTATTCTTATAATGATATCATCATTACACTATTCATTAATAGAAGTGGTATGTACATGTACAGGATGTACTCGCTATTGCCCAATGTTTTCAGGGTAGATTCTTAGAGGCTGTGATTTTTAAGTTTATAAACGATTAAAAAATTACTTCAGCGTTCGATATATCAGGCGTTTAGATATGGCAAAAAAGCAGGAAAAGGTATGGGATTATCTTTTTCATTTTTTTGTAACCCGATATATCGACACTGTGATCGGTAATTGTTTTTTTGTTTTAATAACTGTTACAGACCTCTCGTTATTAGACTTTTTGTTCCAAAACAATTTACCTGGAAAATATTGGGTGCCAATTGTGGAACATCTTGTATGTTATGTATCTCTTAAAAAAATTGATAAACACATAGGGATATGTACAGAACAGATTATTACCTATAGTTATATACATATATATATATATATACATATATAAATATATATATATATATATTTATATATTAGTGTATTAATTATTCTTAAAAATAGAAATGCATAATATAAATTTAGGCTCTAATGGGATAATCCACACAACACAGTATACAGTTATTTATATCGTATTATAATGGTGGAAAAAGAAAAACACACACATGAAATTTATACTTTTAGCGCAAAGACCGTGGGGTGTGCCTTACAAATATTTATCAAAATTTCATAAAAAATATAAAACGTATTATTATTTAAACAAAAAGGCACTATATAATGTGTATATATACATACATACATACATACCATATATATATATATATATATAATAAATTATCTTTGTGTTATTTGTATTCGTGTCAAAAAGTCGAAAATTCGTTGCTCTTATTTATTATTATTAGTCGGAAATTCGAGAATAAGTTGAACGGAAAGATAAAAAAAAAAAAAAGGCAAGCTTACACAGGTTCTATAAATTTAGTGAGTAACCTTAATTATTCAACGTACGTGCTCTGTTTTTTTTTTTTTTTTAGTGATTCAAAGTGAAAAATGTGACTGCGCATTAACAATTGTATAGAAAGATTTTAATTTCGTATAAATATAAATATTTCATATACTACGCATACACAAATTTATTTTATTTACCACGAGCTCTCTCTCTCTCTCTCTCTCTCTCTCTCTCTCTACCTAGTCTAAAACTTGGAATTGTCTTTATAATACGCAAATTGTAGAGTAAATTGTTATGTCATTTCAACAAGAAGTTTCGTGCGTCGACGTTGATTAAATCCAAGTTTTTAACTTGTGACGAGATACAACGTTTTACAAATTGCCGCCCTGAATTTTAAATACAAGACGGCTATTGCCACGTCGGTCTGTTTGACGTTACAAACGCTCGCGATCGCTGGCTGCACGCACCGGCCTGTGTCCACGACGCGATGGAAATCGGTCGTTTTTCTTCACGTCGGGAATCTCGAACTGATTTTCTATATATATATATATATGTATTTTGCGATCGTGCGCTCGAACGGCTGCGGCGGACACAGAAGAGAGGCAACACACGCGTCGCGCGTCGCGTGCGAAACCGGCCCTAAAGTCTGATGGGAGCGTTTCTAAGGTTGGTAGAACGCGCGAAGCAGCTGCGAGATTCTACTGTAGATAGCGTTGGGGCACCGGTCAAGTTTGCGCGAATTCTCAGCACATCCGGTAGCAGCGCTCGTACTGTTTGCTCACGGGTGCTTCTCGTCGAGTCGAGTGTGTTGGCTTCTCCGCTTCTCCGTGAGTCGCGAGCGGGAAGTGGAGCGACGGACCCGCGCGATTGAAACGCGGAGAACACGGACGACGCGCGCGCTGACCGCTAAAATAGTGAATGCCCCCGGGTTAAAGGCTCGGGTGTGAAGGACGCGAGCGGTGAGCCGAGGTCCGGCGGAGAAGTTCGGCGCGAAGGTTCGGTCGGTGAGCGTAGCGGCTCGGGCTCACCGAAACGAAAATGGCGGGCCATGTTGGCCTTCCGTGCAAAGACAGCGGCCACCTTCGACGACACTAGCAACGTCCGTAAACCGACACCACGTGCAGCAGGTTGACCGCTATCGGACGTGATATTCCCGGTCGCGTGGTTGTTAACGTGTTGCATCCTATCGCGGAACGTGTGTATTCTCGCTGCTCGTCTTTACCTGTACATGCTCGTCGGTAGAGACGGACGTCGTAGAGCCGATTGATAAACGGGACTTGTGTGCATGTAAATAGTCACCTTATACGCGAGTTTTGTAACAATATTCTACTTGAGAAAACAAAAGAGAGAAAGAAAGAGAGGAGAGAAAAAGAAAGAGATATAGTGAGAAGAGAAAGAGAGAGAAGCGACTGTAGGAACCTGCACACAGCGGTGGGAGAGAAAGCTAGAAAGAGAAGGAGAAATTGGAGAAGGACAGAGAGACAGGGCAATAGAAAGAGCGAAAACCCCGGCGAGGGAGAGGGGGACAGAGACAGACGGAAAGAGAGACAGAAACGGCGAAACTGGACAGAGCAAAAGTTTAGTGGCGGATCAACAATGGACAAACAAACATGATGGAGTGAGCACGCCGCAGGTGTTGACTACCTCAGAGGGACGAGAGTGCGCGCGAAAAGATTTACGCTGAGGTACCGTGTTGTTTAATCACGGCGGCTGCGGCCTGGCGGTTGTAACACGTTGCGGGGAACGAGAAGTCTTGATGCCGATGCCGGGCGAATACCACGAGGGTCACGGTAACCACGAGAACGCCAATTTTGCTCTCGGGTCCACGCAGGACGCCAGCAACATGACGGCCAACATGTACAGAGTGGGAGGTAAATAAGAATGTGAATCCGCGCGTTTCTTGCGACAATGACGCTTTGTGGCGCGCAGGGTAACGGGGGGAAAAGAAGCGAGATAGCGCCTTTAATTAACTTCGAGAAATTAATGTTTGCAAATGGCATCGCAATGGCGTCCCCTGTATACCCTCCGCGCGTTCTTCATCCCTGCCTCTACTACTCTCTTTCCCCCCTCCCACCTCTCTTCCCGCTCCCCGCGCGCGCCCTCTTCTTTCCACTCTTCATCTGGATCTCCCTCGTACCCTCCATCACCTCTCATCCCCTAACCTTTCTCGCTCTCCCTTCCTCCCTCCTCTGCGTAATGTCCTATACCTACGACTCTGGCTTTTCCTCCCCCTTCTCCCCCCCCACGGCTCCTCCATTCTTCCTCTGCTCTCTTTCCCCCTTCCTTCCCACCCCGTTCGTCACCTCCCCTCTCTTACACACCCGCGCACCCGTCCTCTCGCCGTCCAGGTCACGCTAATTTCTTGCACGACTCGTGGATCAAAATTGGATCCTGGCGATACTGTGGCTTTGACTCGTCTCTGTTTGTTGTATCGATATATACCGCGTGAGGTGTCGTGCGTACATGACAATTGTTTTTCGGCAATAAAGGACCAATTGTATCCTATTCTTTTTTTTCTCTCTAATTCTAACTCTCTCTCTCTCTCTCTCTCTCTTACCCTCCTTTTGATCTTACTATGGCAACAATAAACGCATTTGGTCAGAATTTTCATTTGCGCTCTCTTTCATCACAATAAACTCTACCTGCACAAAAACTCTTATATTACAAATTCTTGGAAATATTCTTCATTCTTCGTCGAATGCATTTGTTTCAAATGACTGAAACTGGGACAAGAATCTCCTGATTATTTTCGAGACAAAATAATTAAATTTTGAACAGAATATAATAATTTTATAATATCGCGTGTATTGTGTTTGTAATATCGTACGTGTAGTACGATTTATATATATATA